AAGTCACATACTCCAAAAATAATGCCTCCCGCGAGGGAAAATTTTTTTGACCTTTTTTTTTTTTTTTTTTCTTTCCGGAAATGGAGGTCTAACATCATGAGTTTTCCAGTATCTTCCCGGAGGTACGGAGGGCCAAGATATTGGAAAATTCATGATGTTAGGCCGGAATTGAAGGACCAAGAAGAAAAAAAAAAAAAAAGGTCAAAAAAATTTTATCTTATCGCGAACTACATAAGTTATCTTCGATTCAATGTACCACAGTTTAAAGACATCAAAACTAGGATTTAACCCAACTGAGCCAATATGTTTTATCGCTTAGTCAACCTTGCTGTATTATATTACATTAGTAGCTACTTTCGTAACTTCGTCTTACCAAGCAACTCATAGACATACTCTATAACAAATTTCATAAGGCCAATGGTTTAATTCTTTCTTCATATCGTGACATGTAGTTTTATCGGGAGTAACTTACCCAAATATATCGGTCATAGCATTACCAACCATAGACCAAGAGTATAAAAAGTACCCAGGATACATACAAATATTCCTAAGAAAAGAAACAGAGGTACATATAAAGTAGTTAAACTTCTGCCTGATCCTCGAGTGACCGTTACGTACCTTCGAACCAGATGTGGGTCAGCGGCCGGTTGAGCAGTGGCAGACACCACGATGACAGTGCTCGTTGCTACGCGTTACCTAGGTACCAAACACCTGCCGAAGTAGCAGTTATATAGCACAATAACACACCAACCAACACAAGCCAGGGCGAGGCGCGCTCTCCTCTGAATGGCAACTACCGGGACGTTTGGCTTAGTGGTTTAGCACCCGCACTTTCAATGACTTGTTCTGTGATTCCTTCGGGCTTAACATCGAGGGAGTGGCAAAATTAAATCAGTGCCCGCTAAGCGAACCGGAGGAAGGGTAGCCCATGACGGGAGAGTAGTTGGTTCGAGTCCAGCACCTGGCAAATAACTTTTTTTTTTTCGCTTTTTGAACCTGGCTGCTAGGTAGATAGATGATGCTCAGTTATTTATTTATTCTTGCCTTAGTTTTAACCAACCACCCCTTCACTTATTTAGCAAGGTCCTTCGTATATTAACCTCTTAATACGAAGTCATTTACCTGCCCAGTTATAACCATCGTATTCTTATATATATTGTTACCAGTCAGTCATTGATTTTCTTCTGTGGTATAACGGAGCAATAAATAGGGGTCCCGCGTCCTTGCTGGTTTTAAAGGGGTAGCTGGTTCAACCCTTAGCTTTTTAGATACGTATTATCTAATAAAATTTCTTGCTAGCCATGACAAATCTTAAGTTTCCCTCGGGGAAACGGGATAGATTGAAGTGCTCTGCTAACCTATGGATTACTCGACCGAGTACGCGGCCTGTAGGCTCAGGGGCGATAAATATTAATACACGACAACACCTATATATAGTATGTCTTTAAGGCCAAGGTAGTGAGTGGCCAGTATCTTACATGGTCAAATATTATGTAGACATCTTTTAACTATTACGAGGCAGAGCCAGAAAGTAGGTATAGAAAAACGAAAAACTTAACTATTCTGCTAGGGACTCTAAACCTAGGTAGTCATAGAAGTCCGTATTTATTTATATATGCTAAAATATTCCTTTGTCTTATGTCTTATAAAATCCTAACATTAACAGCGATACGCTTCACATATGAAGGCCCCAAGTTTTGCTTTGATCAAAGTAACATACGGTCTATTCGTATATCTTCTTTACCTCTTGGTGTTTTAGGTACTTCGCCGTGTGACTGTTGCATCCTGTTACCCCCCTTCCCCTCCGGGCACCAACGTCAACGGCAGACCTGATCGTCATTGACTATATTTCCCCACTTGCCAGTTTAGATGTACACCAACGAAGGAACTTAACTCGAGGGCGATGGTAGAATATATTAAGCAAGCCAGTCAGTTAATTTAGGTAATAAAATAAGTAGCAGGACGTATATGAGGCGTCCGAGTGTGGGTAACGGTCAATGAGGTGCCTCAACCTCTCGGAGCAACCCCCCTCGCTTCCTTATCTGCCGAGGAGCCGCCAGGTAATAGATGATACGAAATAGCAGCTCGTACTATCACCCTAAAACGAGCCCATCTGGTCTAGTGGTGTGATCCCTTCGCACGAGAAAAAATGCTGACGCAAATCACAGTTCAAGTTGTCTTCCGCGTTCCCTGCACGGTAGGCCATTCGCAGGCTTCTCGCAAGGTATATCCAGTCCCCTACCATTGACCGGACATGCTAAGCAACCCCGGATGACCTCATCCACCATCAATATTACAAGTGTGGTATTCATGGATCATAATCGAAGTTTCTTGGATATTGTTGTTTGTTTTCCACCAAAGGCCTACAGGCGACTTGTTACCGGTACGTACAATTCAATCTTCTACCACAGATCAGATGGGTTCAATTTTTTTTTCCCTTTTTTGTTAAGTCGGTCAACATGCCCGATTTATTGATTTTTATCAGCCTGCTGTATATTCAAGCTTCCAGCTCCCATGTAGAACTTCCTTCGTCATTTTGGCACCGGGAGAATTTCCATGGAACAGGGGCTACGAATTGTTAAGGATAACGAATATCAGTCTGCAGTGAGGCCTGAATCATATGGGAAGATATTAAGTATCTATCAAGGATGTATTTTAAGGCCTTAGCGTTGCAATTTCTGCTTCCCCAACCTTTAAAAAACCGTAGGGCTAGGGTTACGTTCGGGATGGGGATCGTGTCTAACAGGTAACTTCCTTGAGTAATTTCACGAAGTTCGTCACGACGCAATTCAGCGCATTTCAATTAGAAAGGGAAGTTAGGGTCAGGAATATTTCACGCGCGTGGACTATTTTGATAATAATAGTGCTTAACTGTAGTCATTGAACTAGAGTAGGTACCTCAAATCACCGCGATTGCAGTGCTACAGAAGCATGTCAAAATGCTGTTTTGGTCTATAATAATAGCTATTCGATGATGTGAATGGGCTCGCCAACTCATGCAATAGAGCAATTCCTGATTCGAGTGAGACGTCTATCCGGGATAGACTTATCTTTGCCAGTGAGAACAAACTACAGAGGCGCAACACCGTGAAATCCTTACTATCCCTACTCTTCGTAATGTGCGAAGACCATGTCGCAACCCTTGCGAAGTCGGTAGGCTTCAGTGACCACGATACGGTCCTCGGCGGGCAGGACGTTCTTGCAGTTCTGGCCATCCTTGCAAGCGCCCACGTTGTACGAGTAGCGGGGAGCGTCGGGGTTGTCCATGATGAAGCCGCACTGATCGTAGGACAAGTGGAAGCACATCAACTCCACACACGTGAGGGCCTCGGCACCCATAGGTCTGAACTTCCACTTCTTGGCTAGCGCAAGAGCGTCGTGGAAGTCGGACTCTATGACGTGACGGACATAGACGCCCGGAGTCGACTTGTGGCGAAGGCGCTCCATGGCCATGCTGTTCACCATGGGAACGATATCGTTGAAGTTGTAGTACTTGGCCAAGGTACAGAGACAAGTCAAGAGTTCGGTGGAATGGAACTCGTTGCGAAGCCAGTTATAGACACGTGCAGCCTCGGCATGCCAGTGGTTCAGGATGTAACTCCACTGAGATCCCTTGACCGAGTTGCGTTCGGTCTGCGAAGTTAGTGATTTAGTATACGTGTTAGGTAGAGTCGATAATGAAATAGACGTGGTTACTTACTTCGCTCTGCACTTTGCAGCCGAAACAGAGAAGGCCAGGCTTGGGGACCTTGATAACCTCCGTCGGGATAGGATGCTGGCACTTGGCGCACCAGATCCCGGTAGGGGCGTCCATCTTGGCACTAGCATTTACAATGTTAGAAGGATTCTTGAGATGCAAAGGTAACATATAGGCGGCAGGGATATGTAGCATTTCAAGTTCTACCTACCAGTGTCTATTTATCAACAGAACGATGACAAGATGTGCTGAGGGTGATGTTGTGTGGAAAGGAAAAAAAAATGCTTCCTAGGAGAAAGGGTGGAAGTGGGAATGTTTATATAGTAAGGGAATTTGGAATTTTGAGAATGATTCCAACCTGGAGCTGCAACTTTCTCATCATACAACTACCTAATGTTCTTTCCTGATTTTATCTTGTTCCCTTCCTAAAGAAAGTTGCTACAGGTGCTTTTGGACAAATAAGAACGGAGCTCCGTGATAAAAGCGGAGCATATTAGTCAATTCGGAGCTGTGTTCCTTCCAGTGTAGTTGAACTCCGGCGGAGCACATGCGGGAAAAGTGGAGCCACTCGGAGGTATGACTAAGAGTGACTTCCAATCACAATTTGTATCCACCTTCTTTCAATAGTAGGTACTATGTATTATTCAACTTTCACACCTTCCATATCTTCCACACCTTCTTCCACACCTTCCATACCAAAAGTAGATCTTACATAGTACATTGCGTGTTCTTCCCCAGCAGATCCATCTCAAGTGAGCACGTGTGATTGAAACATAGATGCTGGTAGGGCTTATTGATCTGCTACACTAGTTGTCACAGCGGGTAAGCTAAGCTGATGAAATTACTAGGATCACGTAGTCTTACCCAATCCTCATTAACCATCATCAACCTACCCTTGTGGGAAATCCTTGAGCTGACAAGAAACGAGTTTAGCTCGCAAATAAACCCCATGATAATCCATGATAATGGTACAGAATGGGTGGTAAGAAACAATATTGCTCACGCCACCTCCACCATCTTCTCTACCCAAAACAGATTCGTTTATTTGTTTCCTGTGCGTTTGGATACTAGGGTTACAGCGAATTAGAACACCGGATTTTCTATTCGACTCTTATATAATGTAACCTGATCGGGTAAGGCTAAGACGCGAAGGAGCGCTTCTTGTAGCCTTGCCGTTGGGGATTATTTATCCCGGATAGTCGGACTGTCGGGTGGGAAACAATTACCTACCTATGCCCTCGCGAAAATTTGGGCTGAGATGACTTGGATCAAGTCGTTTCCATAGGGCGCCCGGAAGCGTCTTACACAATCCTCAAGTACAGGCCAATTACCCGTAGACGGGGAGAAGACTGACTGTACTTTTCACTTCTCGTCCTCTCATAGAATGGCATCGAGTACATAATAGGGTATTAAAATGAATAAATCTGGAGCTGCGCTCCTGTTATTGTGGTCGCTTTGGTCGACAGTGGGAGCAGGACTCGGCGATGCCACGACTAATACAGAAGCGCTCAACGGGAGAGAGCAGGAGGGCCGATTAGAAAGGCTGATGAGATCGGAATGGTCTATAATACAAAATGGTGAAAATGGCAAAGATCGAAGAAGACAACTCCAGCCGACGTTGCTTACCCCGACCATGGCGGCCCTTTCTCTGCCAACTGCAACAACATCGGGAGACCATCATCTCCAAGACCGTCAGGCGGGTGGAAAGGATGATGGTAACGACGACGATGGCAAAACCCCCAAATCGCCTGCCGACGTTATAAGCAGTCTCATATCCAGCAGGGTGTCAACCAGCGTATCGAGTAGCGTGGCAGCTAGCGTATCTGCTGCCTTTTCGACATCGCTTGCGCAAGTCTCAGAATCAGCATCCAGTGCTATCTCATCCGCGCGCGAGGCAGCGCGCACCCTAGGACCGATATCACCTACGGCAGGGGCCGACACACCAGCGACAACCGATGTCTCTATTACCTCGTCTCAAGCGGTTAGTATTGCTACCGGTGAATTACCAGCAGTGGCCGCTACAACAGCGAATGCCGCGAGTGCCCAGGAGAGCGCTACTACGGTACGTATAAGCCTGCCTTTTCTGTTAAAAAGAGATTAACGGTTAAGTTATGGATGTAACTAACAATGCTTCAAGGCTAGCGCAAGTAGCGCCCCGACTCAAGGTTCATCACTCACTCCAGGAGCCATAGCAGGCCTAGTCGTAGGGATCGCAATCGCATCATCATTGCTCTCAGCTATACTCACATATCTCTTCATGCGCCGGCGCGCGAGACGACAACAAGAACCTCAAAATAAATTTGAACCCAGCTCACCACCACCACAACTCGGCTCTAACTCTGGGAGCCGCGGATTTATGAATCACTCCCACTCCCACTCACTCTCTAACGACCTCTCTATCTTCCAGATGACATACACCTCCCCAACACCCACAAACCACAACCGAGCGGCCAACTTCAGCAGCGATTTCACGCCAGACATGAAGCAGCGGTTCGCCCCAACTCCCACTCCAGCTCCAGCTCCAGCTCCAGCTCCCACATCAACACCAGTAACCGCACCACCTGTAACAGAATACCCAGCAATGGCACAAACCACACAGCACGCCACCAAGCTCTCCGCACCCCCCGCAAAGCGCACCTCGCGCGTGCGCTCCCGCCCGCGCCCCCTCTCCGACCCCTCCGTCGACGACGGTCTCGGCCCCGTATTCCCCGTCTCGCCACTAAGCTCCGAAGGCGACGGCCCATACAGGAGTAGCAGCACGCGCACAGACCGCCGCCCGTCGCCGTTAAGTTACGAGGGCGGCGGCGGCGGCGGTGGCGGTGGTGGTACAGTCCCTCGCTCCGCATCAACGCGGCTATCGCTCGCGCGCCAGCAGAGTCTTAACGGTGGACAACGGGCGCATCTCGTACGCGTGGGCAGTCAGCGGAGCCAGGAGAGGGAAAGACAAAGTGGTAGTGGTGGTGGGCACTTAGCAGCGGCGGGGACTGCGTCGGGACAGGGACAAGGACATGGCGAGGGGTTGACTAGGCTGTATTCGTTTACGACGGATACGAGCGAGAATGGGAATTCGACGGGCAGTGGCGATGCGCAGCCGCAGCCGAGTTATCTACAGCCGCGGCCGCTGGTCAAGTACGCGGTCTCGAGTAATACCGGCAATTCCTCTCCGGGATTACAGGTCCAGGCACCGGTCCCGAGGAGGCCGGTCGATCCGTATTATTTTGAGAAGGGTAATAATTACTATTAGGGACTACGTGGCAACTGGCATTGTCGGCATGGTTGTTGGAGACGATGATATGGTAATTATGGGGAGAAGGGGGAGGGAGAATTCGACTTGATGCTATTAAGGGGCGTGCCGGTTAGAAAAGTGCTCTGGTTGGCGTCTAGGAGCTTTATATCCGCCGACGAGCTGTTGGCGTTTGCGATATCTACCTTGTAAATACCTAGTCTCGAACATGAGTCTTGAGACTGCATTTATACCATTTATACCATTTATACCATTTATACCATTTATACCATTTATGCCGCGTTCCATTTTTCTAGATTATGAACGTCCACAAAGCTATCACAGTAATTCAACACTAAACAAGTCAGTTATGGTACTGAGAAATTAGCAAATGTAGCACAATAATTTTCATTACCTTAGAACGCAAGTTTTATATACAGTTACATCAAGCCTAGAGCAAGACTCCCTACGGCCAAGCACTTTGAGGCCGAGAAACCATCAACCCCCGCCTAACCTAACGCCAACCATGCACACCGACACGCCGTGAAGACATGTTCTAATACTAAGACATCGTCCCAACTACCCTCTTCAACCTCATGCCCGTCAGACGTGGGCGGTACTTGCCCGGGCCCTGCGTCGCTTGTGGGCTGGACCTGTGACTATTTTGTAGATACGGCAATATCCGAACCGCATCGAGACACCAAAGTCGTTATTCATCCACCATCGTGGAGCAAGATGCGTGCAGGGAACTTATACGGGCAGCTTGAACTTCCTGCCCTTGAGCACCTTGTTGTAATAGATCCAGAAGAAGTCGCTGTACAGAATCGTCTGGATGAGGCCGGCGACGATAGCAATCCAGTCAGCCTTGTGGTCGGGCTCGGTGAGGTACCTGTAAATCCAGTTGGGGATGTAAAGAGCGCGGTAGATGCCGAGCGCGAAGAGATAGTGGGTGGTAATGACCTCAGCTTCGCCGGTCCTCTGCAACATGAACAGTTGGGGAAGGATAGCAACGGATTCCAGCCAGATCGAGAAGGCCCACATGATCTCCGAAAACGTATACTTATACGGCAGGAGAATCGCGAGGACGGCAGCACCACCCAGAAGATATTGGACGCGGAAGGTATCTTGGCTCGGATCGATGGTCGGCTTGTACTTGGTGGTCATTAGGTAGATGATATAACCCTGGCTGCTGATGAAGAGGATCTTGAAGATGACGTTGTAGAGGCTCGACGTGTTGAAGAGATCTACCGATATTTCGTTAGCTTTGCTGTACTGCCTTGCCTTACTCTTCTGTCTTGCCGTAGAATAACATACCTAGATATCGAGTAACGTAAACAATTAGATACAAGGCTTGTGATTTGAACGAGATACCAGAAGCGCCCTAAAAATAGCTAGCCGTTAGCCATTACCCTCCCCTCCCCAAACCGCAGGACGTAACTAACATTGAGCTCGATCATCTTGTGTAAGAGGATCCCGATGGACGCTAGATGGGAGAAGTCTCCTAAACGTGGTCGTTAGAATATTTACAAGAAATACCTGGCCGCAATTGGTGCTTACCCAGGACTCGGAAGACGTTTAACGGCATGGCTGCTGAGAGGGAGCAAAGCTCCTAACGGCTTTTCAGACGAATGGGCGTAATCGCGTGCGTCTAACGAAGGGATCTTAAATAATCATGTAGGTATTGTAGGAACTGAGCCTATTACTCGGGACTCGACGAAGGATTCACAGACGAGGCCGCGAATACTAAAGGTAGCTGTTATGTTGACCGGCAGAGGCAAGAAACGACTTAACCTAGACTCTTGTTAAGAATGTTTAATGTTTCTTGAAAGGACACAATTACACCTGCGACGCGATTGACGTATGATTGGATCTCTAATTGTGGCTTGTCGTAATAACGAAAATACCCAAGATTAGATTATTAGATCACTAGCCACAGTTTGAATGATGTCACGCAATATATTATCTTCCTATTGGTTGGCATTTGCACGGTGGAGCAAACTCAAACGGGGGCTCGGCATCAAATCGTACCTGATACAAACGTCCATCGAATCTCTTGGCAACTTGAGGCATCCGACTTCTGACGTACCGACGGATTACAAAGCTTCCTATTGTTACAACACATAGTTACAATGTAAGTGAACCACACTTTGTAGAATCTTCGACGGTAATGGCTAGAAAGAAATCATAAAATTTCTCGACGCCAATAGGTAGGGCTGGTTTTTCTTTATTTGATATTCTATTATTTATTATTTCCTATAACTACCTCCTAACGTATAACTCTCTCATCTATCATCGATAAGTTTGCCTATCAACATCCTTTTATATTCTTATATAAATACAAAAAAATACCCTTATCTCCGATCTCACCTCCATCCAACATCACGCAACTGTAGATATGGCAGACCAAGATGGGACGTCGCCCAAATCCGGCGAGATTGCTATTAGCCTTACACATCACGGAAAACCGTACAACTTCACCACAAACCCAACCGCCACCGTCGCCGACCTTGCCGCCCAAATCCAGGATGAACTACACATCCCCATCAGCAACCAGAAGCTCATGGTCTCTAAAGTCGGCCTACTCAAAGCCCCCTTCGCCGAGCGCCCCGTCACCGATCTCCAGGACAAAAAGATAACCCTAATCGGTACATCGACCGAGGAGATCGCCTCCCTAGCATCGGCTTCGCAAAGCGCAGCGCAGCGACAAGCACACCTAGCCGCCGCGCGGCGCAATCTTCCCAAGGCATACTCGCGCCGGGACCCGCAGCGCGCTCTCGAAGACAGCACGTACACATTCGCGACCGTGCGCCCCCTCCCCAATCTGCCGCACCCAGAGCGCTCCCTCGCCTTCCTCGAGCGGCTGAAAGCCGACCCGGGGATCCGAGCCGCGATGCGCACGCACAAGTTCAGCGTCGGCCTGCTCACGGAAATGGACCCGTTATCGTACACCGAGGCTTCGCACGAGGGAACGACGCGGATCCTGGGGCTGAACCGCAACGCGGGCGAGGTCATCGAGCTTCGTCTGCGCACGGATGCGTACGACGGGTACCGCGATTACAAGACCATACGGAACACGCTGTGTCACGAGCTGGCGCACAACGTACATCAGAACCACGACCGCGCGTTCTGGGACCTAACGCACCAGATCGAGAAGGAGGTTGCGCGCGCGGATTGGACTCGCGGGGGGCGGAATGTCGGGGGCGAGCAGTTTTACGAGCCCGAGGCGCAAGAGGAGGTGGCGTATGATCATGGCGGGTGGACGGGCGGGGAGTTTGTTCTCGGAGGGGGAGGTTCGGGGGGTGGAGGCGCGTTGAGCAGACGGGAGATCATGGCCAAAGCGGCGGAGGAACGTATGAAGAAGCAGAAACAGGCTGAGGAGGAGGCGAAGGGGAATCGGTGATGTGTTGAGTGAGATATGATACGGAATATGCGGTTCTACTAAGCAAGCATCTTACGTTTTCCTTAAGCTAGGCGATACTACAGGGGAAAGGGCTTCTTGATTTGTTGCATGGCTATGGTGTTTAGGGATGGTATAAGTAAGCTGGATTGGTCTATAAGCAAGCGTATAGGCGTATATTTTACGAGCTATGAGCTGTTTGAACAATAGAATGGAATTTTTTTTTCAAGGGGTGTGGGATGCTTTTACTTGTGGCAATAACTTTTTGCCCTTACTTACTTACCCCTGAAAGTCACGATGAGCTCAGCAAGGGGGAAAGGTGCGCATCATCCTCAAGATAGATAAGTATGATAGTAATCCGCATATGTTTTGTAATGGATATAGTTCTGTTCATGGGTGAGTGCTGACGCGGACACTAGATTACCTCCTTTACCCTATCATACTTATAAGGGAAAGCTCGTTTATATATAGGAATTACAGCACCTGATATCTTACCAATGTACTCTCATATAGCAGTTTTCATTGAGCCCCCTTTACAACCGTCTTCTCCACAACCACCACAACAGCCTTCCCATCCTGCTGCTGTTTCGCAACCGTCTTGACCTCCTTCTCCTTCTCCTTCTCCTTCCCCTTTTCACCCGGCGGCGGCTCCGGGTTCTTGACCCACTCCTTGAGCTCCGGCACCCAGCGATGTCTGTCATACAGTCAGCAATCTTCGCCCTAGCTTATCTTCACGGGAGAAGTATAGAATTCAAAATTATAGGTTAGGGAGATGAACGAATGCGTATCAATCAACCAAGCTGTATGTACAGTTTAACTCACCCAGCCCACTCCGTATTAACAAGACTCTTGGCGCCGTACTCGTCCGTAAGGATCTTATCGAACGCGTACGGCACATGCGCAGGCACGCCCTCGAACTCGGTGCGCCGCAGGGGGTAGATCTCGCGCGTGCGGTACCGGTGCGCGTTCTTGCAGCTCCAGACCCCCGGCGCCCCTGCCGCGTCCCGCTCCGCCAGCCCCGTGATGTCGATGAAGAGCCCCGTCCCGACGTCGATCCATCGCGCGTCGATTATGTTGGCGCCGTTGCCGCGCGTGAGGTCCGTATGGTGCGGGTTTACGTCTAGGAGGTACGTTTTGTTGATGTATACGATATCTTCACCACCGTCGTCTATAACATCGTCTCTTCTACCCCTATTCCCATCCCCACTCCCACTCCCACCAGCGACAATCCTCTCCCCGCCCCCCTCGACGACAAACCGATAATCGTGCAGCGTGCGATTGAAATGGCGTCCCAGATACGACAGCGTAGCCGTGGGCATCTGCACGTCGAGGTCGTAGTCCCACGGCATAACCCTGCCGTTCCACCACCAGCCCAGCAGCGTCCCGTGCGCGAGCCACGTGTCGACGCCGAGCTCGCGCGTCGTCGTGAGCCACGACCGGATGAGCCGCTGCAGCGCCGGCCGGTGCTCCGCGTACGGCACCACCCCCCGGAAGAACCGCGCGTCGTAGTGTCCTAGCTCGAGCGTGCCGCCTGCTTCGTGGAAGTACTTGGGGTGGTGCTGGGGGTCGGGCTTGGACTTGCTGCTGCTGGGGGGTTTTTTGTGCGCGGCGTTGGGGAGAGCGATGGTGGTGGTTGTGGCGAGAGAGAATAGGAGGATTGAGAGTGTGAAATGCATTCTGGAAAGGGGAAGCAAGCAAGCAAGCATCCCTAGATGATCTGGGGATCCCGCAGCGGGTTCATTGGGAAGTATCAGTGACGGGATGCATCTTTTCTGCTAGCCAGCTTTCGAAATATTGCTGTCTTCGACCCCTATATGATATCCAAGAGCGATGATGGTGTTTAATCAAAATGTATCTCGTCTTACACCAAATCTCCGTCATATTACGTGTTCAAGTGGCATCTAATGGCCGTTTTAACTATTACTCTACGGACATATGAGACTGAAGGCTTACTTACACCACGCCTCCAGTGACTGCGTAGTTTTGTTGTCTTCTTTAAGTGTGCGGATTTAGGAGGGTGTGTTGATGGACTGAAACCAACTGTAAGTGTATATCGAGACCTATTGATGCAGTGATGGTTGGGTTCCCTACACCACCGTCGAAATGCTGTTGGTGAGATGTTAAGGAGTCTATTAATGATATATTATTTGTATGAAGTATTTAATAACTCAAGCGATGTCAACAAGAGCCTAGATGGTGCAATATTCTTGAAAGGTGAATAAAGGTCGAATTATAATATTACAGGATCTTAATTGGCCCCCAGCCAGCACTCAGGGGTGCAAGGAACAAAACTTTTATAGTAAAGACTACCCACCTACCTACCTACCTACCTATGCAACACGCAAGTGTCTATGTAAGTACTTGGCGTAAGTGTTAACATAAGATAAGAATCAACCACGCGAGCGACTCCCCAATATAAGCTCCTCGAGTCAAATCACAATAGAAATATAGAAATGTAACAATCGCATGTTCCTCTTCACACTAGAATTCATGCTTACATGCTAAGGATATATCACCCCAATCCTCGCCCCTGGAGCATAGACGTATTGCCGAGTTTATATGGCTTAGTACGCAGGACACCACCACTGATACAACGGTCTAGCGTGCGAGCCGCGAACTCTAGGGAGTCTTCTAAAGGAACTTTAATTCTATAGCCTGGTCGTACCTAATATAACATATTCCCAAGCTAGTTTACAGACTTATTCTAAATGGACATACCCTCCAAAATATTGCATTGTGCAATAAGAGGACAAGAGCTGTAATATCATACCGGGCTATATATATAAATTCATATACCGCACAGATGCGAGGTTAACCACTGCAGCCCTAGTGCATTCGAACGAAGTCAAATTTTCGAATATCCGCTAAAACGATATCTACGGACATGAAGCTGCCTGACTGACTGCCTACCTACCTACAGACCTCCAGGATTTCCAACACGCACGAGGAGTGAAGATTTTGACTTAAAGAAGCGAGACTGGAATCACGGTGGCAAAGTAAAACCTGAATGGGCTTTCTCATCCAACACCACCTATTAAAGTACAAACTGATTCTCCGGAGCGCTTGATATATTCCTGTGATAGTTGAGCTGTGTTAGTACGTATGAACCACTTGAAGCAATTATGCCCTAGAGACTTATAGTATTGGAGGTCTTGGTAGGGTTGCCTAAGAGGATAGATACCTAATAGCGCTTCATTACTGGGATTACTTTTCTCGATTCGCCGTCTTTTAGTAGCCACCTAAATACTCTTCCGTAGCTGAACTACGACTCCAATAAGCGATGCCCCTAACGCCCGCCATCACCTGGCCTCAATGTGCTATCTAATATCTGACTTATACATATCAAGTAGAACTAGCTAACTGACCGATGGTTTCATCGTCAGCAATGAGGCAATCTCGGATAGCAACAATCTCGGATAGCAACATCTTGTAGTTAACCAGATAGGTAGACACGCCATGGATGTAGCTTAACCACAGTATTAATAAGTCTTCACATTCTCCCGACAATACCTCCTCAACGTCTCCGAGTCCTAGTCTCCGGCACCGACTCAAAATCATCCGAAATCTCATCATCGCTAATCTCCAACGGTTCCTGCTGCGACGCCTTCTGCGAAAAGTTCAATTTCGTCTGCCGTGGCTTCGGGGCCGCCTTAGACGCAGCAGCAGTAGACGCAGCCTTCGCTGTCTGCGATGACCTGGTAGACGCCGCCCTTGCCGTCGTAGTTCTCGTCGTAGTGCGTTTCGGTGGTGGCGGGGGATCAAAATCATCGTCATCCATTACGACGTCTTCCTCCTCCTCTTCCGACTGCTCGAACAACTGCGCTTTACGGCCTCGGCCTTTGGCGGGTGCTTTCTTCGCTGGGGTTGCCTTGGGTTTAGGTGTTGCTGCTGCTGCGGCTGGCCTACCTCTCGCCCTCGTTTTCGGCGCCGGCGGCTGCGGCTCGATGTCCTCCATATCCTCATCCTCATCCTCTACAACTTGCGCCGCTTTCCTCCCGCGGCCTTTAGGCTGGTTTATCTGTGGCGTTGTCTTAGACGTAGTTGTCTCGTGGTCGATCGCGTCGGGGTGATCTTCCCAATGACCGTCGAGATCAGAGTCCCAAAGGTCCGGCTTTGGCTTATATTTGCGTCGTTTCGCCTGTTTTAGATTGCCTGTAGTATACTGCGTCTCGAGGATCTGCTTAATGTTCCCCATTGCCGTGTCTATGTTTTCAGGGTCGGCTTCGTTGCCCTCTAGTAGTAACATCTGTCTCACTTGCTCCGAGAGCGATTCGCTCACAAACGATTCCATAGCGTGTTTGTCGTCTTTGTCAACGAACTGGTTAACTGCATCGCCGAATGGTGCTTGTGGAAGAATTTTCAGGGATTGTGCTTGGGCAGACAAAAATTCTTCAACCAGCTTGCCGACTTTAATATTCTCTATTTCGTCCAGGGCCGCCAATAGCTCCTCCGACAGTTCTGTATCTTTTGCGGTTCTCCCTACTGCGTGTTAGCTATATTTGCAATTGCAAAATTGGTTACCAAACTTACTCTGCGCCGTCTTTTTCCGATAAAAGTACACAACATCATTGGTATTTGCCACCTTTCCTTGAAACCGATTGGAGAATCGCTGCGGGTTTTCGATATCGTAATGCCCTCCTTCTGGAGCAGTGTACTCTACCTTTAGACGAATTAATGGTAGAGGTCGCTCGCCGTCTAGAGAATCACCCTCCTGAATAGATTCCCACTCGGCATTAGCTTCTTCGATCATTTCCTCGACTACGTCCATTAATTTTCGCGTGAGCTCCTGGCGGTTTTCTTTCTTCTTATCTAGACCTTTAAATCTCTTGTCGTTTGCTAAGATGATCTCGGCGGTCATGAAAGGGCGGACTGATTTCAACCGATGCTTCTCTACTTTGAAATCTCTTCCTGTGATGCTTACCACGGCGACGTGTTTGGCTACGGCTTCGCCGGGGACTAAGGATGTGGCGACTGAGGAGCCTGGCTGCATAACATGGAAGCCAGTCTCTGGATTATGTGAAGGGTCGATTAGACACTCATGTTCGTGGCCCCAAACAACCAAATCTAGCCACTCAGGTAACATATTCTCGGGCAGATAGCCGGTAGCAGTGTGAGCGTGATGATTCTGGTGGACGGCAAGGAGGTTGAACCAATCGCTCGATTGCTGGCTCGGTCTAAACCACTTGACATTATGATCACGGAATGTCCGAAACATGCGTTCATCTCGCACGTTGCTTATTCCGTAGAGTGCTAGTTTGGTCATGCCTTTCTGAAGTAAGACTGGTTTAGCTTCGATATCGTCTGCTCGGGGCACACGTCCGAAATAGTTGACGAGTCCGGCGACTTGAAGTAGATCCAAAGAACAAAAGTTACCTTCGCCGCTAGGATCGTCATGGTTGCCATGGATGGAGAAGACGGGGATAGAGATATTGATATCGGGATCTTCATAGTTGACATGCCCGAAGGCACCCTGAAAGACTTCGTTGGCATCGCTCAGAAACTGTATTTCACACGGCTTCAAGCCAAGACAGTTCTTCCTTAAGGATCGCATAACCTGGAACATGGCTTTCCTGGACGGTTTATTATCGTGGAATAAGTCCCCAGCTAGTAGTACCATATCAACCTACTTGGTAAGCGACTATAAGCAGGACCCTGAGACACAGTACTTGCTTACATCTTCTTTCCTGGCTAAATTCATAATCTCATCGAATGACTTCCAGCTATCATCGCCACGGATCGGATCTCGTTCCTCGTAGCCCACATGATTGTCAGTGGCGACGAGTATACGGATGGTATCCGCATCTACATTCCGTATACGATTAACTTAGAGTCAAAAATGCCAAGGAGGTGCCGCCTATGGAAACTCACCGGTTAATTGTGATTGTGCCATAATTCGTAACGTCGTTAATAATGGGTTACAAGGTGGTAAATATAAATATGGAATTTGTTAGAAGTGCCATCTAAGTCATTAAAAGGGCGGTTTCTTCATACGTCATTTATAGGTAGGTTAGGAGGTACTTAAGGAATAAATTCAAGGGACGAACTGAAGACGCGCCTCGCGTTTGCCCCGCTGCCTCGTTATCACGTGCCTAGCGTACGTACCTATTAATATCTAAGGCAAGTACATACGAATAATCACTTTCTCAAGAAGTGGCGAATCTATAAATCATCACCTCCTAAAGAATCTACCTAACATAAGGTAGTCATACTAAAAATATATATTTCTATAGTCCAAACCTTCGTATACTACACGTGAATCTCGCTGATCCCCCGAATCCGCATACATAATGTAATCGTACAAACTAGTTATATGAATATTCTTCTATTCTTCGCTAGCATCGTTTTGCCATGATAAGCTTCAACTGTGTTCCTAGCTCTCAAGCAATTGCTAAATCAATATCACGAGCCCAGAATGTGCGCTGACTCAAAAGGTGCAAAAGGTATCCTTCCAAAAAGGTGTTCCATCCAGTTCCAAAATTCAATACATGATCCGTCTTAAAAACGTGTTCGAATGTATACCCGAAGAAAAACGCCAGTCAAGGAATTGAACCGAAACCAGAGACCCAAACCCGAGCCAATAAGTAAGACCTATCAATAATGTATACGCCGCGTCTCACGCATGCGACGACGAATGCATTTCCCAATTGCTGCTACTCTTCACACTTACGCAGCTGCGGGCGTAGGGACTGAGTCGTCTCTGCTCACCTTCTCAGCTACCTCTTCCCACCATACTCCATGGGCTTCCCGGTCCACAACCCCTACTTTAACAATCTCATCGACGATCTCTCGCACTTTCTCCCCAAACTCCGGCAGTCCGAGGCTTGCGAGTTTCTCCCCGGCTGTACTGGTGGCCTTGACCTTTTCGCTCGCGGAACCGGCTTGCAACCTAGCTAGGATGTGGCCTCTAATTCGTGTTAGGAGGAGCCTTAATACGGGTTCTCCAGGGTCCGTATTGTCGCGGTTTGCATCCATGCTGGCAGCAAGTACCTTTGTTACAAGAGCTTGTAAGTGTGTCTTAGTGGCTGTTGGCATCGATCGCCCTGCTTCGAGCGCTGCCATGATGCCGTGCGTAGCCGTAGACTGTGGAAGTGGCTTCGAATCATTATCCATAGACTCAAGGACGGTCAAGATGCGACCGGCTTCTGTCCTCCAAGGGGCTCGGACATCGCGCTTGAGCATATTCTTGCACTGTAGGAGGATGGCACCCGCCGTAACGATGCGCATCGTTTGGCGGCCTATACGAGCACGGCGTTTGACATCGAGGGCGAGTGGTTCCGGCACAGTTTCATCTGATGGTGATGGCTGTGTAAACTCGTCTAATAGCATCTGCCAATAGATCTTGTCCGGAGTGGGCCGCGAACGTGGGTGATTGATGCCCTCGGGGTCGCGGCGCGAGACTTCCGCAAGCACTTTATTACGCGCATTTCGCCAAGAAGTCTCCGCGCGATGAAGCGTGATCGTGCCATCCTCTAGCTCCTCGGCAAATCTCTTTGTTTCGTACGCAGAAGCGTGCTCCACGAGACTTGGTGCTGCAACTTGTAACATGTAGTTTGCGTAATCATAAATCATAGTATCGATAAATGAGAGGAGCGCCTCGAGGCGGTCGACAACGTGTCCTTGACTAAGTTTGTTCTCGACTAAATCTTTAACCTCGTCATCACGAACCGGAGCGCAAAGCTTCGGGAGAAGAGACCCCATAGACGAGAAGAATCGCTCATACGAGAAGCTACCCGCCAAGAACTGCTGTTGTGAGACCTCGGTGTCGAGGATTTCGCCGATAAAAGTATGCATAGATGAGCCAGGTTTAACTAGATGCTGAAGTCTGTCTCTGATGTAGTTGGCCATTACCATAAGATAATGAAATTCTTTCTCTTCGTCCCTTGGGCCGGTTTTTAGGTCTTGAAAAAGGGGGTTCATGCGAAGCTCGTGCTGCTCTTGGAAATGCTGGTATTCGATGCGATACTCCCGATTGATAGCTAACTCGTGAACAATTACTCGGTTGTCTGGGAGGATCGGGGGGTAAGTCGGCTGGCTTATGTTAAATTTCAGCTCTTTCTCCCGGAGCGGAGTAGGAGGTGGTGTGAGCGTCTGTAATTGAGACGAAATAACATGATCGGCTGTTGCGTCGTTTCCGACCGAGTTATCATTGCTAAGATCATGCTCGGTGGCTCGTGGTTTCATGTCGCCTGCAGGTCTTTTCGCAGCCCTGGCCTTCCTTGCTTGCTTGACGGCATCAAAAATCATTTTCTTTCCTCGCTCGGCGCCGGCAAGTCTCTTTATTCGGACCATCAGCATCAGCTGGTTGTCTTTGATGCTCTGTCGGTAGGAATCAGCAACGGCTTCTTCGGTGCCATCTTTAACCGTTTCGAGTATTGCGTCAAGTTCCACGAATTGTAGAATCATGACTTCGACCAAGGCATTTGAATCACGAGCCTTCCATGCTATGAATGCGTTGTGGAATGTCGCATACGATTCCGGTAAAGCCGCCTGCAACGCTGGTGGAACTGTATAATTGTTCATCAAGGTCAATCGAGAAAGGATATTCTCGAAGGAGATCAACAAATCTCGTGCCTTACCGACGAGATCCTGTAACTGTGGATTAGCCAGATCATCATGAGGAATGGGTTGCCCTTGAGAAGACCCAACCTGTTCCTGTTCTCCCCTATGGTCCTTATTGCTCAGGACCTGGGTAGGATGGCCTAAAATTAAGAAAGCGCTCAGGAACGTGCGAACAGCGGTCATCTCATCCACCGACCCCGGCTCGCCCTCTTGCAAGCCGCAGATGCGCAAGACTCTTGAAGTAAGCAGAAGGACCCTCTCTTGAGCAAGAAGTTCGGTCACTTGCTCGAATGAGGTATCTCTGACGCTATCAATGTTCAAGCCGAGCTCGGAGAATTGGCGTACCGCCATCCTTCTCAGTACTCCTCTCCACCACCATTGAATCTTGGACACCGCTACATCCTCGCTCATGAGAACGACATCACTCATGGTTGAGGATTCGTGTTCCTCTTCCTCCGGTAAACTACTTGTGTCAGATCTCTTCGTCATTATGCTCTGGCCTCTAGAACGTTTGGCTGTATGGCGACTGCGTAATTCCTCCCTCCTCTTCTCTGCCTCAGCCAATCGCTCCTCCATCTGGGACTTGAGCTTGCGCAGCTCCTGTTCCCTTTTTTCCTTCATGCTCTCAGCCACCGCTTTGGCCCGCTTTACTTCTTCGGCGCACGCAGCGACGATTTCGGCTAAGTTCTTCTCTCTGGCTTGAGCAGCAGCCAACGCACGCTCTTCTAAGTTAGAACTCTTCTGGTGGGCTGCCTTTGCCATGGCCGCTCTCAAGCGCACCTTCTCAGCGTGCGCCGCCCTATCGGCAAGACGGGCCTTGCGATCTTCGAGGATCGAAGCACGACGCATCTGCTGGGCAATGTATTTGCTCTGCGGGCCGCCATGGTGGTTGAATCCATGCGAAGACCGCGAATGCGCAGAGGAGATGGAATTACGACGCGATGAGGCGGCCGACTCTTTTCGACGATTCTGACTGGGTCGATAAAATCGTGCGGCTATGTGAGGAGGCGGGGTGTATATTCTAGCGCCCTCATCATCTGTTGTCAAAGTCATGTCTAGATCAGAATCTATAGACGTCGGGTCTGGAGTGCCTATTGATTCCTCGATATTTCGAGAGGGGTCGGTCAAGTCTACGGAAGCGCGACGCATTGTGACGACGGATCGTTGGGTTAAGAGGGGCCGCTATGTATAAACGCGCTTATCCAGGGTCAACGGTCAACGGTCAACTTTGATGCACGTAAGAAATGAGAGGGGGCGCGGCACGACAAAAATGACGAAAATCAGTTGACTGTCTGCAGCACCAGCAGGGTACGTTTATGGGTCGTATTTTGTCCTTGTATAATTCGTGTATGGAAGCAATCGAGTCTCAATTATGCTCGTTGTCACTGTTCGTTTGGTTGTGGCGTTCTCCAACCACAGGCCAACAACGAAGTAAACGCAGCTAACAGTAAAGTGGGAACGAATGGGACTTTGAAATAAATGCAAGTGGCCGCCACAAGAACCACAAGTGAAATATAATAAGCTTAGAAGAAAAAGAAACAAACAGAATATGGAAGAGGTATGAAGAATACAAAATAGTAAACGAATCGCGACGAGGGCGAAGAATCGCAGGATTCCTACTGCAGACTTCCGAGTTGACGGAATGGGAAGAAGAAGATGATGATGTATGATGTATAATAAGTTTAAAAACGCAACCAGAAGAAGAAGAAGGTTGGCGTAAGTGCAGTAAGTGCAGTAAATAACTTGGAAAAGTTTCGGGCTGGAAACATTGGACATTGGACATGGAACATGGAACATGGAACATGGAACATCGGTATGCGGTACAATCAAAATGGCAATTGGCAATTATGACAGATGACGGAAGGATTGCAACTGAGAGACCAGCCGCAGCCGGTCGTCTCAGAGGTCTCCAGTCTCCAGTGTCCCCAGTTCCAACTAGTCCACCCAAATGAAACGGCGAAACATGCATGAAGTGCAGGTGTGTACAAGATTCTCTTGCATCTCTGACTAACCCTTCTCGTATTCTACATACCAACAGACCAGTTGGGTGCCTTTAGTAAGCGGGGACACCAGTGCGTTCTTTCCGTTTCCACCGCTCCGCTTCCGTTTCTCATCGAAAAGTTAAAAGATAGGTCCAATGGAGTTTATCGCATCTGCACATGCATGCCTTAAGTACCCAGATACCCAGATTAGGTACAATACCTACATGTAACCCCCGTGATTTTACTAGCGTTAATTCCAAGTTTTAAAGGGTTGTTATCAATACTTGAGCCTTGAATCAATGCTCGAATGCGCTAAAGATAGCATCACGCTGATCAGATCTACCTACATCTAGATATCCATCTGACGTTTGCAACGTCATATTTAAATTATCAGGGGACTAACAAGCACGTAGCAAACACGCCTATGTTCTCCCCGTTTCGCACATGGGGGGCATTATTCAATGCGCGCTACGACAGATACCAAGGACCCAGGACCGTATCAGAACTGTATGTCTCAGCTGAGTATGGGAATCAGCCGCATTTACAGCGTGATGTGACCCTAGCTCGTGAGGCTCAACAACAGCGCTAAGCTTTCAAGATTCGCATATAGGAATCGTCAATGGTCCAATAGGAGTCTACTAGTGGTACCGACGATTCTTGATGAAAAATCCTAACATGAGGTTTAGTATTAAAGATGCCCTCGACAGATAGAGAATTCAACCAGACAAGTTTAATTAGGTATAACTACTCACCTAGGTATATATATGAATAACTACCTAAGATATCTTAATACTAACCTAGTATGAAAGATCCTAGATGCCACAACCGGGACTGCTATGTATGTAATTCTATCAACGCTTTGTCTTGCACGTCCCTGATCAAAGCGTTCTCCCGCAAGCAGTATGGCAGTAACCGCTGGATATGTCACTCGTAAGCAACTTCTTCTTTGTTCGCATATTATCTGGATCTATTTAGTGCCATAACAATAAGTATTAGAACCTAGTTACTCTTGATTTGGCTTTTGACGGACTAGTCAGAGCTTTTACATTATAAGCTACAATTAAAATGGCAGAACACGGAGGTTTGGCAGGTCCCGATGAAGTCAGCTACGATCCCAGCATATTCGAGGAAAAGTATCGAGCGCAGAATTGGAGGTTCTCTCGATACCGACAATTCGGCCACAGGGAACCCTCCTCTAGGCAATTTGCCCAGAACAGGGCTCAGTGGTTGGCACACCCGTTTCCAAGAGCAGGTTCACCTCAGATCCGAGGAGGAGGAGAAGAATTTCCGTCATTTTATTACAATCCTTACATAAGAGAGGGAGTTAGAACACTTAACGAGCGGGCACTGAACAGACTCGAGGAGGCCAGAAACTATTTTATTCACCAGGGAAGATTCGATTATATAAGACCACTAGGCTACGGTGGTTTGGGACTAACTATTCAATTCAAGTGGCGGGGTTCAGAAGTTGGACGTGAAGACCGAGACATCGTATTGAAGATAGGTCTCAAGGGATGGGTTAGTTTGGATATCCGCGATGAAGAGGAAATGACGAGGGTAACATATACCCACTGCTACTCACTATTACAAGCTTTATCTAACTACGTCGTAGCAAATGTCACGAGCGGCCCACGTTATCCAGGCCATCGACCCCGTAGAGGTAGGAATGCCCCCCAAAACAAAATTTGTATTTCCGGAGGTACCCCGATATGATTCAAGTGATGAAGGGGAATCCAGCGGCGACGAGAGCCGCAGTGACGAACCAGCTCAGGGGGTACCCACTCGGAGGTGGCGAATGGAAAACGAGCCCGAGCAGATGCTAGAGAAAATCAGACTACACGAAGAGAGATTGGCCGCAAGGCGCGCCGAACTCTCTACATGGGCAAAGACCTTTAAGACAGTATCTACATTGATAAGCCGGGGGGAAGAGGTCGATCCTCAACTTATCAGGTCGTGGGACCTAGAATATAAGGACTTCCTCCTTCTTGAGTTTATGCAACTTGGTGACCTTGCCCACGCTATTTCTAAAATACACGGAATGGACGGGAATATTCCTAACCGTGTCCTCTGGTCATTCTGGCACTGTTGTACGTGAAGAACTCATCTTCGTCCTCCCCCTTCTCTAAATCGTTAGCTAATTGAATTATTAGTGGTTAAAGCTTGTATCGCTATGTGGTAAGGACTCCCCAAATATTTACATACGCCATAAAGCCATCAAATTCGCCGGGCCTTTTTATGTATAGTAGGTATAGCATAAAGCTGACGCACTATTATAGTTATCCCCCACGGAAATTCCACCCCAGGCGTCGCGGGAGACCCCAAGATCATGCAGATGAAGCCGAGATTGATGATCTAAGAAGGAGACAAGAAGCTGGCGAAGATGTTGTCGTTGGGAAAACCTTGGGCAATGATCTTTTCGAAGAAATCCCTGTCGCGAAACGCAGGTGGGCTCGCAAGAATCTGGTCCATTTCGATATTGATCCCAGCAATAGTGAGTAACGAAAGCTTTCTCAGCAGTAGGTTCCGGTTATTAACGTCCTCCAAGTATTCATCGCCCCTCCTGACTTCGGTGCCAGAGACGGCGAGCATGATTTAATCCCTAGGTTGAAGGTATGTTATTCATGTCAGACAAGCAGGCTTTCTTGTGCTAACAAGAGCGATCGATAGCTTGCCGACTTTGGGTGTGCCCGCTTTATAAAGCAAAACAAGGGAAATGCATATTACCTCGAGAGGCGTCGAATGGCCAAACAAGGATACTTTGCCCCTGAACAATTCGGTATTGAATGGGAACATATCGCACCTGTGTTTCCCGATGGCTGGGAGCTTTCCGAGCAACCGGTTGCTGGTAACTACTGGTCGGCGATGAACATATGGGGAATTGCATGGGTAACACTCCCGAGTAAAACAGCAAGGATTGGAGGGAATCTAGACTAATATTCATACAGAGTATGTGGATGCTCATCACGGGGTGCCACGTACCAGATGCGCCCCAAAGGCACGAACCAGAAGACCCGTCCGAGCCGATCCATTATTGTCCGGCAATACTCGATGACTTTGACTACGGAAATGTTGATAGGGAACTTCGAGAAACGATTGCGGCATGCATGAGACATGACCCCCGTGATCGTCCGACCCTGATAGAATTGTCGGAGCAGGCGACGAGAAACACAAAAAAGATGTTTCCAGGCGAGTATGACGACGTGATTGAGGCTTGGGTATTGAGAATATTCTTCCAGCCTGAAGGTTCGGCTGATGATGACGATGCCTCGGCTAGTACCACTGCATATTCCCCAGGCGATGCGGAGGGTGAGCCGATGGTAGTTGATTGATAGATGGAGAAGAGACCGTGGGTGGATGAATAGTCAAAGCTGAGTAACTTGGGTAAGACCTTTATTATACATTGTATTTATGAATATTATTTTGATAGAATACTGTTATTAACAAATAATGAATCTGTCTATACGTGAACTGTAATCAAAACGAGCATCATGAGGCTCTGCGATGTAGCTACGTCAATCTACATGTATGTAAGGTATAGACTCTTATGACTGGACCTTGCGAAACTCCACGGTCTCATCATATTGGATTAGAAACCGAGGTGCCGCTGTTCTGTTACATGACCCAACTATTCTCGTCGCACAACCACGTGTGGTAGCAGAGAAGAATATACGACTCAAGAATTATGTTATGAATGCCGCGAAACGATGGGGGAAATGGTTAGATTCTGGGGCCGGCTGTTCCTGAATTAGTCTTCTGTGTAAGGAGTCAAAGGCTGGATGTTTTTCTTCGAGTGAATAATTGTCAAAAGGGCACGTTGTTGAATGATTGGCCGAGAAAGGATCTTGAGGCTTGCAAGTCGACGAATAGCAAGTCGGCCGAGACCCAGGCTTTTTGCCTGTAAGCTCAACGACATGGAATGTGGTTCGGTTCCGTACTCGTTATAGTTCTGTCTATGATCGACGCATTTGTTTAACGTATTGCCCCGTTGAAGTTTAGAGCCCTTCTCGGATGCCTTGCCGTAATAAGTGAAAGCAAGCCATGTGCGTAGTGTACCTAAGAAAAAGCAAGCCACCTTGCCTTACTCCGACTGATGTGATGCACAAACAACGTAGATATGCAGATAGTCATGCTGACTTCATGCGCCTTGGAAGCAACAGTCTGAGGCTTCCTCGAAGGTAATCTGCTCTATACCAGCGCTGCAAACCTAAGACGATGCATGTCGGACGAACGACGTGGCAGCCCATGGTAAAATCAAACGTAGGTATCATGACTCAGGAGTGCCAACCTAGCGCGAGTAGCACACGGGCTATCGTGAAGTATTATCCCTCATATCCCTCATAGAGAAGATCGTTATAGCCTGTAATAAGTGAGAGAGCAACAACGTGTGTGTTGAATTAGAGAATAACCGAAGTTAACGACCGACAATAATAATAACAACAACAACAACACGTCAGAGCGGAAGTCCAAGCTCTATAGGATTGCCTGACTTCGGCTTCCATTGAAGCGGTCAGGAACCCCGAAAACCCGGGATCGAAGTTTTGTAGATTGCACCATCGTCCGAATCGCGATGAAGGTCTTGCTTCTTGGGTGTCAAGCGGTCAGTCGATAACACCCGGAGACTAGGCATTAATCGGACATCTCGATCTACCAAGCATTAGTGCTACGAGTGGTTATTATGCTGGTCCAATAGACGTGAGGCGTGATGGCTCTGGTAGTAAAAAGAACGATTCCTCATGTAGTGAGGTCGTATCAAGCGGAGGATGGGCTCGATATAATCTAGGAAAATCGATTCACGGCTCTTGCAGACTTCTTGGAGACTGGAGACTCTTGGGGGCTCTTTGGGGCTGGAATGCTTTGGTATGAATTTAGCTGGCTATGTTTGGTTTGCTTTGGTATATTTCGAAGGTCACTGGTTCGGTAGCACGTGGGTGTTCTAGCGTTCGGATCGTCATTGACATATGAAAGGAGTCGTAGTATTGGTTTTAATGGTTGATTTTATTAGGAGGTACCTAGCAAATACTTAAATCTGGGAGATACCGAAAGGCTTACGCTAGGTACATATAGTGCTAGAACCTGGGATTAGGTACGTGATATACTACAAACGGGTAGGTATTGCCCAAGTATCGGAGCACTACATACATTAATTTAGGTCTTGGAATCCGGGGGACCCCTCCCTAAGGTTACCCGGCTTTGGGCATTTTTGGGGAGGTACGGGCTGGTAGACTGGTCTCCACTTTGGCCGAAACCGCCACCAGAATTAAACTTGTAGCTTTCTAGGCTTTGTATCTACTGTAGGCTTGTACCTTTTCATCATAATTCAACTTTTAACACTGCACTTCGATCCCGAATACCACCCGCTCTGCCGCTCGATCTCCTGCGAATCATTCCTCCCACACTGCCATGGTATTCGCCAGATGTTTACCTCATGTCCAGTCCGCATCATAAGCCCGAAAATGCCGCAACTGCCGCACCGGTGAGCCCCCAAGGTGTGGCCTCTGGGAGTTCCAATGCTGCTAATGCTGCTAATGCTGCTGCTACCACTGGGACAGCGACTGTCAGCCCATCCTCCTCTTCTGTCGCTGTGACTGGTTCGCCCTCCGTATCTGACCATGCACGGCCATCTGCAAATGTCTTGCCTGCCGTATCAGCACCAGCATCCGGACCAGCACCCCCCGGTTCTCATGTGCCATCCGCATCCACCTTTCCCTTATCCCTCGCTGCTAACTATGTCGACCACAACAATAATAAATCACGGCCGCCCTCGGTCCCCCAAAGGTCCAATGGCCCGTCCCTACTCTCCCAAGCTCTGGCTTCTGCTCGTGGAATCCTCCCTTCGCTCGCCTCCCAGACTCAGACAGACCAGCGACGTCCCGAGCAGAAGCCTGTACATTTCAATGCACCGAACCGACTTACCCAGCCGAGAAACGTATCTGATGCACCTACCGGGCAATCCATAGTCGTACCACAAGATGACTGCCATGAGCAGAGCGAGCATGGCTCTCTGACACCAATTAACCAAACGGGGCTTGCTGAGGCCTCCAGGGCGATATCCGCACCGTCACTATCCTCGATTACCCCTCTAGAAGGAAAAGCTGCAACACCGTCATCTATCGCCATGCCCGGAACCATAAGCTCGACTACGACGCTTATAGGGAACAGGGATTTTGATTTGGGCATTGGTAGAGGGCGCTCATTGGAACGTACAGACAAGGAAATTTACCTAAGATTGTTGAACCGCCCTAAAACGTTTTCCGATAACGTTGGGGACACTGCGTTTTCCCATGCAGTCGGTGCTACCGATATCGCACCTTCTACTGGCGATAAGCCGGAATCCATTTCTGACCCGCGGGCCCAATACAGGGCTTGGAGAGTCGACCGTACGCTCCCCATGGGCCCAGAGAAAGCTTGGTCCATTGGCACAAACGATATAATCGGCCACCAAGATGGACAGGTTGAAAAATCTATTACGGAGGTCCTAGCCGGTGTTGAGCCGACGCGGAGCCGGAAAGCAAGTCATAGTCTACGCTTCTTCAAGGAGGGCCTTCCGGAAGAGCAAGGCAGGCGGAGGGAGTCCAAATCAGTAGGACATCAGCGAGACAAGTCATTACTTGCCAAGGGCTTGGCCGCAGATGCGAATAACCACATATCCTCCGATGACAATAATGTTTTTCAGTCACCCGCACCCTCACCCCAACCTATTGAAGGCGACCAGCCTCCTTCTCATGTGTCGAGTGGGCAATCTTTTCCTTGGGGTTCCTCGGACATCAAGTCTGTTCCCTGCGAGACCACTGAACTCGATTACTTTGGCCTGCAATTGCCGCCGAAGCACATTGCCGACTCTGCTAGAGCACCCTCCCGGGAGCCTCTTACTGCAAAGCAACGGACCTACACTGGACACAACGGCTCTGCTATCGTACCCGATGAGGGTGTCGGAGATATTCATCGTGAATCAAGTGACACGACGGAAGTTGGAGATGTAGCCGAAGAGGGCGACGAGTCATCCGAAGAGAAGATATCTTCGGCTGTGTTTCTACCGCATCAGGGCTTGAACCAGACTGCAGAAAACAGGGATGCGCTTCATAAGGAATTCAAGATCACGCAGCCTGTCTCTCGCAAAACCCACGGTGAGGATTTTCACACTTGGTTGGTAAAAGCAGATGAGCCTGAAGCTGAAGATGGGACGAGGTCTGATGGACCGGACGGTGGTAATATCAACCGTAATAATGACCCAACCTCGCATGATCAAGACTTCCAGCGAATAGATGATGAATGTGCTATCGAGGATGAGATCGAGTCCCCCCAAAAATCTCGTGATATATCTACTAGACCATCTCGGCCGCCCTCCCAGTATATCGAGGATATGGTGCAAGATCAACAAAATGAACCAAAATTGCCCCTTGACGCAATTGAACTTATACCTTATAAGCATCAGGTCGGTGGTCATACAACCATCTGGAGATTTTCCAAGAGGGCTGTGTGCAAGCAATTAAACAACCGAGAGAACGAGTTTTATGAAAAAATTGAGCGGTATCATCGTGATCTTCTACCCTTCCTGCCCAGGTGTGTTACTGCCACTTTTGCTGCCCTTACCCTATATCTAATACGGCTTCTGCGGGACTGATCCCAAACTTGCTGGGAGAAGCTAACATTTCTTTAGGTATATTGGTGTTCTTAATGTCACCTTTCAGAAACAACCACGGCGAAAGTCGACGGTCAAAAAAGATGACAATCATGCGTCAGAAAAGAAGGCGGGCGAGCAAGATGAGCAGCCAAATTGGCATAAGGGAACAGCTAGCCTAGGGGTCCTGCAGGGATTAGACGCGTCGGATAGAGAAGATCAGCGTCATCATCGCAGGATTGTTAGCCAATCTCTCCACTCCTCACAGACACCGATACCAACAGTAACTTTCGTTGATAACCGCCATATTCTGCCTCGAAGTTTACTCCGGCCCGCAGTATCTGCAGCTATCAACGACGGTCGCCCAAGGAGCGCCTCCGCCGCTGTAGGCCAGCAATATTTGCGTGATAAAAATCTCCAAATGGGGATAATAGCGAACCGACCGTCTCTAGAGGAGCGGCATGCTAATAGCTGGGGTGCTACGACTGTTAATAAGAGACTACGAAATGAAGTCTTTAACGATGCCTTTTTGAAGCAACCTATCGCAATACATAAACACCGGAGACCGGCGTCACAGCAGCGGTCGATCCCTCGTCGTTCAGTACAGCCAGTCGAGCGGCCGATGACTGCCGAGGGCGCTTTGCCTGGTCGGGATAAGACTAATGGCCATGCCCGAATTTCTCAGGAAGCAAATACGCCAAAGCCTCTTCCGCACCTTCTACAGACTCAAAGTGATGCTAGTGCCGGTTCGGTTTGTTCTGGAGTTGAAGGCGTGGACCATGTGAAAGATGTTACAGGAACCAGTGCGCCAGAGCCTGAAACCTTGTCAGAAAAGTATGCTCAAAGGCGGAGGCGGCGCAATTCGGGAAGCAAACTTAGGCGGAAGCCCGAGGACGTCGCAGACCCGCGTGGGCATCTTAAGTATTTCGAAGACCCAGATGAAGTCGAATATAGGAGGGGTAGCGAACCTCATACAGAATTGCGGGATCATGTACAAAAAACAAATGGGTACAAGCACGAAACCGACACTGTCGAGAATGGAAATGGAGATGGCTTTGTATTGAAGTCAAGTCTTTTATCATCAGAGGCACCTTCAGCTCTTCCGAGCCCAAATGCGGAGCTTAAGAGAATCACGCGGCCTGTCAACCCCAAAGAAGCGCAGACGCAGCGCGACTCAAGGGTAGAGTATTTCTTACTATTGGAGGATCTCACTGCTGGTATGAAACGGCCCTGCATCATGGATTTGAAGATGGGTACTCGACAGTATGGTGTAGACGCCAGCCCAAAGAAGCGTGAGTCGCAGCAGCGCAAATGCGCCAACACGACATCCAGAGAGCTGGGCGTTAGGGTTTGTGGACTACAGGCTTGGGACGCCAATTCCCAGACTTACGTCTTCAAAGACAAATACTACGGACGTAGTCTCAAGGCCGGCGCAGAGTTTCAAAACGCCCTGACTATGTTCCTCTACGACGGTGTAGATTATAGCAGCGTCCTGAGACATATCCCAACAATCCTACAGAAACTAAATCAACTTGAGATGACCATCCGTGGGCTGCGCGGTTATCGGTTCTACGCAGCTAGCCTACTAATGTTTTATGATGCCGATAACTCGGACGAGGGCTACGATACGGGCGCTGACGAGTCCACTACCGACTTCCCAACAGACGCCGAAGATGTGTGGGATACTAGAAAACGTCGGATCAACAAAAAGGAGATCGACTTCAAGATGGCCGACTTTGCCAACAGCGTCACGGCAGGAGACCTGGCCGAGGACAAACCATGCCCACCCAAGCATCCAGACGAGCCAGACCGCGGATTTCTCCGCGGCCTTGCAACCCTTAGGAACTACTTCTTAAAGATACAGAAGGACGTACGCAACGAGTTGGGATTAGCCACGCCACGTAGGCAAAGCGAAATTGGAGACGAAATTGAAAGGGACGACTATGAGGATGGCTCCGTTAGCGAGTGAGAATGCGGATTATCGAGCAATGCTACATGCAATCCGCCGGAGCGCCACATCAACAACTAAGTGATGATATACTTCGCTTCTCTGTTTATAGTTTTCGGATGGATTTCCTAGAATGGCGCACCGGTGTGCTAGGTCATCGGTCCGCGAACTGGCGCTTTTTCTTTTCTCTTTTTTTTTTTTGGTCGGGCTAAGTATAGTCATGATGTTTTTTATTTTATCTAATTTTTTTTTTTTACTTTTCTTTTTTCCTTTTCTTTTACTTTTGACTTTTAACATACCCGCATGTTTGAGGCGTCTTGCGATTCGAGAAAAGCAACGGAGACAAAGCCAGAGGGAGAGAGAGGTCTGAAGGTGGTTAATTTTTCACTAGTCTTGAATGATAGCAATAGCAAGGCTGTCTGTCAGTTGAGTTGGTTGGTTGATGGGGTCCTCGGGGGAGTTGATATCAGAATGAGATAAAGCCGGCTTACGCTACCCACGATGTTGTTTATTTTTATGTAGCTGCTGGTTTGTGTTTAGAGGGTTTGGTATGGGACGGTTTATGGTACTTTATGGTAGTAGATAAAATAAATAATGAGTTTATGACTTACATAGTCCTTCGTGTTTGTGTTTGTGTCTATTTCTGGATAGATGTCTGCTATATCGATTCATGTGCATGTATTCCGTACTTCTCTACACTATCACATGAAATGACATATTGATCAATGCAGGTGGCTGTCATTGCGGGGACGGCAGGCGGGTAAATAGTGGGGTATTACATACATACCATACCATACCTGGTACAATACATAGGGCTGAGGACAGATAAGGTAGGAGGTAAGTACATGCATACAAACATACTATACATTAGGTACATTACCAGGGGTCGGCGGCAGGAAGGAATATCAAGCTCCGACCCTAAAAATCGACAATCGACAAGATCCCCCAGAGCCGCAAACTTTCCCTCAACTTCACCCCGAATCCCCGATGGTGTCGCCAAAACATCCGACATGACGGAAAAGACAAGGGCGGCTAAGACTATCGTCTTCCTCCACCCCGACCTGGGGATCGGCGGCGCGGAGAGATTGGTTGTTGATGCGGCGGTTGGATTGCAGAACCGAGGACATAAGGTTGTTGTATTTACTAGTCATTGCGATCCGAAACATTGCTTTGACGAGGCGAGAGATGGTATATGAATTCCTCCTATTCGTCCCCTTTGCAGAATCATGAAACATGGTAGAGCAGAGCAGAGCAGAGCATAGTAAAATAAAACAAAACAAAATCTAACAGTCCACCCCCCAAAAAACAGGAACCCTCGACGTCCGCGTCCGCGGCAACACCATCATACCACCATCCATCCTCTCGCGCTTCAGCATCCTATGCTCCATCCTCCGACAACTCCACCTCATCCTCCAGATCTTCCTCTCCTCCGAACTGCGCTCCCTCGCCCCCGACGCCTTCTTCGTCGACCAGCTCAGCGCCGGCGTCCCCCTCCTGCAGCTCCTGTACCCGCGCGCCCGCGTCCTCTTCTACTGCCACTTCCCCGACCTCCTGCTGGCGCAGGGCCGGCAGCGCTGGTGGAAGCGCGCGTACCGCCTGCCCTTCGACGCGTGGGAGCAGTGGAGCATGAGCTTTGCTGATGCGGTCGCTGTCAACTCTGAGTTTACGAAGGGTGTCGTGGGAAGGACTTGGCCGGCGTTGGTGGAGAGGGGGATGGTGGAGTTGCAGGTCGTGTATCCGTGTGTCGATACGAAGGAGAAGGAAAAATCACAAGAACACGAGAAGCCCCTGTGGAACGGCAAGAAATTCCTTCTTAGTATAAACCGCTTCGAGCGCAAGAAGGATATCGCGCTTGCTATACGCGCTTTCGCTGGCTTGTCCTCGCAGGCCCGTGACGGCGTGCGGTTGGTTGTGGCGGGAGGCTACGACCCGCGTGTTGCGGAGAACGTGGGGTACCACAAGGAACTTGTCGAGCTGTGCGAGTCTCTCGGCTTGCGCTGCATGACGGCCAAGACGCACGTCACCGCCCTCGAGATCCCCGACGACGTGGAAGTCTTGTTCCTGCACTCGGTGCCGAATCTACTCAAAGCAGCGCTCCTTGCCTCGGCTCGTCTGCTCGTGTATACCCCCGCCAACGAACACTTCGGCATCGTGCCCCTAGAGGCTATGCTCGCAGGCGTCCCGGTCCTAGCCGCTGACACGGGCGGGCCGACCGAGACGGTCGTTGAGGGCGTGACGGGCTGGCTCAGATCGCCTGCCGACGTGGCGTCGTGGACCGAGGTCATGGATAGAGTACTCAATCACCTGTCCGCGGACGAACTCGCTGCCTTATCAAAGGCGGGCATCGCCCGGGTGAAAGGTAATTTCGGCGAAGCACACATGGCAAAACGACTGGACGACATCGTGGCGCAGATGCTCGGCGCGCCTAGGAAATGGTCGTGGGGATCGACAGCAGCAGCGTTTGGGCTGGGGGCCGTGGGTGTATTGGGAGTCGTGCTAGCGGTTGTGGGGAGGGCTGTTGTGGTGTCATCCTAGCGCGCTGGACATTCTATAGGTAGACTGGTTGCCTAAGGTAGGCGGAAGAACGAAGGAGGGTGGAATAGAGTTAGAGTTAGATGACCAGATGCCAGGGCTTGACGGACGGGCCTTGGAGGCCTGTACTGCCAAATAAATGTCCTTCGTTTTTCATCGTTTCTCAGTTTCCATCTTGGACTGTTTGAGTGAACATGCTATGACATTGATTTCTCTCCTTGATTTCTATGAGGGAAAAACATCTAACCTAGGTAGTTATTTGAAGAGTACCTAATAACTACCTGTCTGTTTCGATGCTCACGGTTTATACGTTAGAAGTGACTCATTATTACTTTGTCGATGGTCTAAGCCCCCTTCGCATCGAAAGTCTAAAATGATGAAATAGCCGTCCTACCTGGAGTCTTCAATCTCCTTATATAAACCTAGGTACATACAATTCTGATCAACGCATGGCCATTCTTTTCCTTCCATCTACTTTTCCATCTACTTTTCCTTCCATCTACTTATATATATATATATATATACAAACTTATATCCGATTATACACTTACACATCAGGACACACCTATTATTATTATAGCTACCTACGTTATCACTTACCCATCCCTAAGGATAATTACAACTAACTAACAAATCACAGACGACACACATTTAAAAAAGCCAAAGCGTCAATTCATCAGAAAGAATTCAGCGTATATACTTCCTTTCCAGCGACTACAGCACATCGATAGACACTCGCACGTCGTGGGAACTCGTATATGTACAACAAGCTAACAAGCGATTTTCTCAGAAAGGTAAAAAAAAAAACAAGGTCTGTCTGCCTTCGTGATGCTTCCTATGCTATACACACAACTCTCACAATCAGCCTACCGATCCGATGAATAAGCCAGCTTCCTATTCCTCCCTCGTTCCCTCCTCCGCCGACAAAATATGTGCCATCCATTCCCTCCGGTGGACGTCAGATCGTCACATTGCATAAAAAAAAAGTCCCGCCTACGTCAGATGATTGCTTGATGATAAGACGAAGAATCGAATGCGAACCGAAGAGGGGAAAATCACTAAACAACCAACATGCTCTAGTCTAGTCTTAATTTTTCTTGGCAACGAACACCTAATAGGAAACAGACGAGCCATCTGCAGGAAATGAAAAAGATGCTGACAGCCTTCAACGGTTCTCGTCCGAATCTTCAGCGTCTGTGAGACGGGGGGCTCCGATTCCTCCCTGTTCGGGCTTGGTCTCTCCTCCTTCTACATCTTCGTGGTCGAATAACGGCGCCAGCTCTCGTTGATATGTGTGCTCCTACCTCCCATATCTATCGGGCGCAGGTGGTGGACGATCGTATAGGCTGTGCCTATCCTGAGGTCTCAATGACTGCTGCAGCATTGACTGTTGTTGCTGCTGCTCGCGCAACTGCGCTTCACGGATGTCTTGAGCGGAAGGCGGTGGGTAACCTCTACTGTCGTAGGCGTTCACAGGTGTATAACTCCTCGGGGGACCGGAATCACGAGGATCTCGTCCGGGTACCGGTGTATTTGCATAGCGGGGATATGCCGCCGGTGCTTGCGGGGGAGGTGGTTCAGGGGCACGTGACGCAGGTGCGTATTGCTGCAGAGGAGGTTGCATCCTGTGCGGCGGATAGACGTCTCGAACATCACGTAGAGCCATGGGATCGTGGCCTCTCGGCGGCGGCGGAGCAGAAGCCCAAGAAGGTTGTGGTGGAACGGAACTGCTGGGCGGAGGCGGTTTTGGCGTAGGGGCATGTTGCGCAGCCCATGCTGACTGGGTTGGCGGAGGTTGCGTGGACTTTGGTGGTTGGGAAGGGTGTGACACCCAAGTCGGCTGCGGCTGCGGTGGCGGTTGTTGTTGATGTTGCTGTTGCAGCGGGTGGCCCTGGTGTGTTCCGGGCCAACCCATATCCCGACCCATATCCCGACTGGACTGTGACTCGTGGCCTCTGGGAGCAGGATGGCCTCCGTATTGAGGTGGGGGAGATGCTACATTAGGCGGCTGAACTTGTGCGCCATATTGGTACGATGGTTGCGGCTGTTGGTATTGCATTTGAGGCGGCTGATTCGGTGGATAGTGATGTGCGTTCTGTGGCGAATTTGCCGCTGGAGGTTGGTGTCCAGTAGGAAAAGATCGCGGCCGGCCACCATAATACTCTCGCTCCGCCGCTGCATCTAACGGCATATGTCGGGGCGCATTTAAAGACTGCGCTTGAGGCGACGCGGACGCATATGGTTTTAGAGGGGGCATTGCGGATGGTGCTGGTGGTGGATTGTGACCGTATCTGTAACTCTGCTCCGATTCTCGCCGAACTTGAGATGGTGGCGGTGGCGGAGGAGGAGGGCGCGATAGACTGGATTGAGGTGGAGGTGTTGAGGACGGTTTCGCGGCCGCAGGTACTTCTACTACCCTTTTGGGGGGAGGCGGAGGCGGGTCGTCATTCAGGAGTGCCATCAAGCTAGATGTCTTGCGCTCTGGTGGGCGGGAGGGCGCAGAGACGACGGCAGGCGGCGTAGATTGTGCTGGGGGAGCGCTGAACGGCTCCGTCCCACTGCTAGCTCCAGACGTCGGCCGTGAAAGGTTTGACATAGGACGGGAACGTGGAGATGGGATACCCTCGCCTGATAATGCTCGGCTATGCTGTTGAAGAATGGTGGCAAAAGGCGCTTGTGGAGCCGGCGCCGGTGCTGGCGCTACGGCACGAGGAGGGTCCGGAGGACGAGACATGGATATACTATCCGGACGAGACGATGCCATTCGAATACTCTGGTGGACCTGAGCAGCATACGGGTCATATTGGTGGATAAGGTCCGGTTCCTGCTTCACACGCAGATGTTGGCGATCCTGGTGACGAGGCTGTTCCTTTGGAATCTTCGGTTCAACCTTAGGCCGTTCCGACTGAGGCTCGACAAGGGACGTAGGCAAAGGATGTCTCCCCATGGGAGGCTCGGGTGCCGCCGGAGGCCCTTGCTGGGCCGTCTTCTGAATTAATGGAACGCGAGGAGTCTGCTGAGGCGGCATTTCCCGTTCTCGTTCGCCGAATGAAAAAGGTGCCCTCATAGGCCGAGGAGACATGGTCTGCGTCACTGGCTGAGCCAGAGGCTGGGGTCCAGGCGGGGTAGCGCCGTGGCTCTGAGCCATCGAAGGCTGAGGCGGCACGAATGATGCTTGCAAGAGCGTGGGCTGCGGCTGGGCTGCGATCGGAACGTTGAAACGACCTGTCGTTGGCTGTGGGGGTTGAGAATGTTCGACTTTTGCACCAGGACTATCTTCCATGACCGCATCAGCAGCTGCGAGTGGCCGATTGCTAGATGTTTCGTAGCGCTTCTTAACACCAGAGCTAGGTGCTGGAGGCGCGGGCCTCTTCTCTCCTCGCTGCTTCTTAGCATCCGCCTCCTTAACGATGTCTTGCCAATCGTTGGTGTCTTTCTTTCGGGTATAAAAGTTTTTTACCTGTTAGAGTTAGTAACGATATCAAGTCAAAATATTAATTGGGAGCTCACCATGACCGGAGTCTTGGTCCGCATGTGCGTGGCAATAGCTGCCCAATCGCTTCCGAAGGAACGAAGCAACTGGGGGAAATCGTTCGCTTCAGGTACGCTCCAGTAACTAGATGCTTGCGTGCCGGTTCTACGATCAGATACCGTAGGTGTGCCAAGATCAAGCATAGCAACTGAGGGTTGTTGCGGCGGCTCGGGGCGCAAAGGCGGAGGACCCATCGCATCCATCGACATCGGGGCCGGTGGTGGAGGCGGAGGAGGAATACCCCTTTCGGGACTGGGCATCGGCTGCGCGTGTGCAAATGGCGCAGGAATAGTAACCGGTGGAACGGCTGTAGTGCTTGGAGCTAATTCGTACTGAGTTGGAACCCTGCCTGCTTCGTTCGGTACCTGCTGAGAGGTCCACTCCGGGCCATGAACCCGAGAGTTGGATCGCGAGCGGTTACCTTTAGTCACCGTAAGCGGAGCTGCAGCAAGTGTCTGGTTGACCCGGGGTTGTTTCGTTTCTCTGTCCTTAGCAGCCCGGCGCCCTCTAGGCTTGCGTTCTGGCTTCTCGGAGCTTCCGTCTCCCTTAGAACCAGCCCCTCTACGTCCAGGAGTACCGGCCGGTGTTCCTTCGCCATCCGTGGCCGGTGTAGCTTCCGAGTTGAAAGTAGGAGCAGCCGCACGCCTAGGTCGGCGCCGCTCACCATTTTCGCCCGTCTCCTGGTTTTCCTCGTTCTCATTATCTCCATTACCAAGTTCGGAGACCAGTGCACTAGACCGTTGTTTGCCGCGTCCGCCCTTCTTACGCTGCCTCGGACGCTTCTTCAACTTCTCCTTAAGGTTGAGTTCATTCTTCTCCTTCTTGAGGTAATAGAACTGGATACTAGTTCCAAAATCCCGGTTCGCTAACGGGTCGGAGACACGGCCCCATTGCTTAGGAAACTCCAGATAAGCCTTCTCGAATATCGCGGTTTCCTCTTCGGTGAAATTATCTACAGGGGGTAAAGCTTGCCAGGCTGCTACGATTTTCTCGGGTTGAATAAACCCAGTCACATCTCGATAGAACTCGTTTTCCCACTCTGTAGGTGCCTGATACTGACGAGGTAACACTGCTTCCTTCTCAGTCCTGTATCTTTCTCGTTCTGCCTGCATTTGCCGTTCCCTTTTCTCATCCTCGACGCGTCGCGATTCTTCCAAAATTCGTTCCAGATCACGTTCTGATGCATATCTGCTGCGCCTTGTCCCTTCAGGCTTCGACTCATGGAAACCAGGCTTATGGCTATTGGTCTCCACTCCGGCGATGCAAGTAAACTTCTCGCGACTCTTAACAGCAACAGGGTCGTTAGACAGAGTGAATCGTAGGTAATTGTTGTAGTTTACGTCGTAGATCGACTTCATCCGCGTCTCCTCTACTAACCGGTGTTGTGCTTCGTCTTTTAGCCTTTCCAAGATGAATGAATCGAGGCTTGACTGCCGAGCATCCATCGACTTCAGAAAAGCCGCGTCCTTATCCCATGGTTTCTCATCAAAATAGGGTAGGCTCTCAATCGGAGGAGTTGCCATATGCTCACGGACAATCTCGATCGTCTGAAGATCGACATCTTCGATATCCGTTTCGTCTTCATCCTCCCCTGGAGATGGCGTGCTTGAGTCCCTTTTACTAATTTCTTGCGATTGTATCTGAGCTTCCTCAAACGGCGGTTCAATAGATTGCTTATGAGGAACTGATAGTTGAGTTCGGAGCGGGGCCTGTAATTCAGAATCTGCCTGGGCGGCGTCCGATACATCTTCCATAGGTACATCCCCATCGTCATTCTTCGGTCTATGCTCGTCGAAAGGTGCCTCCTGAGTCGTAGGTACATCGATATCGTGCTCGATAGACGGCTGGGGAAGCTCTGCGCTCGGAGCTGCAGTCGCCGAGGTCGGTTCTTCTGCTGCGGGCTGAGGGGTCTTCTCCTTAACAACTTCCTTAGTATCACTAATATCCCTAGTATCTTCAACCGCCGGAGCTTTCTCAACCTGGGGTTCTGGTTCCGCTGGTCCTTTACCAGGCGGAGAAATATCGTCCGGAACACGACCAACCATCTCTCCTAAGCTTTCAGGCTCGTTCAGAATTTTCGTAATAGCTTCGAGTGACACCACCGCATGTCGCATTACAGCGTCCATTGGTACAGCTTCCTCAATCCCCTCAAGCCGCTTTAACTTTGCCTCTACTTCGGCCATTTGCGATTCAATGACATCGCCGAACTCCTCATCGTCTGATTCCGATGACTGATCTAAGATGGGCAATTTCACTTCCTTCCGAGGTAAGGAAACGTGTCTCAAGGAGACTTTGAGGATAGGCTTTCGGTCTGGTTTTGGCTTTGCCGCGTCTGTCACCGGTATGGCCTTCGGTTCCGCGGTGGGCGTCTCTTCCATAGAACGGCCGCTCTCATCTATCTCGCCATCTTCATTCTTGCCTCTGCTACCAGATCGCTCGTGAGGCTGACGTTCTCGGTCCAAAGACAACCTATCAGACCGAGATAGCTGGTCATGTCTAACAGCCGCCTCGCCTAGGTCGGCGGTATGGGAATCATGAATATGTTTATCTACCAAGGCCGGCTGTGGGTCTACTTTTGCATCGCTACTGGGCGGTTGTTGATCATTATCCACTGGTTGATCCGAATGCGTTCCGTCCGGACGGGATCCGGCAGGTCGCGGTTGAGCTAAACTTTGGGACCTACTTAGCTTTGGAGACTCAGGGACCCGATTCTTAATATTAGGGTTAATCCATTGCTTGCTCGAAGGACCCGGCCGTGTTTGGGCGCGCGGACCGGAAGGAATAGTGGTAGGGCTTATTTCTAGGAAGGACGATCTAGACGGACCGATAGGTGGTAATCTTGAATCCGCATTAGGCGCAGGGCCAGACGCCGTTGGTCGCTCTTCTTTGAGTGCCCTTGGTCCTGTCGGCGGCGCCTTGCCCGTGACCGGGCCGACCTCACTCGTTGATGCAGTTCTGTTAGGTACCGATCCAAAGGATGGCGCGGCTGGAGCGACTGGAGGGGGAGAAACGTCCTTCGGCGGTAATGGGGGCGGCTCATGCGACGCTCTCTCGAGTTTAGGCCGAGCCTCGCGGTCTCGCACATCGCGATCATCTCGATGATCACGTGGGCGCAAGTCGGGATCGAGATATCTATTATCGCGATCTCGGTCGTCTCGATCTCGGTATCGTCCCTCTTGGGAACGCGACCTAAAAGCCGGGCCGTACCTATCACGATCATCGTAAAACCCCCGTCCGCGACCTCTGTCCCAATCGCCACGACCTCTCCCACGACCCCGATTACTATAACCACCGCGATAGGACGAAGGCCCAAAAGGAGGATCGGATGAAGACGATCCAGCCGAAAGTGGACCGTCCCTCGATCCACGTCGAGCGCGCTCCGCATCGACACCTAGTGGAGCATCTCTTAAATCTCTTGAATCCCGAAAATCCCTACCAGGAGGCGATCGTCCACGGGGTGATGGTCGCCGTCCTCTGAAGCTATCTCGATCACGATCCCGCCAATCGCCACGGTCACGTTCCCGGCTGCGTTCGTCGCGGTAAGAGTTGTCTCTCCGATCTCTGAAATCGATATCTCTATCCCTTCCGCGGTCCCGGCTATCATCTCGCCAACCTCTACCCCTTCCGCGGCCTCTACCGCGAAAATCCCCGGAGTATCCTCCTCCACGAGGCCCGCTAGGCGCATCGAGTAAGGCTTTCGGGCCCCGAGGGGGGTCTCTTGATAGAGGGGCATCGCGAAAGTTATCCCGGTTGGTCTGAAACGCAGAGGTATTCACTCGAGATTCGGCAGAAGAGCGTCGCGGTCCGCCGTCACTATACAACGATCTCCGATCTGGCGAGCGATCTCGAGACCTAGAGCGACGCGAATCGCCATCATACCGCGATCCATTATAGCGGGAAGCCCTACGCGAAGGAATTAGATAATCATCAGAAAATTCGGAGGTCGCCTTAGGTTTAGGGTAACCTCTTCAATCACTATTAGGTTTATGATGAAATTGCAGATCGTTTTGCATACGTTGTAATCTCGCGGCACCTCTACCGTAATTTTCGTGCCGTGTAAAACAGAGGTGGTAAAATCATTGTATTCGGTGCGAAACGAGTGCTTAACCGAATTTGTGTCGATATCGAATATCCAACAGGTCGCCAAAGAAATTCGAGAGAAATTAGAAATTTGACTTACATATCTGGCACGAGGCAGAGCAGGCCCGCCTTTGAGTAATCTATGGGCTTCTCATAGAGTCATAGGCTGAAACTGGGCTCGGACAATCATGAAAGCTTAGCAAGCACGCGATTTCAATACCGTTGTTGGAGTTTTGACGACGATAGGATGCGGACAGACGGCACTCTAAATTGGAAGACGCTACAACCACGGCCCCTCCCTAGTACTCTTAACTTGAATTTGATTGGTTGGCTAGAGCCCTGTAAACTCAGATGCTGCGTAGGCGACAGGCGCCTGTCGAATGCTCAGAATAATAGATGAGTTAAAACGCTTGTATTCGATAGGAACGTTGAAGGCGAGAAGAGTTGAAGAGGCTGAAATTGGAGACCCTCGAAAACACAAACTTCGCGTGGCACCTGCTGGGACGATGACCAGAGAAATCCAAGACAGGTTAGACTAAACCGAACCCCGAGCAGGGATGCAGGACGCCCGGAACCCAGAAGCCGCTAGCTAATCTGCTAATGTTAGGTAGCAGGGTAGGCTTGCAACGCCTGTTAAGCGTTTGGCATTAAAGATGCTAGGCCCCCCATGAAGACCCAATCGGGGTCCATCTTCAATCTACAACTTGCCCCAAGCCTTGCACCTGCCTTTCTTTAATGCCCAATCACCTGTTCCCATCATGACTAGTGTACCCGCGCATTTCGAGACTGCCAAGTTAACCAACCACAGACATGCATGATCAAGTTTATCTGGTAGGTACCTAGGTATGTACAATGTGCTACCTGGGTAGGTACATGTAAATATGTAGCACAAAGATCCTCCGCGTGTAACTCTCGTATACAAACAGTCAAGACGCACTACTCAATAAACAAATTTTTTTAAATTGTCCTTGTACAATACATACGGAGGGCTATGTACATTGAGATTGATACAGTGCAGTATAGTACAATGTGCTACAACTTCTATAATTCAAATCGTATCAGTAGCGCAATTGGCTAAAAGTCTCTACGGGCACTTTTACGATAAAACCGAGGGCCCCCCCTTGAGGGGGACCGCAAGATCCCGACTTTTAGCCAGGCTCAAGGCAAGGCTTATGTCATTATCTTACGTCATCCCCGTCCCCGTCCCCGTCCCCTCCGAAATTTAGCCGCTTATTCATCCTCCCCTCCCCCTTCCAGGGTCACGTGCCGCCACTGCCGGGCCGGGTGAGGGGGGGCGCTCGGCCCGCTAACGCGGGCCTCGCACCCCCCCTCGCCCGGCCCGGCATCGGCGGCACAATGCTCCGGCTATCCTAGGCTCTCTTGGCCTCTCTTTTTATTGACTGCTTTTTTAAAAAAATTTAAAAAGGGGGATGTGTGGGATTCGAACCTGGCCTCCTGGCCGTGTCATGTGGTGTGCTTATGTAATGTGTGTGGTCCCCCTATTGCTCAGGCTCAGCTATCCCTTATCTGGGCTAGGCTGTCTCTTATCTTCACCTGGGCTAACCTTACTTGGCCATCTTTAGCTCAATCCAGTATAGTACCCAAGTATTTTTCCTTTCTCAGCCAATTGGAAAGCTTGCAGCTTTAGCTTAGTCAATTAAATGCCTTTATGTAAGAAGTGCTTGTAAAGGGTGTCACGTGCTTCCCTCTCCAGACAAAGGCTATTTGACTCTACTATAACACAGCAACGAAAAGGCCGATTCAAATGCAACTTGTATCATTGTTTTCGCATCAATTGCGGCTATTGAATGATACCAATCGTAATGCTTGAATTGCTATTATTGTAAAGTTATTTGAATGTGTATAAGAGAGAGTATGTTATACGCAGTCCAGGCTTTAAGATCATGTGACTTAGTGCACTCCCTATCTTATCTTTTGCACTAAAACACTAGCTGCATAATCTTAACCTACTAAATCCTTAGTCTCATACTAGTGCCTATCCTCCAGCCAATGAGAAGCCTGGGTTCAAGTGTGCACAGACGAATTGCCTAATTAGGAAGGAGGTCTCAGCCCAACACAATATCCCTCCTAAAAGTCGGGCATCCCTCCTAAAAGTCGGGCATACAGTTTGAAACTTAGGGCACAAACATAATTTGATGCTTGTACACGTATTTGCACGTACCTAGAGTAGTCGCAATACAAAATAAGACTACATAAGCCCGTAAATAGTTCTTACGCTAACGCTTTCGAGAACAGCAATACTTCATGCCTCTACATATGTAGAAATATGTCAAAGTACTTAATGTCCGAACTTTTTCCAGAAATAGTTGCTCGGACATGCATAAACATGAAGATAACCTTCTCTATGCGTACATAGAGCACATCTTTCCACATCACGATCGATCCCGCGCCCTAGAGCTCCCCCTGGAAACATAAATATGTCTTACGAACATATTTACGTAGCCAATCAGTTTTTGTTACCTCTTCCCCTGGCTGGCCTACGTCCTTGTTCGTCAGCATGAGGTTGCCAGTGCTTGCCCAAGTCCGACATTAGAGATTCCACCGCTCTCCGGCATCTCTTCTTGTGCTGCGGACTATCCTGATCCGTAGTCGGGCCCGGGCCTGGTGGAATAATGTTGGGTGTAGAAGCCTTCACTCCATTGCCGCTGCTTGACTGTTCCGCGCCTTCCAACTCGTGAGGATCCTTTGCTGCTTGCTTTTCTGTGGAAGCTGCCCGTACCTCGTTCTTTTTGTGGTACGTCATCTCACGACGTCTTCCTCGAGGCTTGCCGTTTGTAGCCGTGGCCTTATTATTATGGTTTTTTCCAGTCTGAGCTTTCTGTTGGCCTGGCGCTGTCGGACCACTAGCTTTGGGCACGTCGTCCTCGTCACTACTATAGCCCACCATTCTAAAAGGTGCTTGCCCCATTCTCTTGACAAACCGTTCAGCCTTTTCAAGTTGTGGCCATGAGCTCGACCCAGCTCTTCGATCCAGTTCATTTACGCAAGTACCTAAGTAGTGATCCCATTCCTCCTTCGTAGCATCGTCAGCTGGTTCGCCTCCCACTGTATTGTTGACTTCGTCCAAAAGCTTATCTACTGATGGCCTGGTATCGCTCCTGTTTCTAGCTCGAGGCTTTGGTAAGTCTGTTTGGTCATTGTGCGGACTCATAGTGACTATCGAGGCTTCAAGTTCCAAGCCTGTGGCACATTCTTGTCTACTCCGTCGACCTACTCGCCGACGAGGCGAGCTTGTTTTCTTGGCAATGGGAACCAAGGCGAGAGTCCTGTGGATTTTATTTAGTTTAGTTAAACAATGCGATAGTAGATAAACAATGCGATAGTAATCATCAAACTTAATCACAGTATGAAGTTTAAAGAATTTGATCAACAACAGCAGTAAACACTTACTATAAATGACTGATGTTACGATGGGAGGGTATGATAATGAGGAGTTTAGAATAGGCAAAACTTACTGAGAGACGTTGTTATCTGAAGAAGAGGAATGAGATGGTTTTAAATCGCCATTCACAGCTAAGTTAATATTGGCTGCGCTTTCCTGACAAGGCATCAACGCCTGAGCTCCTTCCTCAGTTTTTGCATGTTTTAAGAGGAGGAGGGTATTTGCAGCCCGAGATTGGGCCCGACAAATACGTGTACAATTCGAAGACTGTGTAGATGATAACTCAGGCATTGGTGATGTTGCATGGGGTGCGTTAGAGTCGCTATTTGATTCCATAGGTTGGTACGAGATATGGATATGATTATTTGGTGACTCAGGACGAGATAGGGGGCGATTCAACCCAGGCAGGATAGTTATAGAGTTCGGCGCATTTCTTGACAAGGCTGGTACTATATCTAATCCACTCTCGTTCATCTGTAGGACCGTATCAAAAAGGGGGAGCATGTCGAAATGCTATTATATATAATATCGTATGATAGCTTTTCTGAAAATGAGTAGTCGCGTCCAGGGGAACAAGATTCTCTAGAGACCCTTACTATAAACCTCCGGCGTGTAGAGAATGGCCAAGACCTTCTTCTAGTGTAGGATAATAGTATAGGGGGCGAGTTAAATAAGAATAGTAAAGGAAGCCGCCTAAAGCATGTTCTTGTCGGGCTTAATGGTGAAAAGGGGCTCGTCCAAAGATCCAACCAAGATTCTCAAAGTGGTCTATCATCCGCTCTCAGCTTCAAGTCGAACTGATTATTACAGCAGAACATCTTTTAATAATCATGTACACCGGGGGCCGTCCTTTAAAATGATGAGAGAGCTTGGGCTATAGGTATTGCTTGTGTATACCGAGTCTGCATTATCTGTTGGGAGTCGAGGTTCGACTACTAAAACTTCATTCAATTCCGACCTTTTGGTAATCCTAGGTGGGAACGATTTCATTGAGTGGAAATGGGAATGTTTTAACCAACCTAATTTTTTGTTCGCTAGGACACCCCCCTCAGACACCCTCAAATCGGGAGGCCGCTTACTAATGGCTGTTTTAGCAGTAAACTTTACTGCCCAGCTAGTTACTTAAGTACAGTAGTCGAGGATATTTGGGCTTTTTTAGCTGTATGCCAATATCATTTACTCCTTGTGACTCATCTTCTACCTATCCGTCCTTGGCAAAAGTGCTGGCTACAATGAAAGGGAAGCACGCAGAAGCCTCGAGGTAGACCTAGGATAAATATTAGATCGGGTGAATCCAGAAGCAAGACTTCTAAGAAATTTAATTACTTACCTTTACGTGATCTGCTCCCACTTTAATCTTTCCCCAGGAGACTGCTTCATCTGGCCGCGCACCCGCATCGCTACCATCAAACTCTTGGGCGGTGTTGATATAAACGGCAGACTCGGCTCCGTTTCTCATCAAGCAGGCGTTCGCGATATGATGCTTGATAACTCCACCGCCCAATATAATCATTCCGGCTCGCTTTGCCCGTACGGAGATGGTGTTGATGCGTCGAATGTCTTCCACTAAATCGATCTTTAACTGCAGTGGCGAGGCTTTAAACGTGTGGAAGTATAGCATATCACCTAGACTACCATCTGTCAAAGCTGGACAGAACACGGGGATATCATTCTTGTATGCCCAGTAATATACTGATCTCTCGTCGTTGATCTCCTTTCCGAGCCGGTGAATAACCTTGGATGGCGTCCAGTTGATTTCCTCTTCAGTTCCCTTGCTTGCTTCTTGCTCTTCGAGCATCTTGTCTAGAATGGGCACAACCCAGTCCTCGAATGCGCAATAGTTCGCATTAGGAACCATCAGATTGCCTATTCGGTTGAGACCTTTAGCTCTTAGCTCGGCCCCCTTGGCGCTAAAGGAAGACATGTATGTATCGCCGAGGCACTTGATGAAGTCTTCTTCGATACCACCTGCAGATGTAACAATGCATGAGACGTGCTTGTTCTCTACCAAGTACCGGAATATGCCTCTCAGTCCAGATGAAATCATATTGGACGTATAGCCAAGGAATATTGTCGTCTTGTCGCCCGTCTCCGGGTCGCGCCATGCTCGCTTCAGGATTTGTCAGTTAAATGCCAGGAGATGAATACTTTCCCTTTGCTAACCATGTCATTGATAATCCGTACTGCCTCGGCCATAGAAGATGCCTGAAAGCCCATATGCTTCATACCTCCAAGCACATCATCCACAGTGATTGGTCGTCCCTTGAAAGCATTAAAGTCGATCTCCTCAACCTTCTGAGCTCCTTCGGGCAGTTCATCGGACGGAACAAGAACAGCGTTTGTTGCCTCCAAAGGCGGTAAATTCGGGTTTGGCTCCTGCGCCGCCATAGTATCCAGCAGCGCTTTCACGTATTCTTTGTGTAGCAGGAAGCTCTTGGTTTTTAGAGGGTCTAGTAACAATTATCTATACACAAAGTCTAACCGCTTTGTGGGTGTAAGTCATTCAGAGAATTAAGCAATTAACTCTCACTGCTTGGTGGTAAACCGTAGATAAAATTGCTTCATGTACGATAAGATATAATTCCCCCTTGACGACTTCTTACAAATTTGGGCCATATGGCTGATGTATGGATTTATGTTAGTATCTAAAAACATTTTCGATGGCACGATGAGGCGAATAGGTACATAATAGAACCCCTGCTTGATTGCCCTATGGGTGGAAACTTTCACAAGTACCTACCTATGTACAATATATACATTGTACCTACTAAGATTGCAGGCAAGGACCTGATAAGATAAGGTTTATTTTATCAGCAGCAGACTGGGAACTTTAAGTATTGTACCTACCTAGGTATGCAAGGTACTAAACAGAAACGCGCTGTACCAAGGAAGCTACATACTCGAACGTCGCCTACGTCTAATCAAGCCTTCAGACTCCATGTTTTCATTCCAACGTTAAAACCCGCTTCGCCTTCTTTTTCTCTAGTTTTAAATTATTCATTGACCGTTATTCGACATCGCTGCGCAATATGTCCTCCATCTACAATCTCGAGCCTCAGCCTACCGCTTCGCTGATTCTCCATACGACACTGGGCGACTTATCGGTCGAGTTATTCGCAAAGCAGACCCCGCTTACATCGCGAAACTTCCTCCAGCTATGTCTCGATGGATATTACGACAATACGATATTTCATCGCCTAGTTCCCGGTTTTATCATACAAGGAGGTGATCCCACTGGGACAGGAAACGGGGGTGAATCTATTTACGATGGCGGCGCATATAGCGGCGATCTGGATCCGTGGCCCATGGACCAGCGCCGTGGAAAAAATGCTGGACCTACGGGTGTAAATTTCAAAGACGAGTTTCATTCGCGACTGAAGTTCAACCGAAGGGGACTCTTGGGTATGGCCAACGAGAGCAAACCGGATACAAACGCTAGTCAATTTTTCTTTACACTGGAAAAAGCCGAGGAGCTGAACAACAAGAATACCGTGTTTGGGAGAGTAGTGGGCGATACAATTTACAACTTGGCCCGCATGGGTGAGGCAGAGATAGCAGAAGGAACCGAGCGCCCTCTCTACCCTATAAGGATTACGAGTGTAGAGATTCTTGTTAATCCTTTCGATGATATGAAAAAGCGAGAAAGGATTGCTAAACGAACCCATGAGGCCCCTACTACTGAGAAAAAGAAGAAACCCAAATCTAAGACGGCGAAGAAGCTGTTAAGTTTTGGAGACGAAGAAGGCGACGACGACGCGCCGGTCTTAAAAAAGGCAAAATTCGACTCGCGTATTGTTATGGAGGTAGACGAGGATCCAACACCTGCTGCTAAGCCGCCGAAGAGTAGTAGTAAGCAGGAAGCTAAGGCGACTGGGCCTTCTATACCAGTTCGTGAACTTCGGACTGACCCCAAATTGGAGACAAAATTGTCCCCACCACCTACGAAGAACGTACCTATCCCCATTCGGGACGAATCATCTCCAGAGCCAGAACCACCAAAGAAATCTGCATTAGAGCAAGCGAATGAAGAGATCGCGGCCTTAAAAGCATCTATGAAACGGACTATTCATTCCGAGCCGATCAAGGAGGTTAAGAAAACAGCGCTGGAACAATTAATACCAGAGACTTCTACGCGGGGCCGGAAAAGGAGAAGAGGAGGCGAGGGACCTGCCGTAAATGATGATTTACTAAAGCTTCAAGCCTTTCGCTCCAAGCTTAGCCAAGCAGGTCCCGAGAAAGAACAACCAAACGTGCCTACGGAGGAGGGTGGCGCTGAGCAAGGTTCGGGCGAGCACGACGAGGAGGCGGAACTATGCGATCTACATTTTATTGCCAACTGCCAAAGCTGCAACTCGTGGGACAAGGCTGAAAAGGAAGAGAGCGACGACGAGGGTTGGATGTCCCACGCTCTGAGCTTTGCGGCCGATAAACTCGGTAAAGACTTGTCGTACCGAAAGAAGGCCGAAGAGGAATTGGTTGTTATTGATCCGAGAGAAAAAGCCCGGACACTTAAGGAGGAAAAGAGAGCGCAAAGAGAGGCACAGACTGGAAATTCCGGAAGGGAATGGGACCAAGCGAGGAATGCCAAGTTAGCGAGAGCATCGGCTCTGGCTGGTAGAGGAGCTAAGTAACACGTTCACCGTAGGAAACTTTTTTTTTTTTTTTCCGTATCTCGAAGCTTGAAATGACCATTGATACCCCTTGATCTTAGAAAGTTCTATCGCCTTCCGAGGTTGAAGCTGGCGTGGGTACTATCCCCTTGGTCTTCGTTAAAAAAAAGGAGGTTTGCATCTTGACAAGCTGAGTGGGTCCTACAAACACATGTAAAAATGCGAAGGCCGATGTTTTGCTAAGCTTTTATGATATTGCGATGAAATCGTGCATACTGCTGAGAATCGAAGTTTCATCCTACTTGGGTAGACTATGGGGAGAGCTATGGTACATTTGGACACTTGTGATTGGTTAGATTGGATCTTACAAGACTCCAGCACTTCGGCTTAACGTCGCATTGACTGGAGATGATGGTCCGGACCTGTTGGTGTTCGGGACATGGTTCTTATTAATAACTCCACTGCTTGACAGCTTTGGGCATGATTTCGCTCATAATGCTCCGTACCATACATATGCATGTATGGTATCCTTGTGTACAGTTCTCCGCAATCTAGACAACATCAATATGTACATACATAGTAGACTCGAAGATCGTAAGACGATAGGATATGGTGACAATACATACGGATTAACTATGTAGAGACTTATACACAGGTATACAGAACCGAGGGTCTTGCTATCCAATGAGATGAGCCTACGGAACATATATAATGTATAATGTACATATATAAGCTATAGACACTTATGACGAGATTATCATCCGATTGTATGAAAGGCGATACTAGTCTCGTGCAAGAATCTCTTATCATTTTCGCTGCTGATTGGCTAGAGAGTTGTATATTTGTACTATATAGGTAGGTATGCGGTAACAATTTGTAAAGCATGCTGTTAGGTAGGCTTGCAACCCACGTGCCATTGATTTATTAACCAGGTACATGCTAGTGGACCTTGTTAGTAATTCTGTTAAGCCTGTTTCGCTGTGAGGTTGCAGGCAATAGACAACAACGCATCCATCAAATTTTTAGCAAAGGTATGGTACTTAGCGCATGTCATCGCGTTATCGGGCAATCCTATCAATCTATTAGGTACCTAATGTATGTACTATATGCTATGTAAGCTGACGCTAGGTATATCGAGATTTCATAAATATACCTATACTTACCTACGGTTCGTCATGTTATTTGTTATTAGTTATTATACTTGAGCATGAGCCATATACAATGAACATTGATGCTATCTACTATACATAATTGAAGCTTGACTTAAATTGTTTTGAAGCTTCTTCCCGATTGCTCCCTTGTCCCGCCGATACGGCTACCTGCTCCTGGATTGTCGTTTCCTCAATTCTCGGTTCGGTTCGGTGCCAGTGCGCACAGTACATAGAAAGAACTAAGCCAAGACACGGAAAGCACGAATTCTTCTGTCTTGGGTGTGTCACGGCTTGTGAGCCGGAAGGCCGGTCAATTCTACAAATCCCATCAAAAGCTTGCATTCCCATTTTGCATTCCCATTTACATTCCCATTCCCGTCCCCTCGTCCCCTCGACCACGCTGGCGTCCGCACATTCAACTTTGCTCAACTCTACCCAGCTACGTCACTTTGAACATCCATATATCCGTATCTAGAATGTTAGGCTAGATACGTGCCGGCAATTTATTTAATCTATCTTAGACAATCTGGGACATCGAACTGTTCTTTTGCGACTTCGAGAACAACGGGCTTTACCATACACCCTTGTTTTCTACCCTTGACTAACTCCCACCTCTCAGGCTGTTCGCTTGATTGCTGTCGCAACTACTAGAGACAGCTTAATCGGGGGGTCTTGAAGGCTCTTTACAGCTTCTAGTGCTGTCTCAATTCCTTCTGTTGTCCTTCAAGCTCTTTATGAAGCTCGGCCGGTATATAGGCAGAGCTACGAATTCGCAGGAAAGCCTGGAACCCACCATTTTACTCCATCGGAATTGAAATCTGCCAGAACTTGACATTCCCTACGAAATCTGCAGCGAAATCTGAAAATCTGCGCGCATAATCTATTCACGTCTGATTGGTCGCCTTGATCCATACCTAACCATCGCGTTCCTTCTCACCGAAACGATATCACAGCCTTGCGCGACGACATCTACTCGGCAGAAAAAAACGTGCGCGCCTAGCCTAGTCGCCTAAACCGACCGCCTACCTTCTCTCGATAGCCTTGCGGCTTCATACACGGTCCTGCCACCGTTCTCCCAATCTCGTTCCCTTCCAACTTCCAACTCCCCGCTCCTACGATTTCTTTCCCCTCTTTGACACCCAACTTTCGCCCACGTCGACCATCCCCGCCATTGTTGTATTCCAATCTTATTGGATCCAGCGGCATATAGCACTACGAGCTATTCGTCTACGGGATATACAATACTGATAATCGTCTTCTGGCGAAGTAGACCGGTAGCTACACTTAGCCGCGCTCGCAGAACCACTTCCCTCAGTCGTGGTTCATGTACAGTTATTACCATCCTATGTCATCACCGAATCCTCGAAAAAGGCCAGCACCCGGTAGTATACCGATACAGCACCCAATGGCGACGCCGTATAGTACACCAGACCAGTTGTTGAGGTGGAGTGGGAGTAACCCAGGAGCATTCGTTGATAACACTTCGAATGCGGTAAACTCTTTCGGCGTTATGCCGTCCCCAGCACCATCACAGTACCCTCAAGCTACCCCGTCGAACGTTCTTACCAGGCGAGGCATGAACAATGCTCTCGTTGCCACTAATCGCGCATTCACCCCGCAACAAAGCGACACGTGGCCGGGCTTTGACGAGAATTTGATTGCAAGCCAACCTAATGGGACTGTCGACGAACATGACAATATAGAGTTGCTCGAGGAGAAGGCCCAGAGGGCAAAGAGGGAGGCTCAAGCGAAGCGGAAGCAGATCCCTCCTTTTGTACAAAAGTTGAACAGGTACGCGTAATGCCTTTCCAACGCCATGGTTGTACTACTGCTAACGTTCTCAACAGTTTCTTGGAAGAATCGAAGAACACAGATCTAATTAGGTGGTCAGAGAAGGGTGACTCTTTTATTGTTCTCGATGAAGATGAGTTTGCTAAGTCCTTAATTCCTGAGCTCTTCAAGCACAATAACTACGCATCCTTTGTTCGCCAACTCAACATGTACGGATTCCACAAGAAAGTTGGCCTTTCAGATAATTCTATGAAGGCTAGCGAACGTAAGAACAAGAGCCCAAGCGAATACTACAACCCTTACTTCAAGCGTGGTCACCCGAATCTGCTCTGGCTAATCAACAAGCCGAAAAGCGGTGGCCCCAAGAAGCCTCTCAAGAAACAAGATACAGGTGAAGGTGAGAGCGACGAGGATGTTACCGTGGCAGATGAAGCCATCGGTCACCCCTTCCCTCAGCAAGCTGCGCAGAATCGAGCACTGCCAGCACCAGAGACAGGGCCCCTCCAAAAGAAGGAGTTGGCGGTTGTCAGAGATCAGATGGCGGCACTGCAGACGCGACAGAAGCAAATCAGTGAAGCCATCCAGCGACTCCGGCAGGAGCATAACCAGCTTTATCAACAAGCAATCATGTTCCAGAATATGCATGACCGCCATGAGAATTCCATCAATGCCATCCTAAATTTCCTAGCGAACGTCTTTAGAAAGTCGCTCGAGGAGCAAGGAGGAGTGCAGAATGTGAATGACCTGCTAGCCACCATCATACCCAATGTCCAGATGCCAACGGCGCAAGGCCAAGGTAGCGTCGTTGATCTAGGAGATTGGGTGCAACAACAAGTGCCCAATAACTCGACACCGGCGGGTACACCGAAGAGACAGCACCGCCTTTTGCCTCCTATTCCTCAGAACCAAGGCATTAAAACACCGCCAGTAGTGACTCCCACTGCCAGTACTCCCGCACCGTTTTCAAACTATTCCACTCAGCAGCAATCACCACAGATAGGGCATGTCACGGAAGTCCTTGACACCCCGACAGACTCGTCGTCGACTCCCGCTTACCTCAAACAAGAACTCGAGTCGAATCCTCAGGAGGGCATGATGAAGATCATTCAAGACGCGAACACGAACGCAGGAAATGTTACCCACCATGATCTACCCAATGTTGCTGCTCATACGTCAGCAACTCTGACAAATGACCAGCGCAACCGCATGTTAAGCATCATGTCTGGCAGTCATAACAACAACATTACCCCCACTCCTTCCTCCTCGGACTCTTCGCCCCCAATACCGGCAACCACAAGTTCATCTTCCGTAGGAATTCCATTAGCTGGAGGTATACCAGCCGTGAACGGGCGCAATTCACCATCCCCTATCTTGTCATCATCGTCAATCCCTCCACCATCGATCCAACGGATATCGCAAACAGAGGAGGAGCTTGAACAGCTTCAACGCCTACAAAGCGAACAGGCCCAGAAGCTGGATGATCTCAACCACCTGTTAGGTCCCCTAAGCCCATCGGGCCGAATACCTGGCCTGGATGATTCGAGTGCCTACTTTGATGATAACATCGATCTGAATCAATACCTAGACCCAAATGCGTATACCGCTGATTCAACCGGAAATGACTTCAATTTCGATACCACAGCCTTCAACGATGGCACGCATTTTGACTGGAATGCCGACGGCAGCGAGTTTGCCGCCACCGATGGTCTGAACACTGGACGGATTATAGAGACAAACTCGCCAAGCCACAAGTCGCCAAGTCCGAGCGGCACTGAGGAGATATTACGAAATGATTTGGACGATAGTCCTGGCCGAGCTACCAAAAGGCAAAGAAAGGCATAATACCACATTGGCGGACGAAAGGCGTGTTACAAATTCACAAAAGTCTAACCAAGTGAAAAAATGAAAAAATTGGGGTGCATTAGAGTATTCACGGTTTTAGCGAAACGCTCTACTAGAGCCAACTCTTCGGGGGGCTTAACATGGACGGCGGTTTGAGGGCACGCCCCTATTACTTAAAGCAAGGCCTCGGCGTCGCAAGGGCGTCGGAGTTGGACGGAGTTGGAGGCAGCAATCGTTTATTTTCATTGATATCCCAACGAGTCTTTCCCTTTTTCTTGATAGTAAAGACAAAAGGCCTCCTCGTATCGAGGAGCGGATACGAGGCAGAAATTGATGATACGGGTTAAGCTACGACCTTTTGCTAGATTTTAGACTTCGCGAGCCCGCGATACTTTCCTAGGAGGTTAGGTAGTTATAGTTGATGACATTGGACAGATTCAACTTGGAAGTTGAATCTACGACTTATTTTCTTACACATGCGTTTTCGTCGCTTGTTATTTGATATGTGAATACTTAGTATTCGTATGTGTACTCCCAACCCAACTCACTTGTGTCACGTATACAAGGTGATGATGACTGTGGCCAGAAGGATAAATACCTACCTATGAATAAAAGAAAAAATAAAAGTTGTCTTAATAAATACCTACATAACCGCAGAGTTTCTGTTTTAAATTGAGGCGGCATTAGCTCGCCACCGTCGAATCGCAGCGCCCAGAAATTGAAGCCTGAAAAGCACAGCCGCACTTAGACATGTCGACGAGCTTCTCCCATCCAGTAGATTAACCAACAGCAGGGGTCCAAGAGATCTGCGCGACGTTTCATCCGGGGGCGCTTATTGGCGTCGAGGGCGGACGTCATTGTGTAAGACAAGGGGGACGGGGACGGGGGAGGGGAGGCTTGTACATTCATTCTGATGGAGGGGCGCAAGTCATTATTTTACATACCTACAAAGGGCGGGTGGGATTCCAGAACAATAAGGTAAAGGTATGTTAGGTGGTTAGGTTAATGGAAATAGGTAGGCATTGTTTGTTCGCTTTCTTAGGGGTTCTTTATGAAACGTGGGTTGTTGTTCGTGGGTTGTTGTTCGTGGGTTTGGTGTTGATATATTCACTACCGCCCACGAAATTCACTGCGTTGCGAGGTGCTACAACAATTCTTTCTTTTTTTTCTATTCCATTTTCATTTGTTTTTTCTACCTGGTCTACAACAAATTAACTAGGTATTCGATAAAGAATCCGCGAGTGGTGTATCTCGTAGTAGTCCACCGTCCATAATGAACTGCACCAACGCGCCCGCCTCCGTCCCCAGCGACGCCGGCATCGCAGGTATCGGCGTGCTCCTCTCCTTCATAGTCACGGCCGCGATATCCATCCTCATCAGCGCCTCCCTCGTCTTCCAAGAAATGCGCAACAACGCCCAGAAGAAACCCTCCATCCTCCGCCGCAAGCTGCTCAACTCGTACTCGGACCAGCAGATCCTCACCGGCATCGGCATCCAATCCGTCGGCCTCGCCAAGCGAACGTCCCTGGTCCCGTACCACTTCTTCCTCGTGTGGATGCTCTCGCTGCTCTCGATGGCCGTGCACAACGCCACCCTGCTCGCTCTCGCGCGCGACTTCCGCCGCGACTGGGTCCTCCGCTGGATGCGCGAGCTGCTCATGCTCGTCAACCTGGTGCTGTCGTGCACGTACGGGGTGTTCATCCTGCGCTGCGTCCAGCGCGGCATCGGCGACGGCACGCTCCCCGTGGCGTGCGCGTGGCGGCCGGAAACACCGGACGGGCCCGCGGCGGGCAGCAACGCGGCGGTCTCGTACGCGGGCACCGGGGCCGTGGTCGCGGGGAACGTGGCCGTCTTCGCGCTGGCGATATGGTACCTCCACGCGCGCGCGCGGCGCTTCTACGCGGCCGTGCAGGCTGTCGGGCTGGTGCTTATGACGGCGTTTGCGGTCGGGGCGACGGTGCGCGTGGCGTACCTCGCCGACGCGTTCGCGCACTCGACGCCTATCCGGCTGAGCGACGGCGGCGAGCGAGATTGGAGCTTTGGACAACTGCTTTCCGTAGGCATGCTGCTCTTGCCGCTGGCGACTGTCGTCGAGATTCTAAGAGGCGAGATTAAGTGCGCGCCGCCGGAGAGCGATGGGGATGGTGATGAAGGGAAGGGTCGGTTGTTGGATGAGGAGGGACAGGGGCAAAAGCAAAAGGAGACGCGGGAGTTGAGGTCGGATAATCTGCAGACCCAGGAATGTCCAGAATTCCAGCCGAGTCCGTTTTCAGGGTCGGTGTCGAGCCTTTTGCGTAAGAAGTAGGAGGGAGGAGAGGAGAGTATGAGAATGCTGGCATATGATTTTGATGCTTGATGAGCAAGATGAGAGATACCCCTTACGCACGCGCGAATGAATAGATAATATTATATTTCCCCCTTTATATTTATTGCCCCTTATGGGCCGTCTTGGATGATGAGCCTGCGACTTATATCTAATGGTATAATCTTTTGAATATTTACTTACGTCCAAGTGACATATTGCATTCATACTTATAAGCTACGGCAGCGCACGTAGAGAGAGGACTTAGGTTACCTAGTTCTTAAATATCGCCAACTTCGAAGAATGTAATGGCAGTGCTTTACGTTATCACCTAGTTTGACTTGAAAGGCAACGTCGAATCAAGGGGACTTTGGAGGTTGTTACGGAATAATAATGAACTTAACTCCCGATTTATAGTCGAATATACTTCGTAATAGTTATGAAATAAGAAGTTATCGTGAGATGTCGAAGGGGACTCTTTGATATCGCTTAAATATATAGCTTAATTTTAAGGAATTAAATATATGTAATAATGAGTTATGAGCGTCTTGTATCGAAAGGGGTATCGTAGCCGACTTATCCCCTCACTCCGATGTCGTCGGACTTGATCGCGATGTTCTCCTACTAATGCGTTTCCGTTGTCTTGGCCGCTATGGCGTGCTAGAGAATTCTATTGTTCCAAGACGGCTTCTAGAAACAATCGAGCCATATATTACTCTATTAATTTGAGACAGCACTAAATTGGCTGGTTTTATAACTCGGATCGCTCCGAGAAATTCAAATCATCTTCTATATGATGACGCCAAGTGACCAAGGCCGGCGGCGCGCTTGTAGATGGATGCTTCGCAGCCTAGACTTCGGAATACATATACGAAAGCAGAAGAAATTGGCCAATCACTGCTGTATCTTGTGTATAGTAAACACATATGAATGATACGCAATGGTGCAACCTGGTCTAGGATTGCGTGCTAGGTATTGCGTGATTGAAGCCCCGCGATAGGTAGACTGTAGAGGGGAAGATCGGGAGAAAGGAAAAGGTTACAATGACTTTAACCTAATCTCGATTCCCTCTTACGGCCTAAGACGGTGGGAAAGACTTGTATATCATAAAGGTGATATTTAACCACATCGAATGAATTTATACCCTATCTCTTATTAATCAGTCACTCTCCTACATCCTCCAACTCGGGCACCCTGACATATCCTCCCTCACCCTTAGACATATCGGGATAGACCAGAGAACTGCTACCTAGTCATGGCTCCCGCCGTAGATATTGAGACACCGGCTGATGTCATTCAGAGCCTAAAGGCCAAGGCTAAGCAAGTTGATCGCTCGATCTTTCCAGATGGACTAAAGACAACAGGTTAGAATAATACACCTCCATCAAATTTATATGCCGTGTAGGTAGTTACTCATTGCTATATAGGTCAACATCCGCCTCTGTATGATAAGCTCTACCCATACAGCGCTTTTCCTAAGCACATCGAGGGACCTACGGAATGGAAGGCGGAGGACTACGCCAACAACCCGGAGAGATGGGTTCACCAATTCTCCCAAGATGAACTCGATGAGATATCCAAGGCCGCGGATAGCTTCATCCAATTAGGTCTACCCTTAACTGGAATATCGAAAGAAAACTTCCGGCTCCCAGGTTTAGAACCATCGCTAGAGACTATGCGTCGAGAGCTACTAAACGGAAAGGGATTCATCCTATACAAAGGCTTCCCCGTCGGCGAATGGGGCATCCCCAAATCGGCTGTCGCCTACATGGGCCTGGGCGTCTACATCGGCTACCCGGTATCGCAAAACGGCCACGGCCACATCCTAGGCCACGTCAAGGACCTCGGCGAGGACAGCACGCAGATCGACAAAGTGCGAATATACCGGACCAACGCGCGGCAATTCTTCCACGCCGACGACTGCGACATCGTAGGCCTGCTCTGCCTGTCGAAAGCCGAGTTTGGCGGCGAGTCGGACGTAGCCTCCATCCACAACGTCTGGAACATCCTGCAAGCAGAGCGTCCGGACGTCGCCGAGCTGCTCACCCAGCCGATCTGGTACTTCGACCGCAAGGGCGAGGTCTCGGAGGGCGAGGAGCCGTATATCCGGACGTCCGTGTTCTACCTCGAGACGCCGGACCCGGCTCACCCCGAGCGCGAGCAGCGCGTCTACTGCAAGTGGGATCCGTACTACGTGCGCAGCCTAACGCGGTTCTCGGACAAGGGCATCATCCCGCCGCTGTCGCCCGCGCAGCAGGAAGCCACGCGGGTTCTCGAAGAGACCTGCGAAAGGGTGAAGCTGCACATGGTACTGGACATCGGCGACATCCAGTTCGTGGCCAACTCGCACACGCTACACGCCAGAACGGCGTACCGCGACTTCGGGCCGGATAGCGGTAAGCCGAGACGGCATCTGTTGAGGCTGTGGTTGGCTGTGCCGCAGGACGAAGGGGGGTGGAGGTTGCCGTTTTGGGACTCGGATGAGAAGAAGCGCGGTGGGATTCAAGTTAATGATAACGCTCCGGTTGCGAGGCTGGAGGCTGATTAAGGGGTGGATGGATGTATAGAATATGATGTCTTGTTCGCAATAGCGTAGGTACCTAACCTACCTAGACTCGGCTTGGAGCAACCTATAGTATAATGAGAGATGAGGTTGACGATTAACATAGAGATTAGCCAGGCCTATTTGGTTTTAATAGCATGGGAATAACATAGGCACTTGACACTGTCGTTTGAACATAGACAGTAAACTTGCACTCCTAAGCCCATAAGTTCAAGTGCTGTGATTATGGGTTTGATTTTGATTTTAGTTCTTTTACTCAGTAGTTGAAGCTGGGGAAGCGGACTTAGCCAACTACCAACCCAACGCTCCCGTGGCGATCCGGAACTGTCATTCCACCCATGTACATAGGAATGGTCACTGGGGCTGATGTCTCTTATGTAGAGATAATACGTAGCGCTACACCGTAAAGGGCAATCTAGGAGGAACGCTCAGACGCGCGGAAGATAGCCGGTTCGTCGGGATGGAAGTGCCTAGGCGCTTTGGAGGTTAGTTGGTGTGCCCAACTCGCTAACCTACGCATTTATGTATGTATGGTGTTTGGAGATAAATAAGCGAGGGTGAAGATACATAGTTCGTTCGTGGGAGAATTGGTGGCTTGGTTTATGGCGATGGGTAAGGTATCGTGTAAAGTTTAAGCGTCTAGATAGGTATGTATCTGTCTATTCTTGGCTTGAGGCCGTTCGTAGCCTATGTATGTACGTGACTGAACATCGGTTCGGTCTTCTGTTTTCTTAGTCTCGGTCCGAGACTCTCGGTTTTCCTTCTTTTTCCACTCGAGCTAGTATAACCGATTATTACCAAGGCTGTCTAGCTACATAGTAGTGTATACGACGTGCATTCGAGGCCCACATGAGGATCTACTTATGTATATGAAGCTGTATTATGCATGAATGCAATTGCACGTGTTGGGCTATAAATAACGTAGAACTGCGAATAGGTTCCCTATACCGTCGCCAAAGGACTATACAAAAGTGCCTACATTATAACCAATCTCTGGGTTAACAATTCCCGGGTCATAAGATAGGTAACCAAGGGTAGTTATCAGCCATTGACGACGAAACTATATCAACTGCGGTCTGTAGATCACATACATTAGTATGTATATCAAGGTTGCCGGTGGCATGCTCGCATAATTTCCTTACCCTAGCTATCAATTGAATCCAGTCAGGCACTAGCGCAGCGACTAATCACTTCCCCGGTCCATCCCTGACTCGCTAATGCATTCTGATTCTCGCCTACTATGGCTCTGGGTCCAGATGATATGAATGTTAGGTCGCGGTGCATCCGTAGCATGCACGATATGGTTGCTCTCGGAGAAAGACGAGGCTTGTGCATGCTATTAGCCTAGGTTAGAAGACTATGAGGTTTGGAATGGTATGTATGTGGTTAGATATGGAGGTAGAACCTCAGAATTGAGTAGTTATATAGTTGTTCCTCGGTCTCATCTGCATATGTAGATCGAGTCGTCTTGGCTTAACCATACTCTTGGGTCCGTACACGTAGGTAGGGTCTTTGAGTAACCTGAACAGCCCAACTTAAGAATCTTTCCCCAAGGTTCATCTATGTTGAACGTGTTACTCAAGTGTTCTACTTTGTAACTCACTGTAGGTAGTAAGCTGGGAAATAACCTATCTAGGGCGCCCTGGTCTAGTTGGCCTGCCGACCAACCTAAAGATAATACCCCATCTGGGCGCACGATTATGTAGGAACGCTGTCAGGTCAAATAGGGAGTTCGCCGGGTAGAACTCACTCAACTTAGACACTCGAATTACATGGGAGAGCCGGTTTCCCCGGGAGTAGCCCTATGCCTTAAACCAATGCCTGTCTTCAGCTACAACTTGGCACCGGTTTACCGACAGGATTGTTCATGGTACCTGGCATATTAGCATGACCCAAGCCTGCCCCGGCAGAAGGACGTCAAAAAAGGTGGCACACCTACCAGGATAACTGTTAGTAGAGGTGCGTCAGCTTTTTTGACGCCTTTCTGCCCGGTCCCAAGCTTCTGGAACGAAGAGTCCAATCGAGGGTCTAGCGTGTGCTCCCATGTACTTACCTCACATAATAAAGAAGGATTGTTACAAATAGAACGTGCCCTACGTAGCGTATTTACCCAGGGATATCTTGGCTTTGCCTACTGTTTATAATACCTAAGTGTAGCATCCACTCCATTGACCCGGAATCGTGGGTCGAAAAATGATGGAATATCTTCCCCGGAGACGACCCATGTTTGATATTGGCGATAATGGCCGCTTCCAAGGCACATTCGGTCATCAGCGTCGGTGCGGTATTGGTTGCGATTACGGCGGTATCTATGGCCTCGAGGATTACGGCTCGGTGGCTACATAAGACTATAGGAATTGATGATGGTTAGATTTTCTACGGCTTCCAAAATTCCTTGACGGATAACTACTTACCTCTCGCAGCTCTAATTCTCCTCAGTTGGGTATGTCGCTTTCTGGGGATCGAAAGAATATGCGAGACGCCTCAATGAACCACTAACTAATTAGCGTAGATTTTATCAATAGGGTTATGTTCCTGCGTAATGCTCGGTATGCATATATGCCTATCCTCTATATACCTAGCTCTGGGCTAACCGTAACAAAGCTACACAGCACGGGCTCGGGAGCCATCGTGATGAAGTTGGTGATGAAGATTATAACAAATACCTACAGGTAGGAAGCCAATTGATGATCTTGTCGCTCACGCCTCAACTGACCCTTTTCAGTTTCAAATCGCCAGCTCGATTACGTATAGCTGGGGAGTTGTAGCAGCGAAGGCCAGCTTTGCAGTGCTATACCTCAGAATATTTCCCGAGGGCGGGTTCAGGTTTGTTAACAAGATTTTAATCGCGTTCCTCTTTGCGCAAGCCACCGAGGAAACATTTGTTGTCCTATTTAAATGCAGCCCTGTTCGAAAATCGTGGGACTTCAAGCTGGAGGGCTCGTGTTTCGATCTTCATCCTCTTTGGTATTGTACTGTAAGTGATTCAAATCCGATTCGCTATGTTAAAAGTGCTGAGAGGTATGCCTTCGACCGATTAGTTCGTCTTCAACCTAATCACCGATCTCACCCTATTTCTTGAACCTATACCCTCGACGTGGAAGCTTCAACTACCTCTTGTCAAAAGACTGGGACTAATCTGCATGCTTTCACTGGGCGTACTGTGAGTAACTGAACTTGGAGCGCTCATAAACTTCTGCTAAACATGAGTCTAGGGTAACGTCCATTTCCGTAATTCGTATTGTCTACGTTACATCCATAGGCGAGGATGATACATGTAGGTACCTCGGTGGCTATGGCAGATGGACGGTTAATAACAGTATAACAGACCAACTTGCAGAGCCCCTTATATGGTCAATGGTGGAGATATGCGCGCTCATAATATGCTCCTGCATCCCCTCGCTCAAACAAGTCGCGGCGTTTATCCCTGGGCTCAACAGCGCCCTCGGGCTCTCATCCGGCGGGGACTCGTACGGCCGCTCCGGACTCAAGAACCTCTCGATACCGCTCAAGAGCCGGAACCGCAAGGAATATATACAATCACAGAAGTCGAAGACGAGGAGTCAGCACAGATCGAACGCATTCGGCATGACGAGCCGGGTGACGGCCACGGGCATGGACACAATCAGCGAGAACGGTAGCCAAGATGAGATATTCCCACATAAGAGCGACCAGACGGGTGCTATTACGGTAACGACGGAAGTCCAACGCCTCGTAGAGGATGGGGAGGAGAATACGAAAGAGTTTCGCGAGGCACTGATGCCGCATCGTGATGAGCTGAGGAATATAACCGAGAGACCGGATCGCAGTAATTCTCCACCAAAGGGCGGTAGTGATGCGGGTTGGTTACGGCGTTCAAAAAATAGCCCCGTTTAATTTAATGATATCTAAATAATAGCTTATTCCTATATGTGTGGGTTTTGCGAGGCGTTGAAAATCGTAGGGTGATAATTCCAGAATAGACATTCTGTTTGACTATGACCTTGATTTAGGTACTTTAGTCGAAGTAGAATAACTGAGATGAAAAGAAGTTAACTTAAGTAGGTATACCATGTAAACCTGTTCTAATATTTTCTATATAATGAGACAACCTAGAGCAATGTTGAGTTAGTTATGCTTTTGTGAATAGGGGGGAGGAAGGACAAACATTATGACCAGTGGTGGCTACCTAAGCGGGGTTATTGCATATTACTGATATCTATGCTATTATCCGATAAAATGTCAGGGTTCACCTTAACGTCAATTCGCAGGCTGAAGGCGCATCACGGCCAATTAGCCATCACTTTCCACGTAATCTAACGAATCCTCCTATACCACAAACCACAACGGCAACAGCAAACGCAATCGATTTCTCTACACGGCGCACTCATAGATTTACTGCGGAATGATCTGAAATACGAAAACCCGCATGACGGTCGCAGCGGTGCCCCCGCCGACTTCACCATGGACGCGCCGCCGGTCAAGCTCTCGGAGCTCCTCCGACATCCAGATGACCTCGACAAGATCCCCGCGCTGAAGCTGGAATTCACGCGCAAGAAAGCTGCTGTCGACTCGCAGTTAAGGGGAGGTCTACGAGATCAGCTAGAGATGACTCAAACTGGTATGAATGGCATTACCGATGGCCAAAAGACGTTACAAGCGATTAGGGACGAGATGATGAAGATCGATAAGCTTTGTTCCGAGTCGCAGGACATGATTAAAGACTTTACTAGCATAAATTTAGTATCACAGGCCCATAGGAATTTTGGTGCGGTAGAACTCATGGTGGAAAATCTCCAGACATTTAACGATCGCCTTAATAGGGTTGAGAGTATGTTGAGAGAAGACGAAGAGGACAAAGAGAACATGCCGAATCTCCTTTCAGTTCATTACGAATTAACGCAGCTACGAAACATTCGGGACGATGCTATGGAACAGATACAACGAGCCGACGACCCTAGCCTGCAATCTACACTAGAAAACTACTTTTCGAGGTTAGACGACGCAATAGACTGGTTCGACGAGCACGTCGGTCTCATCGCGTTAAACATGATCAACCTCTTAATAGCAGATAACAATAGCCTCGTAGTCCGTCTAGCAGTTATCGTCGAAGCCGAGGAGAAAAGCGATCAAAGAGTCGAAGCTCTACAGGAAGCATTAAAAGACCACAAGGAAATGGCTACGCGATTCCAAAGTATTACGGACGGTGCCAAGAAGGTCCGAGGATACAAGGAGAAATTCCTAAAGGCGATTTCTGTCAACTGCGAAGGGCAATTTGCTGAAGCCAGGGGGGAGTTCCTGGATGATCCCACAAAGCTAGACAAAATAATGAAGTGGTTCTTCAACGACCTCAACGCCGTTAAGCAAGGAATGGTACCCCTGATGCCCAAGAAGTGGAAAATACTCAAGACGTATGGCGATATATACCACCAACTTATGCATGACTTCCTGGTCGGCATGATAGACGACCCCGAATCGAGCTCGGCAAACACGCTCGAGATCATCAACTGGCCCGAGAAGTACTACAAGAAGATGCGGAAACTCGGCTTCTCCGAGAGCGATCTCAGACCCCACGTGATCGACAACCGGGAGCAAGAGTTGGTCAAGGACTTCCGCCAGCTCATCATCAAATTCCTCGACGAGTGGATCGAGCGGATTTTCGCGCAGGAGAGGCGCGATTTTGCGGACCGAAACGTGGAGGGCTCGAACTTGGATACGGATGAGTATGGCTATTTCCGAACCAAGAATCTGGTCGACATGTGGCGTATGTTACGGGAACAGGTCGATGCGGCTGCCAACTCGCAGAGAACAGATGTAGCCGAGGGTGTTATTGACGCCATGTTCCTCCGGCTGCGCGGCCGCCAGCAGTCTTTCCAGAAGATGCTCGAGGAGGAAGCGGCGATATACGAGGCAGACAAGATACCCGAGTTAGAGGGTTTCCAGGCACTACAGGATTGGCTCATTGCGACTGCCAACGACCAGATGGCGTGTATCGATGATAACGAAGAAGAGGGCCGGTTTGCCTACCTTTCGAGCTTCAAGCAGAAGTTCGAACCGCTGGTCACGCCACAATACATGGAGCGTGCCGAGAACGAAATCGCCTCGCTTAGCGAGAGCTACATCGACCTGAGTACCTGGTGTCTCAACAAATTCGCGCAGCTCGTCATATCAGTCGACTTCAAGACCGTGATGCCGACATTCTTCACGCCGCGATGGTACGAGACGACGGCAATGAAACAGATGATAATCACAATCGAAGAGTACATAGGCGACTACCAGCAAGTGCTTCACCACTCCCTCGTCGACGTCTTCATCCAAATCCTCGCCGACGAGCTCCTGGCACACTACCTCATGAGCGTGCGCAACAAAGGCGCCAAATTCCGCCGCACAGACCCCTTCCAAGACAAGATCTTCAACGACGTGTCCACGGCCTTCGAGTACTTCCGCTCCCTGCCCAACGCGGACCTGAGCAACGACATCACGCAGAGCTGGCGCGTGACGGAAGACTTCCTGGGCTTGCTAACCGCCCCCAAGGAGAGCGTGCCGGACGTGTTCCAGGACTTCAAGACCAAGTATTGGGACCTCCAGATCACGTGGGTCGAGGCCGTGCTGAGGTCCCGCGACGACTTCGAGAGGGGCATGTTGAATGCGGTTAAGGCGCGCGCGGCGCAGATGGATGTTGTTAGGGGCGCTGAGACTATTATGGGTAAGGTTAAGTAAGATGGATAGGTACGATACATATGATGAAATGAGGTGTATCGATCGCTGAGGACCTATGTCTGAGTGTAATGATGAACAACTAAATAAATTACAAAAGAATTTTATATAATATAAGCGGATGTAAATCAAATTATTCGATGGCCTGTTTACATTTTTTATTTCGGCATTTCCCATTTCCCTGGCGATGGCTCTCGCGTCTCGACATAGTGAAGGCCCCTTGGCGCATATTCTGGACCCGTTGTCCTCTTATATCGTCCTAATATAGCAGTGTTATACTCACGATGCTTTCGTTCCTCGTGATATATTATTCCATACTAAGTCTTGCCAGTCTCTTCGCTTTCGATTCCCAATTTTTGCGACTTGATATATTATGGTGAGATATGATACTGCTTGTACCGACACGGCGATTGTAGGTTCACACTTACTAACTACATTCGATAGCGTAGGAAGTATATTTTACCAACATATCCGTTATGTCCCAGAGTATACATGAACAGGGCCCGACTGGTTGCCCTCGAAATAGTATAGTAGCTCCAGCCCTATTTATCCCTTTACAAAAGCTACCGGCCAATCACGGATCACGCGTACCTTACATGTAACACAACCTCTACTCTTCTAGAGCCGGAAGTAAGATCTCCATTAGGCTAAAGGCATCTTGATCTCCCGGCCGTTGGTTCGGCACAAGTAAGATCGCCTTGATCCCTCATCCGTGCAAATTTAGGGTCTGGTATATTATTCTAAGTCAACTAAAATGACAACTTAACGATAATGAGAGGCTGGAAGCATACACGATGCCTATACTTCCAATAGTTAGTTCCACGTCGATGCTCGTCGCCGTATTCTACTCGCTGTGCTATGAGGAAATAAGATTGGCTAATGAAGGCTGTATTGGAGGGTGATTCAAAGGACGCCTCTTCATGGTAGAACCTCGTTTCCTCGGTTGTTGTACGATGAGTTGCTTACCTTTTGCTGCAGGTACCTCGTATTAATCACAGCGTTTGACGTATTCCGTATTTAGAAGTATTCGGCGCCTCCTACGTATATCGACCTTCTGCTGGTGATTGCATATCATAGCCATGCATAAGCCCTCTTGCTGAAGGGGTCGAATTTTCGAACCGAGCCTATCAAGATTCTAGATCTCCTGCCCAGAGGCTGCCTGAACATTATGGTACCTGACCGGAAGATCTTACAAATCTAAAATCTTCAGGTCACTAAATAGAACGGCGATGACTCGGGTTAGTTGCCATACCTACATGTATCAACAGAATTAAGCGGTCAGAGACTCGGGTACTTCGGAGAAGTAGGGCCTCTGCTAGAACGCTGAATGGCCTGGAGACCAGGGCCGAAACGACGTCAAATGCCGCGTCATGAGGTTCCATGGAACTCCTGGCAGGTACTAAGCTCTAAAGACACGAATAAGGACGATCCGGATGGAAACCGACTATGCACTACGTCAGGGGTAATATGCACCTCACACAATTGTAGAAGGTTCATGCCGACCAACATAGTTGAACAGAATGGATTACAGATGATGCATACCTAGGATTTCGTAAATAGAACCGAATTCAGGTTAGCTGTACATTTATTGCGGTAGTTGCTGTAAAGGGTAAGCGTATATTGAATCCAAGCTGTCTGACTATATGCGGTACGAAGTATGGAACAATTCTGGTGGACGGAAAACAAATCATTGGTCATATTGAGATTCTGCGTCCGATACTGGAGGAATGATTGGCCCTCTCTCTTCGCAATAGATGTGTTATGATTTGCTGCCAGGTCACTGTTTAGGTTAGCAATAAAATAATAAAAGGTTTAGGTTAATATATGTATATAAAAAATAGTAAGCACTATACGCCCAAAACACACCGTTGTGCTACAAAAGAACTTGCTCATAGACGCCATAGTATTGCCACTTATATAATATGATCGACAATTTAACTAGCTCTACTTTAAGTTAGGAGAGCAAACATAGGTGCCCTATGTCGTACAATAACGGTGCGGCTGGTGACGCGTACGTTAGGGTACTGACCGCTGATAGTATGCCTGGCTCCTTTGACTTATTGTGGATAATGAGGCCCGGAGACTAATTGCCGGAATAGCAATAAATAATATTCGTTATTAAAAGCGTAGCTAAGATATTGGAAGGATCGCGAATGTCTCTAGGTATAGTTGAACTCTGATACAACTACGTCTGATCACTGGCGAATTTGCCGAAATAAGGGATGCGCTGCGGATATATTTCAGACGGCAGGATTTTGATGTGTTGTGGGGTACCTGAAATCTAATAGGATGGTAATGCGTATCTAAGAGATAAAGGACCGCACCGCGGAGTCGGTAGGCGCTTCGGGTGAAGCGGATAGATCGACGACCGGACCGGTACCTTAACGGGGAATAGAATGGTCTCGTCGTATTATAATTATCTGGTGTAACTTAACCCTCGTGGTCAGCCCTGACAGGACGAACTTAATAGTAGCATCAGGGACACAGCAGGAGAAAAAAAAAACATTAAAAAGCGATCCAACGAGATCAGCCGACGCATCATATACTAGTTGCATAGTCATGAGCGAATCCTCAAGCTCGCGTGACGCCCATCGCGGAGCTATCTCTTTCGGATAGAGGGCTACCGATATATCAATACCTAAAGAGTCAGGGAAAACTGCAATACCCCAAGGGCATATAAATTAAAACCGTTTACTCCGGCATATTCCCATCCAGAGGTCCAGAGCGTCGATGGTACCGTAGTAAAAAATATGCTGGTTGCTTTCTAAAGATAATTCCACCGGACGACGAGGAGCTGTACCACGTCGTACACGGGTATGTGGGTTGTACTTCTTTCTGTGCGTGAAGTGAGATCAATGAAGGATTGATCATCGGCATGGGTTATCCTAGCATCGACTTTCACATGGCGCTAGTCTTCTAAACGTCGATCGAGCCCTGCAAGGAGGCGACGCCCACCGCCCAAGTGCCTAACACTATGGCCGTACAGATGTAAACGGCCTTCGGCCGCTGGGCCGTCGACGTGTTGTCATTATGCGTTTGTCGGCTTGGCCTGGGATGGAGGTTGGCTGTGGTGGATGCATATGCTTTGCAGATTCAAGCACCCGGGACTCTGGAAACAGACTTGGCAATGAAACTTGCAAGTTCAAGGTCGTATATTTCACCACCAAACAATGACAAACGTCAATGCGGGCCAAGCTTATCGAGGGGTGTACATAGGCTTGGCTCTGGGAACTGTTGCGCACGAAAGGAGCTTGGCATGTGTGTAATGTCACGAGAAGTTGATTGGGGATGGTGTGCTTGGGTATGATAACCTGGGTTTGTCTAGAGGTGATTTAATTATTTATGAGGTAGATAAAAAGCTTAAAAGTCAAGTGACGCTGACTGCAGTTCGATACCTCTTACCTCTTAACTTACATCTTATTACCTACGACGTCACCGGTAGTAACCCGCACTAGACATGACATGATAGCGGCAAGTAAAGCACGAAATGTTTAAGATGTACCTACTGCTTTCAGATCGGTACCTTACTTCAATGTTGCTTCCATGCTTTATGTACCTCACTCGTAGCTTCCATTCAACGTTCTACAACGGTCTAGCTAGAAAAGTCCCCCAGATGTTTAGGTAGTTAGCCATAATTCGTAAGGCATTCAGGAGGGAGCCAACAGCCCTTGAGGGCCAGAACCCCACTATAAACCATGCCGAAAGCGCCCCTCTAGCTCCTAATCGGCTCCCAATCGAGTCCCCTTGGCCCCTGTAAAATTCTAAACCCCTCGGCTCTCATGGCTTCATCCTACTGGATTAAGATGGACCCGGGTTCTTGTGACCCTCGCTATTGGCCTCGTTGGTCTTGCGCCTGAAGCGTGATTGCCCGAATCAACGTCGAGGCCATTCATATCATGTCCATTCATTCCTTCCTTTTCTAGTACTCAGAACGGGAAAAACAAAGGAAGGAGGAGCGTTGAGGATAAAGTTGGGCCAACATTGGAGGAATTTATTTTACTACTAGTAGAAAACATCTGAAATTTGTACTTTGGCAATAATTTTTTAAGCCTTACCTTAGCTTGAAGCTTGACCCACGTCTACGTTCAACACACACAAACCTCAACTCAAGTCTCCTTCTGCCGCGATCGCAACCGAGACTTTGTCTTGTTTGGATAAGGAGGAAAGGTAACTAATCTAGTACCTGATTGTGTGCGGTCTTGGATTACACGTGGACGGCGACAGTTCTTCGGTCCGGCAAGATTTCCTCTTTGTCGATCGCGATACGCACCCCCCAAATCTTGCCCGTCATTCCCAGACGTCCTCTCAGCAGTGTTCATCGCCGACCAGCAGCCTCTCTTCGGAACCCCTTGAACAAATCATCTCTTGGTCCTGCACAAAGCCGCCGGCAGCTAACTCGATTGTCCGCGAACTACATGCCCATTGCGTAACCCGAGGACCCAATGGGAGCCTCTCACATACACCAGTCCCGATAGCATCTCAAGTAGGACGCAGTCATGGAAAGCAATGGCAGCCACGCCAAGGACAAGAGGCCCGACAGCGACGCCAAATCTAAGGACGACACCCCTACGACCTCAACCACCACCACACCCCCTGATAATACCAATAAGAGCCCCAAGAAGAGGCGCAAGGTAAACCATGGTATGCCGTACCATTCTTCTAAATATTCCAATATTACCCCTAACTCACCTCGATGCTGTCTTCGTCGTATCTGTCTGTACCGTGGGCTAATTTTGGTCGCGCGTTCCTACAGCTTGTGTATACTGCCGTCGATCTGTAAGTCCTCATTTAGCAAGTTTGTCAGACGCTCTAATTCATTGGTTCCACGTCTGCGTATCTACGCATGTAGAAATGCTGGCGCCCCCTACCCCCCTTGTTTATACGGATGGGTTATTTTTTTCCCAACTGCAACCGCCTAGGTTGCTGATGTCACGGGCGATGCGCCCGAATCTTTTCTAGTATTTGTGCGTGCGTATCTGTGCGCGTGCGCGCGTTCGTGCGTGTTGTTGGGCTTCACAAAGTACTTGGCTAATACTAATATTTCCGGGCTTATAGCATATGACTTGCGATCTCGTATGTAAGATCTGTTCCTACTTTTCTGTGCCTATGGCTTGGGGGCGTTGTCCAGGTTTGCATGAGCCAAGATTAACCGGGGCCTTACCCCTATTGAACAGGAGAGACCATGCACGAGATGTATCAAGCGAAATATTGGCCATCTTTGCCACGATGAGCCCCGGGATCCGGATTCAAAGAAGCTCAAAGGCACCCCCGGTGCGGCTGGACACGAAGAGTCGGAGATCCAGCCCGAGCTACCGCAGAATTCAATAGATCAGAGCGCCGCTGCTATGGCACCACCGTCATTCGACGGAACTGGAGCAGCTCAAAGAACTAAGCAAGGTTTTGGTGCAGCTGCACTAGGTCAGGCAAACCCCCTACAGCTTGTGTCACCGAATCCGGTCTCCAGTATGCAGGCCAATGGCTCTGGCAGCAATATGAACCAATGTAGGTTTTGTAAAACCCTTGTGAACGTCGTGCTGGCTAGGGGAAAAAAAGCTGAATTAATCTCGTAGTCGGTGGGTTCTCTGATGCCTGGCTATCCGCCCAAAATCAATTCTACGATATGCATCACTACCACCCTCAATATACGCTTGCCCCAGAAGTCTCCCACGAGTTTAATCTTCTCAATGATTTTCTGAACACTAGTCTCCTCGATGACGCGGGGAACCTGCCAGACGACCAGAATCTGCTGTTCAGGAATAATCAGTCGCAACCTAACCAGTCCGAAATGGCGAGCTTCGTGGCTGGCAACAATAGCAACATTTTATCTACGAATTCGATACAGGCAGGCTCCATGCCTCCGCCAAGCACGGAACAGGCCGTCTCCAGCGCCATATCAGCAGACAAGACGCGTGAATTCTATCTCCAAGCGGCGGACCCATCAGGCAACGACACGCCAGAGGCGCGCATGCATAGTGTGATGAAGGCCAAATACAATGCGGGCCTTCTGAAGCCGTTCAATTACATCAAAGGCTACGCTCGTTTGTCGTCGTACATGGATAGCCATATTGCTCCCGCGTCGAAGCAGAAGATTCTACGACAGCTAGATCGCTTTCGACCCAAGTTCCGAGAGAAGGTGCAGGGACTTACGGACATCGAGCTCGTCTACGTAGAGATGTGGTTCGAAAAGACCTTGCTAGAATATGACCGAGTCTTCGCAGCTATGGCGGTTCCGGCTTGCTGCTGGAGACGGACCGGGGAGATCTTCAGAGGCAACAAGGAGATGGCTGAACTTATTCATGTTCCGGTAGATAAGCTACGAGATGTATGCATTGTTCTAATAACGACCGAGAAGTCTGCTAATCAACTCTACGCATAGGGTAAAATTTCGTTGCACGAAATATTGACGGAAGAGTCGCTCGTACGGTACTGGGAAGAGTTTGGCACCATCGCGTTCGACGCGGCGCACGACACGCTTCTAACGGCGTGTGCTTTGAAGACCCCAGATGACCGATCGAACGATCCGATCATTAACTGCTGTTTTTCCTTTATGATCCGTAGGGACGATCACAAGATGTGAGTAGCGAATCTCGACCTAGGGAAAGCAATTTAGGTGTAAGAAAACCGCTAACCACTATTTCCACTTATACAGACCCAGCCTCATCGTTGGCAATTTCCTTCCACATGACCCTTCGCATTCTTAGAAGCATATCATATCTCTATAGGATACTGGTCGGCATTTGAATAACTTCTATTTGGGCATCAAAGCAGGTATTATTTTCGCATTAACTACCTCTTATACGTTATATCAATAGCATATTGATGGGTAATCTACAAACGTTGTTGGGTATTTCGAGATATGATAGATGCATTCTTATCCAAGAGTTTCAGGGGCCATGTCATGTCTAGTAGCGGTACTAAGTAGCGGTACTATCTTGGAGGTGCATTGTTTCGGGGTACTGAGAGGGAGAGTCGGAAATAACGATGGTATCCTACTAGGTTTGGAAGGTGCTATTGGATCTTTTCTGCTACGACTTCCCCTGATTGGAAAGTAAAGTACAACACTACCTTTTCGTACCTACCTCCTAACTATAGACTTTTTGGAGCAAAGACAAATAGAATTCCACCAAGTAGTTTTTACTTTTTCCCACTTCTATCGATCTACTCAAGACCTCACGTTGTTTCGATGGTGATACCCCTTTAGAAGACCCCCCCAGCAAGCTATCGAGATCCAAAACTCTTTCGAGTTGGCATTTTCTTGCCGCTAACCGATCTAACCGCCGCTTACGCACTGATCCGAATGTAGTCAACCTCGCCGTCTTAACCAACCTCCAAGAGAGTTCAGTAGGTAGTATCTATACTGCAACAAACAAAGCCACATTGCAGCACATCTCAATATATTGGTCGGCCTCTCTATATCGGACCTTCGGGTTCCCGGTGTGTCAGCATGGACACCTCCGCGAATTCCTCGCATTCTGCCCGAGATAAGCGTATCAAGTCTATCATATGTCCGTATTCTCCGTGCCGTTTAGAGACGTATACTGACTCCCTAAGCCTTTTGCCATGATCTCCAGAAGCAGTTGCCTAGCAAGAATGACGAAAGAGCGCTAAATGCTCAAATTGACGAGTTGGAGAATCAGATCAATGCTATCAAGGCTTATTCTCTTAAATCTCCCGGCTCGCATCGTCATGCACAGCTAGACAGCGCCGGCACCGATCTTTGGAACTGGTGTGTTCAAATTAAACGCGAAGACGGTAGTGAAGTATCGCCAGCGAGAAAGAGGCTCCTGACTTTCTGCCGGGTATTCTCGTTCCTGATCCTGGCGCTGGCGCAATGGGGTGACCATAACACACCGGGTGATCTCCTCCGCTTGGAAAAATTGGCAATCAAAACCGGCAGATCTTGTATTGGTATATTGCATCTTGGTCCCACCACAGTTGCAGTGCTGCATAATTTACTGACGCTGGCGTAGTGGACGGCGAGCTCAAGTTTGCACTCATAGTTCTGCAGAAAGCCGCGGAATATAACGGGTTGTTACAGAATCTGCAGGCGAAGCTGCCGGATGAGGAGTCTGACGCCTGCAGGAAGCTAGAGGCAGAGTATTTTGCACTTCGTATAGTTCTGGTAAGCGGCATATTACCATCTGCCCCTCGTTCAGCTGCTGACAACCCTGGAAGGCCTGGAAAGAAGACCGCCTCGACGTAGCGGATCATCTATACGAAAAGGTACAAGACTTCAAGCATACTACAAACCCAGCATCGGTAGAGAATTTTGCCGACTCATTTTTTGAGATTGGGAAGGACTTAACAGCAAAGAAGAACTTCTCGCTGGCAGTAAAGTGGTTAGAACGGGCTTACGAATTCATCAACAGCCAAGACCTCGAGCAGCTACCAAGAGAGGTTATCGAGTTGAGGCTAGCAGTGTCCCAGGCGCTCATTCGCGCATACTTAAATTTAAATACGACTGAGGGCTTCGAAAAGGCTGAAAATCATGTCTGTTACGTTGAATCCGAGCTCGGCGACAAGCTTGTTGTCCTTCTACTTAGACTAGAACTCCTGCTCAGCTCACCAGCCGAAGTATTCGACAGCAATGCATATGCCGGTATCCTTCGGCGGATGATCAGGAGCCCTGAAATCTCAGAATCAAGTTTCAATCTTATGATACACCATATACGTAAGCTAGACGACAAGAGCCCGAGCCTGGCCTCTTCCGTTCTCGGCGAATTTATAACATTGAGAGTATTGGACACCCAAGAGGACACCTGGGTTGAACGGGCCATCGTGCTTTGCACGCAGATGGCAACAACACATCGGGACACTCACGAAACAATACAGGAACTCGGAACCATATTTGATAATGTCGAGGCCAAACTAGAAAAGCCATTGTCAGCTGCTGTTGTTCTCGCAATACAAATAGTCAGCCAGCCACCCAACCTATCTTTAACCCTTTTAGTCGTGCGCTAATTATTAATAGCTCATATGGAAAAGGGTTGATGCCTCATTCAATCAAGGAGAGCTGGATATTACAGAGAAATGGTGTCACGTAGCCTTGCATCCAGCTCTTCGTAATTCGGGTCCGGCGAATACAGCAAAGATTACTAGGTAGGCTCTACCTACCTAGGTGATAATATGTTCTGTCTGACGAAAACAGGAAATTAATGTGCTGCGCCCTTCAAAGAAACAACTTGGATAACGCCGCAGAGATCTTCCAATCTATGGGTGAATCAACCAAACGTGAACCAATTACGTTATACCTCGCATACAAATTAGCGTTAAGGTGCGGAGATCGGGAAATGGCCTCTGAGTGTTTAAGACACATTAGCGAAGCCTCAACAAAAGAACCCCAGTACCTGTACGCATGCTGCATAGACGCGCAGGAAGCGGAAGACAAAACGTGCGCGATCGAGGCGTTGAAGCATTTGATACAGAAGTCCGAATATAGCTCTTCGGATGCTGTTCATCTGCCAGCGCTGCTTCGGGTTGTCATACGTCTCGAGACATCAATTATGAAAGAAAAAGACCACAAGGATGCTGACTATAGTTTGTTAATAGATGACATCTGCCAAGTCTTCGAAGGGGGTGAGTTTCTCACATGGATCTGCCGGGTTATACTAAATTGCCTAGTCGTACCAGCCATACAGCGAGACCCGCGGAATAGTAACGGCGATAAGATATTCACGGTAGAAGAATTAGATTGGTTTGGTAAAAACGCCTATAACCTGGCTGTCAAAAACATCAATATTTGGCAGCCGAGGCAAAGTATTCGCATATTTCAATGCTGCCTTTCGATCATCTCCCAATATCCTCAGGACATACCAATTCAAGCAGCTGAGGATCTGTCACTACGCGCAATGTTCTGTCATTTTCTAATGGCAACAGTACACATCGCTCTAGCCCGATCTGAAGACAACATCGAAACGCAGCTCCAAGACTATCTATCGATGCGCAATCACGTTAAGAAGTTTGACGAAGAACTGGAGGCTCGGCTAAACGGTCTGGATGAAGTGTCCAAGAACGACCTACGGATGAAGCTTTCAACCCTTCTCGTCTTCGATTTTGAAGGGGCTATCTGTCTTAAGTCATAGGACGACTTGTCAGAGATCTTATTAAAAGCTAAAACTTGCCGTAGTCTATCCACATTTCAAGCGATGGCAGATTGTATCCTCCGAGCCCAGTCTGTCCCTGGACAAGGTACGAATTTGCTGCGGCGGAGGCATTGCTTTTTCTAACGGATGCTAGCACTATATTCTACGCTGCGCAAGATTATAAACCAAATATTTATGCTCGAAAATTTCGATAAAGAGAAGCTCGCGAAATATCTGCGGTGTTTACTCAAGGCTACTCTCGCTTCGGAACCGGAATACCCGCTGAATATTATGGAGGACATTTGTGGGCTTGTGAAGCAATGCGCAGGCGTACGTCCTCCTTCCAGCCACGGTGTTACAGAAAGGTAAGCGATTTTACTAAACACGGCTATAGAGCGAAAAACCCATTCCGTATGTCGAGGTTGAGTGGTTCACGACGACAGCATTCAACCACGGTGTCGACCTATACGGGATCAATGAAGATGAGCTCAGTAAGCAATGGATCGCGCACGCGCTCACATTAGCACATTACCATGAAGATGGTGGCGACCTAGAGCGGGAGCTTCAGAAAAGGCAAATCAACCTCAAATGGGATTCGTAATGCTTCATAATATTCGTTACCAGACCCTGCAGCTAACGAGCTACGGCTACCAGCTACGGCCATAGCTACCCGTACCTAATTCCCACGATGGAGAGAACCAAGGAGCCGATGTAGAGATTCATTAGTTATTCCTTGAACGCAAATACGTTCATAGCATTAGGCGTGCTAGCTTCAACAGTTGATAGAATCTGGTTGAGGTAACTTATCGAAATGTAAGTTTCAAAAAATAATAACCGGCAAATATCTAGGTTTGTCAACTTCATACATACTGGAATTGTATGCAGTGATGATTCAAGTTTTTACCTGGCTATAGATGTTTATAAACTTTTAATATGTGTAATGATAACGATATTTCTCTATAGAAATGTGGCGTAAATCAATGGTTCAAATATAATCGATACTTGCCGATCGCTCTGCATAATGTTGCGATTGTTCTCAATATAACCACTTTTCTCTTTTCTTTTTCTTCTAGGCCCGTACAAGTACACACATTTAAAAGTATTACATGGCGATGGTTAAAGGAACGTAGTCATGACGTCTTCGGTACGATTGACCTCAGGCCATGGCTTAAGATTATTTCGCATCACTAATGACGGGCGAAATGCCTGCCGCATATACTCTTGAACATCATTAGCATCGAGCTTACCGTCTAGATTCTCAGGAAATCAGTCTAGCACAGCTAAAATGGTGAAGGACAAGCAGACTGTTATCGAGTAAGTCTCTTATCTTTGCCGGGACCTTCACGGTACTGATAATGGATGTCACTGCTAGGGAGTTCAACGACCTCGTCAACATGTCGGCCTCGGATCTCGAGACCTGGCTCAAGGAGGGGTCATCAGAGTCGGCGGGCTGGGGCAAGGATGATGGTTCGGGGGAGACGATCGGACACGAGAGGTAATGTTTCTCTCTCATACTCTTTTGCTGCCACCACGGCGTCCTGTCTTCGTTCCCTTCTCGCGTTCGACCCGCCTCATGCAGACGTAGGTATAGGTAAAACTACCTGGGGAAATCATAATTACGGTACCTAGGTAGCTGACTGAAAAAACGAAGTGGGCGCAAGATCATGGAGATCCTGAGGAAGAACCCGAATAAGGAAAGACCCGCAGGAATACGAACAGGACGACATGGACCACATGCGTCGCGTCGTTCGCGTATTGTAAGCGGCATCTCGCGCAGGAGGACAGGGCGAAGAGGGACCCGGAGAGTAAGAGCGTGAGGAGCTTGAAGAATTGGGGGTACGATGCTACGAGGGAATAAATAGGAAGGGAGGAAGGAATAAATAATAAGAAGAAATAAAATAGGAAGAAAAGAGAATAAGTAAAAAATAAATTGGTCTCCGGTACGGGGAATCGAACCCCGAGCTCCTCGGTGAAAACGAGGTATGTTAGCCGTTACACTATACCGGACTTTGCGTTTCGTCGTGAGTTATGGACGGGTGCGTGATGGTAGCCCTATGTCTTAATTGTTTTTATATTAGCGGCGGTTTGTGAGCGGGGTTTATTTGGTTGGGAGTGGATCTGCACTTAATTGGTTTGGTGTTGGTGTTGGTGTTGTTTGCTGCGTGTGAAGAGGCGGGAATTTTAGACGGGAGGTGGCTGAGATGTTTTTTTGATATTGTTGTTATTGTTGATTCGGTTCGATTCTACCTTTCGACTTGTGTGGAATCTCATTGTTGGTTTGACTTAGAGGGTATTGCACGTATGTATTGTACGTAGTTCTATATAATAACTACGACCCCCTATTCAAGGTACCTCGAGATAATCCAACAGCTTCTTCAACGTAGGCTTTTGTTTAGCTCGTAAAGTCCAGCTATCGCCTAAGATCCTCTCCTCTCTATATCGACCTCCTTTCCCACACCCACACCCAAACCCCCTACCACCTACCCCTTAACCATCCTCCGAATCACCTCCTCCACCCCCTCCGGCTTCGCCCCCACGCGCCCCAACAGCTCCTCCAGCATCCCATCATCAACCTCGCACTCCCCCTCCTCCAACGCCTCGTACGTACTAACCCACCACCTAACCGCCGCCTCGTCCATCCCCCGCTCCTCCACATAATACCTCACATGCTCCTCCCTCCCCACAACCCTCACCCTCACATCCCTTCCCCTAGCCGCGCCCACCAGCCCCGCCACCTCCGCGATACTCTTCGCCGTCCGAGCCCGCGTCGACAGGTAAAACAAGCGGTTCTTAAACTCCCCTTCCCCTTCCCCCTCCGGCGCCGCGAGCACCACCGCGTTCGCAACGCCTAGGTCCCCGATCGCCGTCCAGCTTATCTTCCCGTCCCCCGCGAGCGGCACCTCGCGCCGCTCGTCGTCCCCGTCCCCCGCGAAGTACCCCAGGTACAGCGGCCAGGACTCGGCGTACAGCCCCTCCCTGATAACCGTCGCGTTGTCGAGCCTGCCCTCGTCGCGCAGCCGCGCGAGGTACGCCTCCGTGCGGAGGTGCGCGCGCATAACGCCCGCTTTACTCTTATTCGTCGCGGATTTGCTCTGCGGGTCGTACGCGAACGCCAGGCTGGAGTAATACACGTCCTTCACACCAGCGCGCACGGCGGCATCGATAGCGACTCTATGGTGGCGTTCGCGCCCCTGGCCATCCGGTACCTCCTCCCACTTCTTCTTCTCCTCCCCCTCCTTTCCTCCACCTTGCACAACAAGCCTATCGAAATCCAGCTGTATATGCGGCGTCGACACCAAGAAGAACCTATCCACGCCTTGTAGCGCGCGCTCGAAGGACGCGGGGTCCTCGAAGCTCGCGTGGCGGACCTGCAGGCCGGGGGCTGTGGCGGCTAGGGTGGTGAATGTGGACGAGCCGGGGTGGGAGGATGTTAGTGCGACGATGGAGGATGCGGGGACGAGGTTGTGCGCGAGCAGCGCGGAGAGCGTTGCGCCGCCTAGTTTGCCTGAGGCGCCTGCTATTGCTATCGTGGGCATTATGATGTATAATGTATAATGTATTATATAGTATTCGTTGATTTATTGATTGATTTATTTTGTCAATTTGTAAATATGTGAGTACCTGCAGAGATATAATATATTTAATGTATTCGTAGCATTTATAATCTATATATAGTGGAGGCATAGGTATTTAACGTAATGATATCGAAACGTCATGGAAGCTAATCGAGATCAGTCTATATTTATAATCGGTAGTTTCATTTCGGCTTTAATGCCAAGGTGGGTCGTGTAGAACTATCTTAACAATTCGAGCACTAATATATACCTATATAGTATAACTAGTATTGACTAGTTAACTACGAAGAAATACTTTTGTCGATTATAAGTTTTTGCTTATTATCTTATTATCACGCGGGAAAATAATATAATATAAAAGGGGTCAGTCAGAAATTATATAAATCAAGAAGACTCCAATCTAATTCATTGATTTACTGCCCGTGCCAACTATGCAACATAAAGCTCAATACTTGGCCTAAATAATAAGAACGCAAGCTAACAACGCTACGTATGTTCATCTCATCATGCTCGTCTGGAGACCTACAATCTCGAATACCTCCACACCCCTAAATAGCAACGAAGAAACTCTTCTCTCCTTCCTTCGGTATCACTCTAGCCCGCTCCATTATAGGATCGACACACGAAAGCCTGATCCTCTCGGGAGTAGCTGGGCTCTCGAGCCTTAACAATCCGTCGTCTTCGCCTCCTTGGGCAAACAGCTTAGCCTTCACCCCGTAGTCCGCACGTGCTGCCTTGAGCGCGTCACGGATCGCAAAGAATACCGCGCTGCCCATGAATAAGGGCGGTTCGCCAACACCCCTGCTACGCTGGATGGTGCGTAGGTTCTCCCATGTTACGCCCTTGAGCAAACTGACGTTGAAGACCTGGGGTATGTCGCGGAATCCTGGGATCTTATATGCGCCCGGCCCCTTTGTAAATAAGTTACCCGCCATCGGACCGTTGCGCAGCCATAGACTCTCCTCCATGGTGAACAGGCCTAGTCCTTGTGTGAATGCGCCCTCGATTTGACCGTAATCGATTGACGGGTTGATCGACCGCCCTACATCCATCTTGATATCGGCCCGCAAGCACGTCCAGGTACCGGTTAGACAGTCAACTTCAACCTCTGCCGCTATAACGCCTTGAGTAAAGTAGAAGAACATCTTTCCAGTATTCTCGCCCCACGTGTACCCAATTTCTGGTGTCCTATAATATCCATTGGCGCTCAGGTTCACACGGTCAAAATAGGCTGCGTGGGCAAGCTCCTTCATAGTAGCTTGAGGCCCCAACTTCTTCCTATACGGCGCAAGCCGTTCATTGATCTGTTCACAGGCATTCCAGACGGCATAACCATTCAGATCGGACGACGCCGAGGCGGCCGTAGGGGACGTGTTTGCCACCGTCATAGTAGACGTCTCCGAAATGTGTACGTCCTCTTTCGGTACCTGGAGCGCCTGCGCTGCGATCGTGATTATCTTAGTATGCAACCCCTGGCCCATCTCTGTACCGCCATGCGCGACTAGGACCGATCCGTCGTGATAGATATGCACCAAGGCCCCGGCCTGGTTCAACCAAAGAGCAGTAAAGGAGATGCCAAATTTCGTGGGAATTAGCGCCAACCCCCGTTTACGCCACTTATGTTCTGCGTTGAATACCTCGACGGCCTTGCGGCGGGCGGCGTAGTCCGATTCCTCCTGGACCTGCTTATACATTAGAGGTACGTGCCAGTCTTGAAGGGGCTGGTTAAAGTGAGTCTCCTCGTTGGCTTTGTAAAAGTTGATTTCCCGGAACCTCTCAACTGGTATACCGAGACGGTCGGCAACTTCAGACATGTAGCACTCGGCGAAGAATAAGCCTTGGGGACCACCAAAGCCGCGGAAGGCCGTGTTAGACATGGTGTTGGTCTTGCATAGCCGCCCGCGAACGTGAACGTTTGGGAATTTGTAGCAGCCGTCGCTATGGCTTAGAGAGCGTTCGCACACGGCGGGACTCAAGTCGAACGACCAGCCAGCATTAGCGAAGACGTCCATGTCGAGAGCTTGGAGTTTGCCGTCTTTATTCACACCCACTTTCCACTTAGCGAGAAAAGGGTGCCGCTGGCCAGATAATACCATATCCTCATCTCGGTTGAGCATACATCTGACAGGCCGCTTAGCCTTTTGCGCAGCCAATGCGCAAATGGTGCTAAGATGGACACATCTGGTTTCCTTCCCGCCGAAGCCGCCACCAAGGCGCTTGACGCGAGCTACCACTTTATTTGACTGTACACCAAGGATCTTAGATGCGTACGCTTGGCTGGGTGGAAGTTAGCTTATTGAACCACTAGTGGAAAACGTCGTAAGGAAACATACCTTTCGGTGGGATTTTGACTGCTGGTCCAAATTTCCATCTCACCATCTTCGGGTTTGGGTATAGCCAAGCACGCATTTGTTTCCAGGTAGAAGTGTTCTTGACCTCCCATTCGCGCGACACCTGTAAAGGTATAATCGCAATGTTTAAAGGCCTCTTCCGTGTCTCCCTTCTTGATATATCTAAAGTATTTGTGAAAACTCTCCTTTTCGATTGCCTCTTCAATAGTGAAAATGGCGGGGAGATCTTCGTACTCGATCTTCACGGCCCTGACTCCCTGTGCTGCCCTTGCCTGCGAGGTAGCTAATACGACGGCAATTGGCTGGCCGGCAGTGAAAACCTCATCTTCGACGAAGAACAAGTCGTCAAAATTAGGCGCACCCCATTTGTTGTGCTCAGGATTGTGTAAGTCGCTTTTATCAACGATATCTACTACACCTGGGATATCCAATGCAGCAGTATAATCAATTGATTTGATCTTTGCGTGCGCCCTCGTAGACAACACTAGGCATGCGTGTAGTTCGTTCTTGAGCGGCGGGATATCGTCTGTATATTGCGCTTCCCCTGTAGTCTGCTTCAGAGCCGCTACGTGGCTATCAGCTTTTCCTAAGGGCCCTTTAATGTATTCGGAAGTTGCCTCATGGTCTTTCCAACCAGATGATAACGCTCTTTCGAGCTCCTCAACGGCTTGACTATCACCATGTTCACATTCCGTATTGATACCCGACAGCACGTCGTGATAGAATCGGTAAAAGAAGCCTAGGGCCAGCGACTTCCGATACGAAGCCATGCCTCCGGGAACACTAAATACGAGATCAAAATCGGACTCGAGTGCATTCATAGTACCTTCTAGCGTATCGGGATGGGCGAATAATTTGCCCCTGAGATAGTCGTTGGCTTTCTTTGCTGCGACAGTAGAAGGAGCCATGCCGCCATAAACCAGATTACAATGTTCAACGACACCTTTTTGGTCTAGTCTGACATGTAATGCTCCCGTAACAATAGCAATATCATCATCCTTGCGTTTTGCCTGCTTGTAGGCTCTGAAATATTCTCCCTTCTCGCGAGTTACGGGGATGCGGATAGATGCAAGAATTGCGTCTTGTTCTAAGGCTGTTCTGCGATAACCCTTGAAAAATGATGCCATAGGTAGTTCGGTCTCTTTATTCAGAGATCTAGCGACCAGAACGCAGTCTGCTGCCATGAATACGGGATTTAAATCAGAAATGGGCGAGGCTGTAACTAAATTCCCAGCAGGGGTACCGACATTTCTGATTTGCCGTCCAGCAAAGTACTTGAGTTGCTTGTACATAGCTTGGAATACTTGGCCCTTTGCTTCTCCGTAATGCTTAACGGCTTCTTGGCAGATATTCTCAAGGTCAGTGAGCACGACGTTCCCGCCGATTTCGAGGTGGTCATCCTTGAAAGAATACTGCCGCAGCTCGGGGATATCTCCGACGAATACCGAAACCGGATATTGTAGAGCCTTAAACTTGATCTCGATTTGCGTTTCCGTACTCCCACCGATGATCTTCGCGTTGGGGTAGACGCTCTTTATTTCCAACAACTGTTCTAGCGTAACGGGTCGATACCACTTCTTCCGTTTATTTCCAAAGGACAGAGGCTTAAATACATGTTTCTTCAGCGATGGCGGAAAGATGAGTTCGGTGTCCGGCTTGTATTCGATAAATCCTGGCGGTGTGAATTTCTTGATGGGCTGTCCATCGCTGAGATCTTTACTCTTACAGCACCCTCCATTCGCACCTTTGGAACCGTCACCATTTTCCATACAACAACCTGAGCCGCCATTCGCAATGCTTTTACCACACGCACTTCCGGCGCTAAAGGTCTGAGCGGCGTCTAAGATGGGGCGATAACCGGTACATCGGCAGAGGTTACCGTCGAAAGCTTCTTCGATGTCATGCTCTGTAGGGCTCTCGTTATTTCTCAACAGAGCGTACAAACTCATAACAATTCCCGGAGTGCAAAATCCGCATTGGCTTCCGTTGCCCTTGGCAATACGTTCTTGTGCTGGATGGGGTTGCTTAACGTTTCCTATGCCTTCAATTGTGATAACGTGCTTGCCGTCTACACTTGCGAGTGGTGCCAAGCAGGCGTTAACACTAGCATGATATATCCGCTTGGTTGTCGGGTTATACTGGCTCACTACGACTGTACAGGCGCCGCACCCGCCTTCACCGCAACCCCTACGCTCCAGCTATCAGCATGTTTAATCTGACAGAGTCGAGCGCAGTCCGGACTTACAGTTTTGTTCCAGTTAACCCTATTCCTCTTAAGTACTCAAGCAGCGTAACTTCCGGGTCGATCTCGTCGAGAACCACACGGGTACCATTAAGGAAGAAACGAATGGTATCATCGTACACCGCGGTTAGTCCGGGTTCCCCACCTGGCAGCGCCTGGTCTCTTTCGGGGGAGATGGCAATTGGAGCCATGATGTCAAAACTCCCCCCTTAATTCCGTACCTAACTTTAACAAATGGTACCGCCAAGTTGGTATTTCACATAGGTATCTGGGGCAATGATGGGTATAGCTACACGTCGACTCAGCTATTAACAGTTGGGTTGCCGAGACCAGGAAAGAGAAATGCTAAGTCTTAAAGCTTTCGAGTTGAATTACTGAGACAATGGTGAGAAAAGCAAACGATGGCTTAAGCTGTGTCGTAAACGAGTAGAACAAGTGCTGCACTTCTACACCTTAGTTGGGTGGCAATCCACGTTTACCATGACTTAAAGTCTGAGACTTCATTCGCCGGTACCCAATCTAGAGGTTCGGTGAACCAATAATGACAACGGAAAACTGATAGCTGAGCCGCCATTTGATACGTATGACATGGAGAGGCGAATCAGAGGAAAGTCATATCGAATCAGATTCTAGAAATACTAGTATGGGGGGTGTTGTTACTCTACCCCTTGGCTGTTATGTAGATATGATGAAGAAGTCACAATAGACTGAGATATGCAAGTTAAGAGTACAAACCCACCCCGCGGTTTCGAGGGGACTAACTAAAGCCGGTCAGCTGCGGGGTACTACATAGCTTATCGCTGTTAGCCTTATCTGAGGATCCAGCTATGTATAGGAAAAAGTTGGTACCCACAACCTCGGCTGACTCCGACTTCCGCGATCTTTTCTTTCTAGCTTCACTCTCGAGATGTTCGAGGAACAAACCAGCTTAGTACGTCATCATTATATATCCCCTTAACTCCAATCCTTATGTATCAATACTGAAAATAGTGGAGGTGTAGTTGAATGCCAGTCAAGGGGATAACTAGCTTCCACCTCACAAGGGATACTCCGCAAACTACACAGTAAAGGGTCTGGACCTGACTAGACAGAAACCAAGAGAGCTCCAAACAGTTGCCGATCCTCTAATGTTGATCACGCTTTGTCAAAATTTCCTTTTCTTGACTGATTCTATAATCAGAGAGTTTTAGCTATTTTCATCAATTAATACGGTATAGATCAACATGACGAAAACAACACATAGCATACCTTTCTCGGGGGTAATTGAATATAAAGATCAAATTTGAATCATTACCTCGGATCACTGCTGTTCTTTTTGTGCTGCCGTCGCATTACTATTACCGAGTAGGTATACCGCAAGCCGTCGCTAACTCGAGCCCAGAAGAGCCCCAGCAACGTCGAGGTCATCTTAGAGAGCTTTTGGGACTTTTCCCGGACCTTTACCCTTATATGGAAGAGTGAAGCAGCCCTAAAACACCGGCAATTCATTCAAACATTATTAACCCCTCATCCTACCTTACCGCATACCGGTAGTATATATGGCAAAAATAGCCCATGCGGATAGATGGCAGTCTATCTGCTCTGCCCACGTGGCTAAAGTAGAGATACTTTATCCTCTCCTTACGACTCTGTATTATTGTATGATGCGCTCTGTTCGTCGCATGTGGTGATCAGGTTATTTGTTCGACATCCGGAACACGCATCGGACGGTTTTGTTGGAAACTTGGCAGGGACTATAGTATAGGATCTTGTATACCTAGCTACCGCTGCCGTTATAAGTCAAGATGCCTTCTCTCGAGACAAACGGCTCGAACGGGCAATCTGCATTCCAATTCTACAACATCATCGACGGAAAGCTCCGCACCTCCAAGGATCATCACCAGGTCATCGATCCCCGCACAGAAGAGCCTCTCTGGGATGCTCCTATCGCATCGACAAAGGACCTGGACGACGCCGTCGAGGCGGCCAACCGGGCTTTCAAGACGTGGAAGAAGAGCACCGTGGCCGAGCGCCAGAAGGCCGTTCACGACGTAGCCAACGTCATCCTCGACAACTTGGATATCCTAACTGAGGTTCAAATGAAGGAAACTGGCAAGTCCAGGCTCATGTCGAAATTCGATGTTGAGAGGGCAGCATGGCATTTTGAGTATTACAGTATGTACCCAGCGCCTCCCCCCCCCTTATCGTGCGTTAACTTACACGCCCACCAAGAAAGCGTGACTCTCGAAGACGAGCTCCAATACGAAGACGACACAATCCGGATCATAGCAACCCACGCGCCCATCGGCGTGCTCGGCGCCATCTCCCCATGGAACTTCCCCCTGATCCTATCGACAGTCAAGATCGTCTCCGCGCTCGCCACCGGCAACTGCTGCATCATCAAGCCCTCCCCCTTCACGCCGTACTCGCTGCTCAAGTTCTGCGAGCTAGCCCAGCCGGTCCTCCCGCCAGGCGTCTTCCAAGCCGTCAACGGCGGCGCCGACCTCGGCGAGCAGATGACGCTGCACCCGGGCATCCACCACATCAGCTTCACGGGCACCATCGCCGTCGGCCAGCGCATCCTGCGCAACTGCGCCGGCACCCTGAAGAAGGTGATCCTCGAGCTCGCGGGCAACAACGCGTGCATCGTGTGCGACGACGTCGACCTCGACAAGGTCGTTCCCCAGGTTACCACCGGCGCTCTGTTCCACGCCGGCCAGGTGTGCGTCGCGTCGAAGCGCATCTACGTCCACGAGTCCCTGTACGACCGTTTCCTCGAGAAGCTCGTCGAGGAGTCCAAAAAATTCGCCGTCGACGACGAGGAGTCCGTCGCTTTCGGCCCGCTGTCCAACCGCGCTAATTACGAGCGCGCGGTGGGAATTATCGAGGACTGCAAGAAGAACGGGTATAAGATCGTCGCGGGCGGCGAGGTCCGGCCGACGGAGAAGGGGTTCTGGCTGCCCCCGACTATTGTCGCGAAGCCACCTGAGGACTCGCTAATCGTTAGGGAAGAGCAATTCGGTAAGCTACCTATAAGATTTTACCAATGAATTCCCCCAATGCCCTTTTCTATCGTTATCCTCCACGGCTATGGAGAAAAAAAAAAGATAAAAAAAAAAGAGTTTAAAACAAAACCCCCTCCAACTAACCTTCCCTCCCTAGCCCCCATCGTCCCCGTACTGTCCTGGTCCTCAGAAGACGACGTAATCGCCCGCGCGAACCTCGACAACGCCGGCCTAGGCGCATCGGTATACACGCCCGACCTCGACCGCGCGCAGCGCATCGCGCGCCAGCTCGAGTCGGGAACCGTGTGGATCAACCAGTTCGAGCGGCCGCACCACGCCGGATTCTTCGCCGGCTGGAAGCTTAGCGGTTTCGGCGGCGAGCTCGGGAAGCAGGGTCTGCTGCATTATTGCCACACGCAGAGCTTGCAGATCGCCAAGTAGGCTGGCTAGGCGGTTCGTAGAGGGAAGTAAGCAAGTCATTTTTATTGGGGAGGGGAGTGAACAATGGGGGGAGAATGGAGGGAGAAATGAGAGGAATAAGGCAGGCCCCTTTGTTATGGATAGAGCGAGCTAGACTTTTTGTAAATATTTGTGGTATACATAGGTAGTATACTATGCTACATAGAGGATTATATATACACGCACCTATATATAAATCATTCACGATTACAGTATATTAGTACCATGTTCTCACAGTTGTTGCTGTATACTTCGTACGCGGAAGATGAGCGTGACTCAGTAACCAGTCGATCAAGTATTATAAACGCAGGTTCACTCAGCCAGCACCTAAACACCACCCATAGCTATAGCTATAGCTATACCTTAACTTTAACGTATCTTGATAAATCTATCGCCTTGCAAATCTATCTCATCTCCCCGTACACTCTACCTTCTACCCATCTAGCCCTCTATATACTTCTTCAACCCCCTAAGCCGCTCCTTCGCCGTCTCTAAGATATGATCCTCCTTGCACACGGCAAAACGGATATAATCCTCCGCAATATGCGCGTTAGAATCGGTGTAAAACTCCGTAGGCGGAATAGCAGCCACACCAACCTCCTGGATCAGGAACCAGGAGAGCTTGAAGTCGCGTGGTCGGCTCGCTACGTGTGGCGGGAACGGGTAGTTCTCCGGCAGCTTGACCTTCTGCATGTTCACCATCACGAAGTACCCGCCCTCGGGGTCTGTGTACGGCAGGCCTAGCTCGTCCCATACTTCGTTGAATAGCTTCATCTTATTCTTCATGTCCCGAACCGTCTCTTCCCAGAATCCTTCGGCTTCAGCTTGTTCGAAGCCTGGAGTGGGTTAATGCCTATGTCACGTGTTTAAATATAGGGGGGGTGGGTTGGACGTACCGACTGCGCAGGCTTCTTGTAATGGCGAAACGGACGAGTAGCAGATCCGCGTGTGGGCTGCAGAGACGTAGCGGATTAGGTGCTCAGGACCCATGAGCCAGCCTATGTCTTGTCAGTGATAGATTTTGAGCGGAAGTTGTATATCTAACGTACCTACTCGCCATCCAGTGGCATAGAAGTTTTTACCAGCCGAGCCGACGGTCAGTGTTAACTTCTCGATCTCGGGCGAGAGTGTTGCAATTCGTGTGAAGGGTGTATAGTAAAGACGGTCGTACACCTCATCGGAAAGGATAATAATCTCATTCTTGACGCAGATGTCTCCTATTCTCTGAAGTTCCCCCTTTGAGAAGACCTTGCCAACAGGGTTATCTGGGGTACTTGTTAGTCACCTATTTCATCGCTGCTAGGCTTAAAGTATGAGATACTAACGAGGCGTATTAATGACAATCATTTTCGTCTTGGGCGTAATAGCCTTCTCAAGCTCGTAAAAGTCGACGATCCACTCAGCAGACGACGAAGTGCGCGTTGCTCCATCTCCTGGCGGGTGCAGAGGGACATAGACAATCTTTCCACCGGGCATCTCAATGTTGCTGATGTATCTAGACCATAGTTGGCAAACTGACTGCCTTGATATTTGGGAAATGACTCACTGGTCAAAGAACGGCTCAAAAATAATGACCTCATCGCCAGGTTCAATGAAAGCCATAAATGCACTCAGCATGCCTTCGTTCGCTCCGGTGGTAATAGTAACTTCGGTTTCCGGGTTGAGCTTCCGTCCCCAGAAGGGTTCGTAGGCGTCTGCGATAGCCTTCTTTAGTCGCGGCCTACCTTTCGTAGGACTGTACTGGTTGCAGTCCACTCGATCCAAAGCCGACTTGGCAGCATTGATAATGAAGGGCGGCGGGTTGTAGCCGAAGAAGCCCTGTCCCATGTTCACGATGGGCTGCTTTGGAGAGGCTGCCGCCGCCTCGTTGACGATAGACCAGACATCTTGTCTTTGGCCTGCAACTCGAGCAGCAGGCTTAAGCTTAGGTGGGAGTTGTGCTGACATAGTTGTTGAATGAAACCCCCGGTTTCTGGTAGCGAATCCCTGATGCGCGCTGCTGATGTAGGGTATGTAGAGTGTCTTTGGGTAGAATAGTCTGGGACGAGACCTCAGGCGGGAGAAGCAATGCATGTAGGCAAACGTGCGCCGTATATCAAATATCTCACGTGCACATTAAGTCCCCAATCCCCTACTTCTCTGTTCCAATTCGTCAATTAATATTAAAAGTAACTTTTCCAGTGTTTTTTTATGACATCTCTTCCCTTACAGAAGGTTCATAACGGACTGTTCCGTAATCGGCGCCCTGTCATTGGAACTGCCTACGATACTCCAAATTCGCTTAAGCAGCTACAACTAAAACGTCACGTCATTTCTTGCACCAAGCACTCAAAACACTAGCGCCCATAGGGGGTAACACAACAGCCCGAGTTTTACCCACGTTCAACTCCCACGCCTCGCACCTTATCGTTTTTTAAGTTTTACTTTCTTATCACGGTTAAAAACAAGACTGACTCTTTAAGGAAAAGGTTTTGATACAATCAACCTCGTAAAACTCGGGCATGGAACTACCTTAACCTCTTAGTTCTCCATCTTTCCTTTGTTTCGTTCAATAGCCTCAATAGTTCGCCCTTCTCTTTTTCTAAACTAGGCTGCTGCGAACAAACATATTCGATGCTATTTTCAACTGTACCATACACCCATCCTACCATAAATTTCGTTGGATACTTCCGTCCTACCTTTCTTACCGTTGGATCAGCCCCGTACTTGAGGAAAATCTTGGTTGAAGCGATCCACGCCTCACCATCCCAAGTCTCTAAATAGTCCCCACAGCGTATGAGATGCATTTCCCAAGCAGTGTATATATTTAACGAGCCTATGGAAGGCATGCTCTTAGGGTTCAAGCAATTTGGGTTAACACCTTTTTCGAATATCATTTCAAAAATGGCTGGTTGGGTTTCGAGATTATTCAGACATCTCGATTGCCGTTTGCTTTGGAGACAGCAGTATCGAGATAATTGTGATAGGAGAGATTCTAGTTTGCGTTTGGAAGTTTCCTCCTTGATTTTGGCTGCCACATATGGAAGTAGTCCAAACAAGGATGCAAGTTGCAAAAAACTCACTAGTCTGTCGAACCCGCCATGATCGCTATCTTCTCGAATTGATCAGGACTCAATGTCATATAAAGAAATTGGGTCCAATCGTATCCTAAACCCCTTTCACGGTTTATGGGTCTACTCCCGCTGTCTTCTGCGTCTTCAAGAAGCTTCATATAAGAGCAGCGGATACTATCTGTGAGACTATATACTTTGAATGATTGTGTTCTAGCGCATTCGAATATAGAGTCGAGTAGATTCTTAGTAATCTCAGAAATATGGCTGTCGTCCGTATCAGAGGAGCGTAATCCAGGACGTAAGCCAGGATGAAAACGGCCGTTAAACACAGCTTCCGGGCAGTGTTCCAGACGTTGGATAAGCCCACTCATCAGAGCTAGGACGGCGTCAGGTATAGCATACTCAACCGAGTTCGGGAAGATTTTATCCTGCGCATATTCTCGGGACAGAAATTGCTTTACCGTCTGGTGCATGAATTGCACGTCCGCTATCCCTTCCAAAAGACCAGCGCATCGTCCCTTCAAGCGTTTCTGTAACCTGACACAGTCTGGCTGTAATTCTTCCCAAGTTTTGTTCAGAAATTCATCCCGGCTATGGCCTTGGGAATGCCAACGTTCTGCCAGGAATAAAGTTATGATGTCGAGTTTCCCGCTATGCAATATTTCGGGCCATCTTGAAACCAAATCGAATAGTCTTTTCGATTCTGGTAGATATTCTCGCTTGATATTTTCCATCATGCTCATATAAAGACCATTCTTGCCCCCAAGCCCATGGGGCAAGGTATCTACAGTCTCCCAGAGCTCATCCTCATAGCCACCATCGTTAAATCTGTCAATGAGGATTTCAATAACTAGGCGAACCCAAATAAATACCCCACGTGCCCTTTTTGTGATCTCGAACGCGAATCTCGGTATATCTGGAAGGTCTGGTATCTTATTGGTTAAAAAGTCCCGGCAATATTGAGAGATAGAGTTGGCTGTGTGCTCATGAACCCTTATTCTAGGGAAGCCTCTGAATTCTTGTTCGAACACGTTCAGCTCCCTGCTAGAAAAGCACACCTTCACGTTCTTGATGGTTTGGAGACTATGAATGAACTCGGCGATCTCTTTATGACCGTTAGTTATCCACTTGTTCCGGCCCCACGATTCATCCTGATCGTTATCTTCGTAAATTAGATCAAGTTCTTGTTCGGTGTAATCGTCTTTTCTGTCTATCATACGGTATTCGTCTAGACCGTCCAGAAACAGGCAGATCCTGGAGTCTTGAAGATGGTTTAACATGGAAATGAATGTTATTCTAAGATTGTTCCAACCGAGAAAATCTCCTGGCAATGGGCGTTCTCTAGGTCCAAAGAGATCCAGATGGGAGAAAACTTCCGGAATAAGTTCCCGTCGGCTTTTCAGTAATTGGTACAGGAGAGTTCGAAGCATCCCTTCCCTGGAGCTTTGGTCCGCGTCGCCGAGCTCAAAAAAGAAGTGTCGCATTAGGATCAAGTTTTTGTCTTTGGCCCATTGGGAGTTTTGGAGCGCCGCTTTGGTTCGTTTGTCATGATATGCGTACTTCATCAGAGTAGATTTCCCACACCCAGCTTTGCCACTGATCCAATGGAAAGTCTCGTCATTTTGAAGCCAAGATAAGAATTTGCATGGGTTGGCGGATGTTTTGTTTTCTTCCGGTTCGCCATCAAGAATCCAGGAACAAGTGTCTTTATACGAATCCTCCATGTCATCTTCTCGCTTATTGATTGTAGGGAATCGTAACTCTTCCAGTATGGCTACTGCATATTAGACAAAATCGACATTATATAAGGGGTACGGATAGACATGCCATCTTTCTGAGATTCAAGTATTTTATTACCTTGTGAAAGTCAGCTTTCGCATCATCATATATGAATAAAGAGAAAACCACTGTAATTCCACATCGCAGTCATATTTATATAACCGGTGTAAAAAATGCCGACTAAAATCATACTAGGTATACATAGATTCTGCGGAAACACGACAAAATACGAGTATCTCCCAAAGAACTAACTAGTTCCACCTAAAGAGATAGCAGACATACCTTGCTCAGACCTGAGTTTTCCAAAGTCACGGACGTCCTTAATATGACTAAGCACTCTTTTATAGCCCTCGTCTCTCGATGAGAACTTTACCATATCCATATGGTTTGCGTGGATTGCAGTGCTGATTACGCGTTGCCCTTGATAAGAGGCAGAGTCTTTTGAGACGATCTAATCCATTAACCAAGAGTTTAGTAAATGAGGCGCGGGTACTTGCGAGGGTAAATCATACCATGCCAATTGCGGTTGGGAGTTCTTCCCTAATGCAAACAATATGCATATCTTTTGAAACTGATACGAAGAGATCCTGTTGTTTCTCAAGAGTATCCTGGTTGGGCTTTAAAACCCTGAGAAGCTCCTTATTTGGTTGTCGAAACGACAAGTCCGCAACGCGCACCGCAATTTGGCCATAGGACGCCTTATCACTACCTCGATGTGGTGTTCCCATGAAAATCACACCTGCGGTTTTGGCGGAAATTTCGCTGAGGTTAGGGTGTCTCCCATGGCTTCGGTAAATATCAGAGACATTTAGAGCCTCTTTAACAACGATACCCCCAAGGCTATGGCAGATAAATACGATGGGCCTGGTCTGATTGTCTATGGTGAGTCTCATGTGATAATATTCCGACGGTTACAAGAAAGGAAGGGCATACCACGTCTCGCCTTAAGTCGGCCAAGTCAGCTAATAACGTATTGGCATGGCCAAATAGACTCTCCTTGCTTGCATAGGAGAATGCTTTGGCAATATCTGCATCATAGCCCCATGTGATCACACGGGCATTCTTTAGATCATCCTGAAGCAGATCTCGTGGCCAGAAGATACCATCTTTGGACCATGTCTTTAACCGGGATCCATGGAGCCCATGGACGAAGACGAGATCAATTCCGCTGTCAGGTGCTTCGCAATCGCCAGGAAATGGCAATGGCAGCGCCCCAATATTATCATCAAGTTGTAGATCCAACCGTTCTTTAGTGTTCAAATGTTCACTAACGTTGCCTCCGTCCGCGACCTGAGCTTGCTCCTTTTTCTTTCCTTTTCCATTGTTCCCGCGGGAGAAAGACTTAAACATAATGACAAAATGTAAAAACAGATACTAGGGAATGACCGGTGATTATAGTACCGGATACCAAGTATTGCTATGAATACTAGCTTTATGTGTGCCTAGTTATAAAGGTTCTTGTTAGGTCGAAAGGGCAATGATATACTTTAACTACAATAATCTCATGTTAGGTAGGCGCCCCATTGACCAAACATGAGATCTACATAATTTTACACCTTCATATCGCTTACGAGGCATTTCCATAGTTGTGACTAAATGCTACAGATAAACGAATCCAGCTTGGTTGGAGTAGGGGGTTTCGGGTGGCGTTTTAAGCGCACTCGGCAGTGTTGCGTGCATTAGCGGAAGGAGGATTCGCGTCAATCGTTTATGGGAGAATAGATAAAGATGCTTCAACGAATGATGGATGTTGTATTGCCGCAGGCTTTCGAAGTGAGGTGATAGCCCCCCCTAGATTTACGACATGCCATGCAGCGCCTCTCGCGTCTCCTCATAATATATTCTATCTTAAGGGCTAAATTATTGGCTGTATCTATCGCATTTTCGTGGTCTTCGATAATGAGTAGGATTGTAAGTTGTTCCATAACTCTCAAGCGCGAATGATTTATTGGTGGTCCGGAAGGCTTTGTCGTCACACGGGGTGAAGGCTTATACATATTCGTAGTACAAATTTTCAGCTGCTATCCCTACGTATCCCTCGTAACCTATAATTATAAATAAAACACGGTAGGCTGGCGCTTATCGCGCCATGAAGTCCATTGCTTTAACTGTCCGTTCCACGGCCCACGACTGTGACCCTGAGTCCCCGACTAACTGAAAAAACGGTTTACTTAGGTATTTAGCGCCCTTTTACTTCTTATTACATATGCATGGTAGACAAGCTCAAAATTTTCTGTATTATACTAAACCTTGAAAGCCCGTTCTTGTGGTTGATATAAAAGAGAGTTAGCTACGTGTACGAGCACCTAAGGTAACTCCTTAGCCAGCCAATCAAAATCTGGCTAAGGGCTGGGGGATACTTTATAAAGAAAGCCGCTTATTGTTTCCTAAAAAAAAAAAGTTTAATAGGATTACTTACATACCTGCAAGTAGTTTGTATTCGAGGATAGGCTTTTTTTGTCGTTGAGGCTCTAAAGTGTTTTACTTTATAGAGCCCCGTTAAACAAAGTTGGTACGCTAGTGCCCTAGAGCTAAAGTAGTCCCTTAAACCTGCTGCTTATACATGTACATAGGTACCTAGTATTGTACAGCTCAAGCGGCAGGGGTTACCCATCGATCCGACCCAACCCGTCGGATATCATCGCATCACATCATAACGGCTTCCTACCTTACCTCTACTACTACCACATACTCAATCAATCTTGACATAAACATAAACATAAACATAATGCCATCCCACCTCCAACAGCCCTCAAAATGACAACCTCACCACCCTCCCCCCAACAACAAAAACCACAACCACAACCGCACCTCAAACCCCCCTCCTCGCCTCTCCTCCCACCAACCACACCCCCCCTCCTCCTAACAATCCGCTTCAGCGCCTCCATCCCCGACCTCGAACTCGACATCCCCCACCCCTCCCTCACAACCGTCATATCCCTCAAGCACCTAATCCGCCAGCGCCTGCAGGAGCCCAACTCCCAGCGCCGCCTCCGCTTCATCCACGGCGGCAAGATCCTCCCCGACAACGCCGCGCTAAGCTCCGTTTTGCGCGCCCCGCCACTACCACTACCACCACCACCACCCCGAAGAGGAGCAGGAGGACTCGACTACGATGGCAGCACCAACGCCAAGAGCAAAGGCAAAGGCAAATCCGTCCCCGGCCGCCCCGACCCCCCGCAGCGCATCTACGTAAACTGCTCTATAGGCGACAGTCTCACGACGGCCGAGCTCGCCGCCGAAGCCACCGCCGCAGCAGCCCCACCGCCCGCGCCCCCATCCGGCCCCTCATCGTCATCGCCGCTGCTATCGCGCACCCCGACTCCTCTGCCCAGCACGTCCGCCGCGCCGCGCGGTTTCGACCGCCTGCTCTCCGCGGGGTTTACCGCCGCCGAAGTAAACCAGCTGCGCCTGCAGTTCCGCAGCATCCACGCCTCGCGCTTTACGCCGGATACCCTGCCGTCGCCCGATTCGTTCCGCCGCATGGAGGATGCGTGGATCGATGATAATGGGGCTTCGGTGCCGGCTACGGGTGCGTTTGGGGGTAGTGGTGGTGGTGGAGGAGGAGGAGCTGAGGGACTTAGTAATGGGACGGATAGTGATGAAGTTGGGCTTGTGGCTCTTGTTGATGTGATGATTCGCGGTGTGGTGACGGGGTTTATGTGGCCGTTGGGTAGCGCGGGATGGCTTGTACGAGAGGAAGGCATGGCGAGTGGACGGTGGAGGTTTATGGTTGGCGTGGGTGTTATGTTTAGTGTTTTGATCGGGATTATTAGGAGTATTTCCGGCGAGAAATAATTACTCAAAAAGCTGGTGTTGAAACTATTGCGCTGGATTGGAATGGATAGATTTACGAGTACGCATGGGGACGGCGTTGCATTTGCAATTATATCATGGCAGGGCGTTTTAGAGCAATTACGGCATGAACATAGATGGACAAATTGTATCACGTTGGCAAAAGACCGGAAGACAAGCAAGCGGGTTGGGCATCGCCAACGATGGCGATACCCCCATTCACTATCTAAGCACACACTAAAGAATCTAAGATCTCAAGAGATGGTTACGTCTCGAAAGAGACTTAACGGGACCCTATTAGGTTCCATCTCCATCATTGATCTCGAAACAAGTGGTATCCCTCCCCTAAACTCCATGAATCATAATCGTAGGCCTCAAGTAGCTGATAATTAAGTCTTCATCCACCTACTTACCTTTGCATGATTATGCGTCGAAGAAAATCATCGAAAAAAACCTGTTGGCAGAACCATGTTACAAGTAAAGGGATTGAGCGGCCACGATATCGCGACGGATCTTCGCTAAACTCTCTTCGAACTTAGTTGTTAGCTCTTCGCTACCCATAACCTTTCCTGCTTGCGCCATCTGGCGAAGGAGCTCCTCGAGTCGGCGGAATAGACGGATCAGGGAACCCTCGTAGGCGTTGGTCATTTTGCTAGAATATTTGTCAGCTTGTAGGATAGATCGGATCATCAGGTCCACTCACCAGACTTCGGCAAATGACTTTCCGTTCGCCCAAGCATAAACAGTCTCCATTAGTTGCCATTTCAAGCTTTGGGCGTACTCCTCCTCATTTACTTCCAGTTTGCTCTCTTGACTGACTTTGGCAATGATACGGGCCTGGGCCTGAACTTGCGAATATGGCTTCATTAGCTCGTCGGGCAGAGCCTGCGCTTCGACCTTCTCCTCGAATATGAATACACTAAGAATAGCGGCGCATAGCTCTGGGGAGAGCTCGTTAAAGAATCGATTGAAGAGTAGTTCAGACAATAATAGCTCGTGACCCTCTGTTGAGGAAATCTCACAAGCTACACGAGCCTTCATCTGAACGACTTCGGATTCGTTGATGAAACCAAGACGACGGAGGACTCGCTTCCTCGACTTGAGTTCGTCTAGTTGCGCAATGGAATGCGCCTTGGCGATCTTCTTCTTGAGAGCCTTGATCTCCTCGTTGCGGGCGATCTTTGCTGAATACTGTTCCCAAAGGCCGGGCAACATAGGTGAACCGTGAAGTGGGTTAGCTAGTAATCGCGACTCTAGAACTTCGATCTTGCGAAGAAGCTTTTTGAATGAGTCGTCCGTGATGTTCATGTTCTCAATAGGGTCCAAAATAGGCAATCCATCAGGGAACCGTCGCTCGACCTCCCTAAGCGCCTTGAGCGTCTGCTTACGAACCGCTTCAATATCCTCCCGGCTGGTCACATCCTTAGGCATGAACACTCGGATCTGGCTCAGAGCTTTGATACACGTGAGCATGCAGGGTACGACTTCAAAGATGCTGTCTTGGTTGGGGTCACTAGCTCGAGCACCTTCTGGCATCTCGGTCGAGGGGTTAGCAGGTCCAAAAGGATCGCAAGTCGGGTCGAGACGAAGGAAGACATCCATGAAATAAGACTCTTGAGGGGGATATTCCTTCTCGCCAAATTTCGGCTCCTTACGCCTCGTGACATTGACAATAACACCCCAGCCGAAATCCTTGCCCGTCTTTGGGTTGGCGATTTGCACAAGTCTTCCTGGTTGAAGATACTCGATACAATAATTGGGATGCTGGATAACGGCCAGCATGTCTTTGGTGTACTGTGTAATTTGCTGACGTAAACCGTAATAATCCTTGACAGTGGCCTCGTCCGGGATCACCATCTCGTCCCGCGTTTTCTGTAGCTTCATTAGCTCGTGTTCTAGGCCAGCAACACTAGCTGTATTCTGGAACTGGAAGAAGCAGTTCTCCAACATGAACTCGGGGTTAATGGCATCAATTCTGAGTAAGTTCAAAACCATGTTATAACCTAGGTAAAAGGCAGAATTGAGCCTGTCCTGTTGGCCAACAACGATGTTCTTGGCTGTTTCCGGCTCCATCTTGTCATCAATCATCATAATGACGATACCACGCTCGTCGAGACCTCTACGACCCGCACGTCCAGACATTTGAATATACTCGGAGGGGGTTAGCGGTCGTGTAGAAGTGCCATCCCACTTTGAGACTTTTGTGAAGACGACCGTCTTCGCCGGCATGTTCAGACCGATGGAGAAGGTCTCCGTCGCGAAGAGGACTTTAATTAAACCCTCCTGGAATAGGATTTCGATGGTTTCCTTAAGGATGGGTAGGAGACCGGAATGATGGACGCCGATTCCCTTCTCTAAAAGAGGAAGAATGTTTTGAATTTGAGGAAGCTCGCGATCTTCCTCCGATAGGGACTCGATGGCGCTCACAAATACTTTTCGTACCATGGCCTTCTCGCTATCGTCATTGAATGCAAATTTCGAAGTTGTTAAAGCCATCATTTCACACTCCCTCTTGCTGAAATTGAAAACAATCACGGGGTTGAAATTCTTGTTCATGATCATCTTCACGATCTTCTGAATGTCGGCTTGACTATCAGAGTTGTTGCCCTTAAAATTCTTCTTATGCCTTCCTTTGCCCTTCTGCTTGGCGTCGGGATCATTAGCTTCAGCAGCTTTGCGCTCTTCTATTAGCTGCATGGTCTTGTTGAAGTTATGCTCCCGGAATACGCCCTTCTCATCCACGACCAGGAATATGCCTGATCCGCCAGCCGGGAAGAAGTAGTTCTGTAGAGGCGTCGGTCTGAAATCGGTATAGACGACATGACAGGCTTGTCGATGGATCTTTGCAATCCATTCGGCGAATTGAAAGGCGTTAGGGATGGTGGCAGACAGGAACACGTATCGGACCTTATCGGGAAGGAGAATGATCGTCTCTTCCCATACTACACCACGCGACTTATCTCGCATGTAGTGGATTTCATCGAAAACGACCCAAGCAACCTCTCGCATTATCTCAGATCCTCGGTACAACATTGATCGTAAAATCTCAGTTGTCATGACAAGACAACTAGCAGTAGGATTGATGGTAACATCACCGGTCATGAGACCAACATCACCGAAGGCCTCATTGAATTCTCGGTATTTCTGGTTACTCAATGCCTTGATCGGACTAGTATAAATGACTCGCTGATTCTGCTTGAGACAGTGTGCGATGGCATACTCGGCCACGACAGTCTTTCCAGCACTCGTATGCGCCGACACTAGGACACTCTCATCTCGTTCAATAGAGGAGATCGAGAGGCGCTGGAAGGGATCGAGTGTGAATGGCCAGGTTCGTGCAGGGTTCTCAGGTGGTTTGTGTTCAGATAGTGGGACGTATTCGTAATCGAGATCTGGAGGAAGTGCAACTTGATGTTGAATATTGTGTGACAGAACTAGCGACGCCTCATCTTTAGTCGGGGCAAATCCAGCTGCTGCCGCGACTTCTCTTGATTCTGCCGTCTCGAATGTGTCTGTCAGTACGGGTTCGGCGACGTCGTTCTTGCGTCTTCGCTTGCTATCTCCCTGGTTATCGGACGCAGCATCTTCCGCATCGTCTTCCTCTGGCGACGTAGGCGCAATGTCCGTCATGTCGACTTCTGGCGCGGAAGGAACAGATACAGCAGTGGTAGATCCATTTTTCATGCCACCGTCTGCCTTCCGCTTCTTGCTCTTCTTCTTGGATTTATGTGGCTTCGCGACCGAAGAAGGTTGAGGTTCCGACTTGACCTTGCTGGCGGGCTGGTCCTCGAAAACGTCGAAGAGCTCGTCCATTGTGAACGGTATCGGATCGTCGCTCAATGATGGTATAATTAATCGCGATAATTGAGAGAAGCGCTCGTGAAGTTTTATAGCGCCAGGTTTCCTGACAAATTTAAAGGAATCCTTGCGCTTCCAACCAGTATTAGGATTAAATAATGCCCCAAACTGTGAATAGCTGATGAGAGCTTTTGTAGAAGAGAACGTGAACTTTTCTGAAGATGGCAGCAGCAGAAAAAAATCGGGTCGTGGCAGAAAAAAAGCAAGGAGTGGAACAGCAGGAATCACAGAAGAGAAAGGCAGGCGGTCAGTAAAGTTGTGTAATCAACGGCAGCTGCAGCTTGCGCTATTGTTGCACGGGCCGAAGATTAACCGTGCCTCGTTCGAGTCAGGGCCGCAGCTAATCATCGTTCGAAGATTCCAAGTTCTACTCAAAGGTTCGAAGCTTTGTAGGTAGTACATAAAAGAGACATTCCACTCCTCAATCCCGACTCAATTTCTACAGTCAAAGTAAATCATAAGACTACTATTCTCATAAGACAGATCTATAGAAAGCTAATTGATACTCCAAGATGGTCGCCCAACCCGCCGTTCGCGCCGCCCCGCGCATCACCTCAATGATCACCCGCCGGGCCTTCCACGCAACCCGTGCCCGTCTCTCTTCTCCGTACCACTACCCCGAGGGCCCCTACTCGAACTTGCCCTTCAACCCCAAGACCAAATACTTCGCTGTGCGATACTGGGCCTACGCGTTCACCGGCTTCTTCCTCCCCTTCGGCATTGCCGGTGCGTTATTTCCTTTCGTCCGGCTGCTTAGATAGTCATGATATCGTATACTTATACTAACGTGTGCAATATAGTCTGGCAAACCAAGAAGCCCAAGGCTTAAGTCATGGCAATCGGTTGAGGATAAAGTTACGGGAAGTAGGTCGAGATAGAGTATCACCTCGGCGGGGGCGGCAAAGAGCCCGATGCAAGTTGTACATATACTTGACAATAGACATTGAGGCCATCGCCAAACATAATCCCATATGTTTTGATCAACTGGACGTTAAGCCGTGACCTTCAGTATGTTCGAAATTCAGTTTCGAAAAGTTAACCCAACTCGTAAATTTATCATCTAATCCCGGAACTACACGAACCGTCGTTAAGGAAGCTGTTATCAAAACTTATAGGCCGTACATGAGCGGCTGAGCTGAGTGCGATCTCTCGCCTGTTTTCCCATTAGACTTCGGCTGTAAAAACGTTTGCGTATTCTTGCGAAGTGAGTTCCTTCAGTTGATATTCAAATCGTAACTATGTATTTACAGGCGAGTCTATTTTTATCATAATATGTACATATAAGTGGTATCATTCATCCGCAGTCATTGCCCCCGTCCATTATTGTACACCTATATACGTCCCGTTTTGATTCCCAATGTCAGAATGACATGCCTCTGAATTTGACAAGGAAATTGTCATGTTCTATGATCTTTTTCAGGAAATCCATCATGAATTGCGAATTTGCTGTATCTAGATCCCATCTAGACCTCAGGCATTCGTAGATATCCAACATCTGATCTCGAGTTGAAAACCTAGAGAAGGCCCTCAAAACAGCCATGGCCATCCATGTACTAATATAAAACCCCTCAGTACCAGAGTCGAGAGCATCTAAGAAGGCGCTCCATACACTAATTAACCTCGCCGCTGACCAATCCGATCTGGCACCCCCGTGCCTACCGAATGCCTTGAAAAGTGCAAGGAAGATAGCGCCGTGGAGTTGAACTTCGAAAAGTTTCATCTCATCGAGGAACTGTGCGACTTTGGAGAGATTCCCTAATCTGGGGCCATAGTGGTTGATAAGGAGGCGGTAGGTCTGTAGGTCCGGCGAGATTAGTGCGGTTTTCTGAAAATTCGGACGCATCTCAGGATGCTTTTTTGCTACCCTCGCAAACATCATAAGCACCTTGGTAATATTTTTCTGCATCGAGTAGTTACGAGCTGGCAGCACCTTGGTTCCTTGGGCTGAGAGTTTCATTTTTTCGTAGACTTTCTCAGCAGAATCTTCTTCTCCGGCTGCCAGAAATCCAGATATGACACTGTTGAGTACGATTGAGTCGATTACTTCACCCGACTCTACCATCTCTTTATAGGCTGCTCTCATCCCGCTGGTGTCCTGTTTAAGACCAAAGTAGTGAATCAGACTGACATGATGATATCGGTTAAACTGAAAACCGCGGGTTATCATTTCCTGGTATATCATCTCAGCGAGAGTAAATTTACCAGCCTTCGATGCGACATCGAAGAGGATGTTAAAAGTCACATCAGAGGCGCGAATGCCTGCGGTCTGTTCCATCTCACGCCAGAGATGGAGCGCGGCCTCGACCTCTACTTCTGTTGATCTTCCAACATATCGACTAGCAAATGATATGGCGGTATTCCATTCAAATATGGTTAAAGGGAAGCCGCTATTCTTTGCGTCTGTCACCACGGAAAAGTACCGCAACATAGACTTGGAGTTTTTCCGTTCTGTCATTCCTAGGACCGCAAGCAACTGATGTCTCAATTGAGCCGTGATATGTGATAGACGGGGTTCAGGAAGTGACAAGTACCGGTCATATACCTCATCTAAGTCTATCGTTGCCGGACGCCTAAGTTTAAGCAGTACAGCCTCTCGTAGCTTTCGAACAACCTCGGATTCCTCGGGGTCTAGTCTTTGCCTAGGGCCAACGGATTGTAGGTTGACATCTTCACTTCTATCCGAGACTGTAAGATATGGACCGTTTGCGGGAGCATATCTTCGTAGGTAAGGATCCCTCAAGAACTCAAGGTGTTCATTTACAGAGGTATCGTCATACTGATCAACAATTTCAAGGAGCTCAGGTCTGGGTGTAACTCCTTGTGGCGGAGTAGGAGTATCGCCTACGTCCGTGTCCGTGGACGCATGATTCCATTTGCGGCTACAATGGAAATTCGAGCAAAAATAGCCAGGACTTGAAGGTCGAAGGCGCGGTGCTGTTATCGCCGAGTTGACGTATCTTGCAGATGTAAAGGTGCAAAATGCTTTAAGTTTCTTCTTAATCCGTACTGAGGAGGGGCGGCGGGAGACGGTAAGTAGACCCTCACAACCAGCTTTCCCATGCCCATCACGTATTTTCGTGGTATATAACGAAGGTACTGAGCTTAAGCTTGGCGAGGGTCGACGGGAGAGTATCGCGCCGTAAATCGACCCGTAAATTCGAGTAAAGATTCTCATGAGCTGTCCCGCATGTTGGTCCAGTCATCACAGCTTCTCTAAGGACCTCTATGGACTCGACGACATAGGTGTGAAGGTGACGTAGAGAATTCGAGAAATTTTTGTGATTCCAACTTTTCTAGATGATGGCGGGCCATCGGACTTTGGGGTCGCGTTATCGCAGCGTTAAAGAAAAATGCCACTGATAAGAAGTGCAGGGTTTCTAGGAGGTAGCTTCCTGTAGTACATAGTAGATCCTGTAGTCAGGTACTATCTTTGGGACTAAGCCAGTAGTGTCAAAGGTATTATACGTCTGTTTCCAATTGTTTTACTGTGTCCCAATAGTGATAGGTACAAAAGCTAGTTTCTGAGCAATGTATACGGTACATGAAAAACTACAAGAGATGTCTAGGAAAATCGATTATCCCCGCCAATCGCCAATCGAGGTCCACCCAAGCACTCGATTATGCGACTTCTGAACCAATTTTCTAAACTTCCATTATCTAAACGATCTCTAAACAATTGGATTCGACTATCCTATACTCCCGACGCAACACCAATTGCTCGGGTCTCGCCCTCTTTTATACGGTATAAGGGAGGATAGGGGCGTTGATTTCCGTGTAATGCGCCATGGGTGGTCAAAGACAGGTTTTGCCCGGTAGGGTCTACCAGACAGTCACGACGTTACTGAACCATCGCATTTTCCCAACTGTTCAGGTTCAGCAGCCATTATGGTACAAAGTGATCGAGTCGATACCCCCTTCCGAAATGCTCACAAGGCCACTTCCACCTCAGCACAAGAAGCAGAACCCCAAGGTACGAAAACCAAGCAGGTTATTCCAACCGCAAGAATTAGTATACGAAGAGGACGAGCTACGGAGGACCTTTTACAAAGATCACCCTTGGGAGCTAGCAAGGCCGAGAATGATAATTGAAATGGACGGGAAAGATGCGCAGAGGCATGACTGGTCCAAGGGATTAATACAGCCGGGCATGCCCTTGTGCGGCGAATGGTAAGCGCCCTGTGCTTGCGCATTACGAAGTCGGATGGAATATAGGTTAACGCGCCTTGCAGTGTTGTTCAACGTCAGTTATGGATGATGCACAACGTCCCAGGCATAACAAAAGATCAAGCATACGACATAGTGCGGAGGGAATTTTACGCATTGCGACAGCAAGAGGAGGTTGAGCGCAGGATAGCCAAGGAAGAGGCTCAGATGGTGGGCGCATATTTCGGCAAATCCTACTTACAAGTAGGTATGGAACTCGAAGATAGGGAGTATGAGCAATGGAAGAAGTGGGCTGGCAAGCAGATCGAAGCAGTCAAGGCGGAGCGTGAATCCGCCTACACAAGCTTCGGGGATGAAGAAGTTGACCCCGAGAATATTGACATGGACGAGTTCACAGCAGAAACAGAGGAGAAATAGGCCCAGCAGAGTGCCTCGATTATTAAATGTACCACAACTGTACGAATCCTACATATATACCACCACTAAGCCCCCTTTGGTCGACTTCACGACTCCCCGGGTCAGTGAATGGGGTAATTACATTACAAGTCCTATGATCCTCCATGAATGATGCTCGCCGAAATTAACAATGGGTATCTTTTCGCTCTTTTACACTACGACTCCTCGGGTATCGAATTCTCCAACTGCTCTATCCGAAGCAAGTAGGTTTGCCTCTATGTCAAGTGTATCAGTAAACGGCTCTACGATTGGTCGGGTTGAGACTTACAATTGCTTTCAACTTTTGTCGGTCTTCTTCATTCGACGCTCTATTGACGAGCTGTGATAGAAGAGCACATGATTCTAGATAGTATTTTCGAGCGAAAACATGTGATTGAGTATTGTCGAGTTGAACGGCGGTATTTGCCTTCGCCAGCGCCGTAGCTAGCATTGCCTTTGGCGACGGCATCTCAGTAAAATTCCTGTAGTATTTATTTATTTTTATTTTTATTCTTTTTTCAAAAAGGCTGTTGAAGCTATTTATAAGAAAGATGAAACCCATCGAGTGCCAGTATCACAATTATGAGAGGAGATGGGACGATGATCTGACGCAAGGGGGTGCGGGTACTTGCATATCGCTTAACTCGGCTCGCAGTTTTGATGCTTCAATATGGCGTCCCTGTCACATATTGTGATAGTCCCGTTCCCTTACATACTCCATTACATACATACATGTACCTATCTCCTATGTACTCCAATAATCTGCAGGGTTGTTCTTTGAAGCATAAATCACGTTACGCAAGATATATACTATACTTAGAGCAAGATCATTGCCTACTTGATCTAACAGGAACTCTCCTTACCTTGGAGTTTTGCGGTCGGTTCTCCGGCTAATATTATTGACAAGGTTCACCAATAAGTCCCACGAGCCAGACCCCAGAACAATGGCTAGTGAGGGGAGGACATACCTCTCCTTGCTTCAAGCGTGTGATAAGTGAGTATCCTAGTAATAATATATCGTACTATATCTAATACTCTTGAAGCTTCCCATACGGCATTGTGCCCTCGGACACATACTACCTATTATTACTACCCAATGATGATCAACCACATGGGTATCTACTTCCAGAGATCGTCCAAAAGATGCCATGGACGTCTCACTTCCAAGTCAATCACAGCACGCCGCAGACCGTTTCAGTGCTAGACTCCTCCCATGGAAAAGACACAGCTAGCGCAGTCAATGCGGCGTTCGCAGAGCTGATCAATATCTGCATCGAGCAGAACCTCTTCCACATTCTAGATGGCAAACACAGCGAACCGTTCGCAATCGTGAGCGCAAAATACCCCGTTCACATGGAGCGCTTCGCTGCCGCGCTCTTTGGTATTACTAGCCGCGGCGCATACATTACGGCGTACACCAAAAACCCCGAAGGGGAGATGAAGCTCTGGATCGGCCGTCGTGCGGCTCATTTGTATACGAGCCCCGGGATGTTAGACGCGACCGTAGCAGGCGGCATCAAAGCGGGCTCCAGCCCCCTCGAAACCATCATCCACGAAGCCGACGAAGAAGCTTCCCTCCCGGAGGATTTAGTGCGTGAGCGTGTGCGCTCAGTCGGCGTCCTGACGTACATCACCGCAACCGGCGCCGATTTTCCCGGGGAAAAGGGGCTTATCATTCCGGACATCATATACGTCCACGACCTCGAACTTCCCAGCGACGTCATCCCGAAACCGAATGATGACGAAGTCGAGACGTTCTATCCTATGACTGTCGAAGAAGTACAAAAGGGGTTGCTGAATGGGAACTTCAAGCCTGACTCAGCAGCTGTGCTTATTGACTTCTTTATTAGACATGGTGTTATTACTGCGGATAACGAGAAGGATTTTATTGAGCTGAGTATGCGGTTACATCGTAGACTGCCTTTTAGAACGCCTTGATACCGGGATGAAGGTTTTACGTTATGATGATTATGGTCTATACCTAAGAGATGGTCGGGGACGCATAGAATTAGGAATAGATTGCCGTCACCAGGGCTGGGGATGGCTTCTTGAGTATGATACCTGGGTAAAAGCTGAATTAGTATTGGAGGGGCATCATGCTACTCGAGGAGACTACTATTTTCTTGTAGTTGCTAGCCCTTGGATGCAGGAGTTCAAGCCGAATATCAGAAGTATGAAGTAGGGAACTGTGAAATCAATTCGTAAGGGGGCTACTGAAGACGTTGGTATGATGGCCCAACCAAGGTGTGGCTATGGTCTATGGTCACCTCTACCTCGTGGTTTCAAAGGGTCGGGGATCAAAGACAGGGGAAATAAGTAAAGTACTATGGCCCTATAATGGGAATTTATTGCTTATTGTTACTTGGCGGGGTTAGAGTGATTGAAGGATAGAAACACTTCTATACGTGAAGCAGTCAGGTAGAATAGAATAGCAACTCTGAATAAAGAAGAAACTCATCATATGTTATTAAGTACGAATCGTACAAGGAAACTGCCAAAATTGAATTGTGATTGCTAATACCTCCGGTCATGATCATCGGCAGTCCTAAGCCGGCATATAAATGCCATTATGGATCGTACCCTTCTTTCAAATGAAATTCAATGCAATAGTAAAGCGTTCCTTAGCCAGCAGTGAAAATGCAACGAGTCCAGTCCTTAAATCAACGCCAATTTGATTTTCCTTCCGTACGAAATCTCCCCTCTGCTCAACGCAATGCAACTGTTCCCTCGATCATCGTAGACTCTTTAGTCCATACGAGACTGCAATTTGAATAGAAAGATTCTTCAACCATGCTACCGCAACCGAAGACAACTCTTATGTTTTTATCGCGTTGAATTCGAGATTTGCTGAATGGAATCAATAGTTAGCAAGGGAAGTGCCCAGGTATTGATAGGGTGACGTGGTCTTATAGCATACCTTATACAACCCCAGTGGGATTATTCGGTAGGCACACTAGGAATAGTCGGCATCACGACCATGTTGCCAGTATATGTATGGCGGGGATTACGTTTGCGGAGCGGACGATGCTGTACAATAAACACATCGGCCAACTGGAGCCACTTGATCAGCTTGCCCGAGAAGCTCAAGGAGTTAACTCGAGCCCAGCTCTCCACGAACACGCCCTTCATGGAGTCTTCGTGCGCCAGACCGAAGAACTTCAATATGTAAGCGTTTAGAAGGAACATGAAACCGGTACCGGGGCCATCCGTCACGATCACGCCGGGCAACTTATACTCGGAGATGGCGGGGTTGGGGGGCGGGGCGGTCAGGATGTCAAAGACGTCGAGGCTGCAGTCGTACGCGGTGAAGAGAGTCGTCCACCAGCTCTGGTGCACGGCGCGGCTGCGGTGGAAGAACATGATGTCGTAGGTGCCGGCCTGCAGGTTGCGCTTGGTGAAGCGGTTGTCCAAGTGGCGCTCGAAGTCCATTACCTTCTTGTAGCTTAGGTCATCACCATATCCAACAGCCCAGCGGCGGTGCGAGTACGGGCCTTCAGATCGGATGCTGCGCTCGACCATCTTGATCATCTCGGTGGTGTGACCGCCGGAGCCGCAGACGAGGACCACGTAGAACGGCATGTTAGTAGGCTTCTTGCGCGGCCATAGTTTCTTAGGGTCCTTGCGACGAGAGACGATGGCACGGTGACGGTACTATTCTTACGTTAGCGAATAGAGAATGAAGCATTTTGGGATTAGCACTTACCGGGACGAAGAAGAAAAGGAAGGTCACGATGGATACGATGAAAAACATCATGAAAGCCTTGAGAGAGACAACCGAAAGAGATGCGCAGATGACGACGTAAACGCGAGTGATACCGTAAGAGAAGATAAACGCGAGGTTCTGGAGGAGAGAGCGGATGATGTCAAAAGTGGTGCGAACCGGCGGGCGGAGAACGGAATCACCAAGCTCTGACATATTGAGGATGCACTGTCTGTGCTCTTGATTTAATGGATTAGAAGTGTTAGTGTTAGGTAGGATAGTAGGGTCATCCACTGTAGGTGAGGTGGGCTCCTCGACTGTTGGGGAAGGAGTGCGAGGAGGAGTTAGGTTGTTGTGGTTGTTTAAAAGTTGAGAATTAGTAGTGGTGGGAGTGCCTGTTGAGAAAGCACCTCCCCCATTTATAGGGTTACCTGTCGCCCCGGACGCCATGTTGCGAGAAGTAGCCTTGCTTGGGCCTCGGCGACGACGGTGTGGCCTTTTGTGGCTTTAGTAGTGCTTATAAGCCGCAGCGCCGGTGCCCCGGCCCAGACCTGTAGTCCCGCGGAGGTGCTGTTACGGAACGGAGGCGCCGTTGTATACTACGGGGCTCCGGGGAAGGCTGATGGCTCAGACGGAGCGGCACCTGGGCCCCTATTGACGACGGCACTACTAATAGGCTGACGGTGTACTTGTCAGGCTCAACCTCCTAGCTTAGAGTAAACGACAACTACTCTCTGGACGATATATAGCTTTTATGCCAGAGAAGAGGACGGCAGAGGTCTCGTAACTGTGAGAACCGAGCACTTCCCCTTTAGCAGGCTGTATTAGGTTAACACATATAAATGTTTAGCCGGCCTCGAAGTTATCAGTCCTAAGATAACGTGTTAGTTGATATTTGTAAAAGAAGTTTAACGTAAAAGACGAACGGTGTATTGTGGTGTAGTGTGGGCGTGAGTTATGACGTGCCAGTTGGACGTTGATGGTAGCCTGTAATACCAAGCTAGTTGTAAACTCTTTAGTCTGTTATGTGTGCAACGGGTTATTTGTGTGGATTCATTATTTCCGGATTTGGGCGATCCATAAGAGGAAAATTATTAGTAAATTTGGGGTAATGTACTCCGTATAGTAGTTCTTCGTATCTGGGGGAGTGAGGTGTCGTGGAAATATGATAAATTAAACCAAGTTTATACCTTGTTGGCTGAGGTTTTGATTTGTTGGAATAATTTTTGTTGTCTTTGGTTACCGTCGGTAATCCTTTGTTAAGTACGGCGTGGGCGGTCGGTGCAGCGGTGGCAGTAATTGCAGGCACGGCAATGCACGTGGCAGCTAGGATACTGCCCGGGTGTAGGATCTCAACGTCCTCCGGAGAACTTGACAAAATTGCTTCTGAACTACCAGTACGTCTGTGATTCTTTAGAAAACGATCGTTTGGTCTTTCTTCCTTTGTTAGACCTTTTTTACTGGCCTCGGGATTGGGTATTATTTCTTGTTAGTCGCAGAGGAGTCCAGAATTATCGCGTACCGTATGTGAGTTGGTAAATTGTAGAATAGGTGTTTGTTCGAAAGATGTAGACGGTACCTTACATTAGCACGAACTGTGGATCGTCGTAGGGTCTAGATGGGTTCTATTTTAGTACTATGTACTACATACTACGTCACTAGCGTCGCAAGGTATCGCGATAACGCGTTACTACGGTAGTTGCGGATATCAAATTTTATTGGCAACAGGGGTAACGCCTTATCGCGTCGCAACCCTTAGGCAAAAACACGTTCAGGCAGACAATTATCCGCTATAACGCGAAAAGAAGAAAAAAGAAGGAAAAAGTCAAAGTATCACCTCGGCTTTTTTCATATTTATCGAACCTCCTAGTATCCACAACCAAAACAACCCTCTTGTCCTTAATTACCTATTTTCCCTTATACCAACACTGCTTGTGGCTCTGTAAACAATGGCGACCTTACGGTCGAGAAAGTTTCTGAGCTGCTTCTATTGCGGCAGAAGGTCTAGACTACGATTTGAAGGCCAAAAATCATTTCTCTGTCTGAACTGCGATGCGACAAATTGGTTAGACGAAGTAGGTACATCAGGCTCTCGAGGCCACGTCGAGATACAAATAACGCCTTCGCGCATGGCTAATCAGATGGTAGTATGGAAGTATCACCGATCCCCCTACATCGCCGCCCGTTGAGCGCCCCCAGGTCCAGTTCGCTATTCCTCGTTCATCAGTACCTCGCTCGCCAACTCGATCACTATCGCCGAATGGCGTAGGCTCTGAGGATTCGATATTTTGCGGTACATGCTTAAGAAACCAGCATATGCTTACGAGTTCGCTTGCGCAATTCGAGTGGCCGGACGACCATAACAGTGCCGAATATGCCGCTCGAGAGAAGAGATATTGGGCCCTTCGAAGGGACCTTGAGAAAAGGTACCCCCAGATGTGTGCTGTTTGCGAACCTAAGGTAGAGAAGAAGCTGCACGAAGCAAGCTACACTGCGCAAACCGACCACCTACGCCGAATGATGGACCGTACGCGTTCGAGTCGACAGGAAGTGAAGAAGCGAGGAGTTTTAGACGCGGTTGACTGGGCGGGGAGATGGATATGGAGTCTTGGCTTCGCGCTCCAGTTCTTATGGCACATCGCTATGCTTTGGTCTCTTGTGATAGGACTATACGGTTTAAGCGAAACGGATTCGTGGATGACCAGGATTTTGAAGATCATACATCAATACGGCAGCGATCGATTACCTCGCACAGATCAACTCATGCGATGGGCGATTGGTCTTGGATTCTGTTCACTTCCGTGGAATCCGCGCTTCAAGCAGACGATACGGGGCTTCACGGCGCATTATCTTGGATTTAAGCATTGGTACACGTACCAGTTTCTTATATTATTGGTACGATATGCCGGCCTCTCGATGGCACAGTACAGCTCCTCGGAAGGGCTACAGATACCGGCCCAACTAGGCGCACAACTCGCCATAGCTTTATTGATGACATTTGTAAGTATAGGTGAACTTTTACATGTGGACTTGTACTAAGACAAAACTTAGATCTATCACGCGTCGCGGAAGTCTATTCATACAGATACGACACCTCTGTTTCAACCTCGTCAGAAGGTAAATGCGCAAAAGTCCCAAGTTGCGTCAAAACCACAGAGAGATCAAAACGACCTTGGGAGCATACTAGATGAAATCTCCCAATCACGTGTTGAGCCTACACCATATTCTCCTAGTCCGAACACCCATCAGACAACCGCGGATAATATACCCTTCGGTAGCTCCTTCAGCAGCTCTTTCAGTAGATCGCACGAAAACGGGACTTCTGGGCCATCTTTTGATTCTATGCGTATATCCGACCCTGTCATATTCAAAAAGCCAGAGCCCAAGACAGTTCACTACGAAGAAGAAATGGACTGGACGCCGTCAGCTTCACAGCACCGAGCGTTCAGCTCATACAACCCGTATAAGGTGAAAAACATGAACCCACGCTTTAGCGATACCCCCATAGAGGCCAGACCTGGGCCCATCTGGTACAAGGTACCTCCAGCACCTACTACTCCCGCACAGAGACTACGCAACCCTCCTATGCGCCCGATTATTAGAGAAAGCCCAAAGGAGGTAAAGGAGAACTTCTTCCAAAGCACAGCCAGGGGACCTCTGGAGATGGGATCATCGTTTCAAGGTAGCTTGTCAGATATCAAGTTTGCCGAACCGAAATTCTTTGCGCCGGAAGATAAAGACGATCCACGAGATAATCTCTCGAGGATGTTTGCGAGTTCGTTTAGCATTAGTCCAGATCCAGATGAAGAGAGGTATCGAAAGCCTGGGCGTGCGGGTACAAGCTCTGTCTTCGGCATTCGCCAGGGTACCCATGGCACAACAGACAGACAAAATCACCGTGTCACACGTTTTGTGGAGTTATTCGTGCTCGCTGGTGCGCTCTACGCGTGGGTTTCAGCTTTGAAAACGGATGAACCTTATGGCCTTAGCCTCGCTCTAACCTCAATCATTGCCTGCCTTATCGTCTCTATTCGGCTTGCTGCCGATCTACAAGTTGATATTCAGCTTAGGGAAGGGAAGCAGCCGCCAATGTTTTCTCTATCGTGGGCGAATTTGGGGTTGGCGCAGGTAATATCGTCACTCATCCTCGCGTGGAGTCTCTGGTCAGGAATTGGGACCAAATCTCCCTGGAGTACGTATGGCAGTGCTCATATTGCAACTGCGATTATTCATCATATGGTGCATATTTTCTTATAGGAATGGTAGCGGGCTTGAAGCTAAGAGATGTACCATATAATAATGGGATTGCATGGTACAGGTCGGGAAGTTTGGATTAATGGCATTATGATATGGCATGGCATAGCGTTCACACTTGTATTATGTAGAACAAAAGGTGGAATAGGTAATATGCTTGTATGGGGCATAGTCAGGAGTTTTTGGTTTCCGTGGGCAGCATACATACATTGTACTTTGAAGGAAGATACCCCGAGCATTATTCGAAGTCTTGGGGGACTGGGGGAGTAAGGGGAAGAAGTACCTTGGTACCGAAATTGATTGATAAGATTTGACTTCCCGAGTCCCTGGTCCTTAACAGTTGCACATATACATGCAATGCATGTACACGTCTTAATTTAGGTACCTAAGGTACATGAGGTACTAAGAAAGAATAAGAATGAATTTTCTCGAATAAAAACAAGATATATTCCCTCCGTAATTTAAATTGCATCGGGGTTTGAACTATCAATAAACTCAAGGTCTAGCTGAGCTGGAACGTACTATACAATAGGGTATCATACGATAAGTGATAGGCGATAACGCCACCGTCAGGCTGTTAAGTTGCTGCAAGAGTGACCGCGGAATGCTCGGTCAGGTTAGGTCAGACGAAGCTCATTTCCTCCGAACGCTAATCCTAAAGCTGAAGAGAAAAAAAAACGATTGGACCCCCTAAAAATTGGTAGATCTTTAACCTAATAGTTATTCTATTATATCCGAGTCCCCTGACTTTGTTGCCAACTCTTCTTTTTCGAATATCCTCGTTCCCTTTTTTATTCCTTCGCAAGTCTTCCTTCTACGTGAGGATCTACTTATTCCTCCGACTTGCTAGATTTCTTCATTCTCTAATATTTTGTCACTCCTTAAAAATAAGTTATAAACTTCGAACACGCAAAGATGCCTGGTCGAACACTACCGACCCTCACGCAAGCTGAGGTTGAGTCGCACAACAGCCAAAAGTCTTGCTACGTCACAATCGGTACCAACGTTTACGATGTGACCGACTTTGTCGAATCCCACCCCGGTGGCCCCGACCTAATTCTCGAGTACGCCGGAAAGGATATCACTGCGATTCTAAAGGACGAAATCTCCCATAAGCACTCCGACTCAGCGTACGAGATCTTGGAGGAGTATCAGACCGCCTTTTTGGTGACGGATAAGCTTGCGCCCAACGGAGATGTACAGAAGAAAATCGCCGACCCCCAAACCAATGATAAACTCTCCCCTTCTGTTCACCCGCGAACGGGAATGTCCTGTGAGGAAGACCTGAGCAAGGACACAGACTACACCACAGACTACAAGGAGCACAAGTTCCTCGATTTGAGCAAACCCCTCTTGATGCAAGTATGGTTCGGTGGCTTCAGCAAGAGGTTCTATCTTGACCAGGTTCATCGACCAAGGCACTACAAGGGCGGTGCCTCCGCACCTTTGTTCGGAAACTTCCTCGAACCCCTCAGTCTGACCCCTTGGTGGCTTGTCCCTATGATTTGGCTTCCTGCGGTTTCCTACGGCGTCTACCTAGCCTCTCAAGGATACGACAGCAACCTAGGATTAGCTACTAGCTTCGCCGGTGGTGTGCTCTTGTGGACTCTTATAGAATATGTTCTGCACCGATGTCTTTTCCATCTTGACTAGTATGTTCTATCACCGGTATCTATCATAACCCTAATGCTAATAAATATTACTTGCAGCTATCTACCGGATAACCGAGTCGGAATCACGCTGCATTTTCTACTTCATGGTGTACATCACTACCTCCCGATGGACAAGTACCGTTTGGTGATGCCCCCGACGCTCTTTGTGGTTCTTGCAACCCCCTTCTGGAAGCTTGCGCATTCGATATTCTTCTGGGACTGGCATCTCGCCACAGCTGTCTTCTGCGGCGGTATCTTCGGATATGTCTGCTACGACCTGACTCACTACTTCCTCCACCACCAAAATCTCCCTCTCTGGTACAAGGACCTCAAGAAGTATCACCTTGCTCATCACTTCCTAGACTACGAACTGGGCTTCGGTGTAACCAGTCGGTTCTGGGATCGGGTGTTTGGTACCGAGCTGGTTACCGTGGTTAAGACGGCCTAGATCTTGACCGCTGCTTCGTAAGAGACCATTCTATATACATGGGCATGGCGGTATGTATTGGATGGGCATAATGTGAAAATGGCACTAGGGAGTGAGATTCTAGGCATAAGGTCGGCAGATTTTGGCGTTTGGTCCCTAGTATGATTCGGAAGTATGGAAATATTCAGCTTAATCCACACTCGACTCATACCTCTAATAATTAATGATTTGTGTTTACATTGATTGGTTCTTGGCTTGCCAGCTTGCTAGCTTGCTAGCTTGCTTAAAAGAAGTGACTTGGAGAATATAAGCCCCTTGTTATCCGGGAGTATGTATACACTGTTACAATGATTGAAAATAATGTGCACAACATTGCATTAAACGACATGTTTCACATGGAAGTTAGTTTTGCCTCATTTATTACATAAATTCAGGGAATCCCCAATTAAGTAAGCACCCGCACGAACGCCATTTCCAGCCTAGGTACCTTGTTACAGTCATGGTATTTTTACCCGGAAAGACCGACATGTCAGCTTTTTCTGCAGGCATCTTCTCCTGCCACCCCTCTCATCTTTCACTTCGCAAGTTCAAAAGTTGATGTCCACCTAGGACCCATTCAATCTCGCCGACAGTTCGTAAGTACCTTTGTTATTTTAACAGCACTACGTGCAAAATTATCTATTCAAATTTTATCTCGCCGACAAAAGGAAATTCTAAATCAGCAACCGTAATTACGCCAGCGGAAGTCGCCGATTCCTATTAGAAGGTTTCATTCAAGATGGCCACCCTTGACGTCGAGGCTTTACTCGATGCTACTGCTAGCAACAAGAATGATACCAAGGAGAGCGGACCTAAAGATTCTGACGATCGCGTAAAATCCGACCGAAACGAACGTAGAGACCGCGACCGCAGCCCTGGCCGAAGACGCGATCGTAGCAGCGACCGCGGACGACGTGACCGGGGTGATGATAGGGAGGCTACACCTCGTAGTGACGCAGGTAGCCACAAAAGTAGGCGCAGAAGTCGGAGTCGTGATGATGACCGTCGACACTCACGTCGTCACAGAGGAGGCGATGGAGATTACTACCGCAGCGGCGGACGCGGCCGGGACCGCACTCGCTCGCGATCTCCTCGTCGACATTACCGCCCAAGGGACGACCACCGCGACCGTGATCGTGACCGTGATGACCGCGGTAACTTCCGAGGAAGGGATGAAGACAGACCCAGAGGAGGTCGTACGCCAAAGCGTGATCCGACTCCCCAACTAACCGAGGACGAGCGAGATCGTCGTACCGTATTTGTCCAGCAGCTAGCTGCTCGTCTTCGCACTAAGGAGCTAAAAGAGTTCTTCGAGAAAGTTGGTCCTGTCAACGAGGCTCAGATTGTGAAAGATCGTATAAGCGGCAGGTCCAAAGGGTTGGTGTCCATACCCAGACATAGCTATCCAAACCCCCCTTTGCTAACGATCAGTACAGTGTTGGCTACGTTGAATTTAAAAACGAAGAATCCGTTACTGCTGCTCTTCAGCTCACAGGTCACCAACTCCTAGGTATCCCGGTTATTGTCCAGCTGACCGAGGCTGAGAAGAATCGCCAAGTTCGTAACACCGAAGGCTCGGGCTCCCACGCCAATTCGATCCCCTTTCATCGACTCTACGTAGGCAATATTCACTTTAGCATTACTGAACAAGACCTACAAAACGTCTTCGAACCCTTCGGCGAGCTCGAATTTGTCCAGCTTCAAAAAGATGATACAGGTCGCAGCCGTGGTTATGGATTTGTACAGTACGTTATCGGATACTTATATCGGATGGCGAACTTTACTAACCCAAGTTTGTTAGGTTCCGTGAAGCTGACCAGGCTCGTGAGGCGCTTGAGAAGATGAATGGGTTTGACCTTGCCGGTCGTCCAATCCGTGTTGGTCTTGGTAATGATAAGTTTACCCCCGAATCAACTGCCAATATCCTACAGAGGTTCCAGGGTCAAAACCAGCCATACCAGGGATCTGCATTCTCCGGTGCTGGTGGACGAGGGCCTCAAGCTTCCGGATTCGACCGAGCAGGAGGTCGTGACAACGACAAGGCGACAGGCGCAAGCGCCCTAGATGACACTGATGTTGCGGGAGTCAATTTTAACAACTATAGTCGCGACGCCCTAATGAGAAAGCTTGCCCGAACCGACGATGCTTCCAACGGAAGTCGTGATGAGAGACAGATTCTTAAACCCAAGACAGAGACTAAGCCGCTCCCCGTGAATGTTAACATGGCCAGCCGCTGTGTTGTTCTTCACAATATGTTTGATCCAGCTGAGTACGTCCTCTCCACTTAAGAGGTTGTCTTATACCGGTACTAATAGCGACTACAGAGAAGAAGGTGAAAATTGGATTAAGGAATTGGAGGATGACGTTCGACAGGAAGCCGAAGAGAAATATGGTCACGTAGTCCATATTTCCCTCGATCCGAACTCGCCGGGCGATATCTTCCTCAAATTTGACAAGGTTCAAGGAGGCGAGAACGCCATTAAGGGGCTCAACGGTCGTTATTTTGGTGGACGGATGATCAGCGCTGCGCCTGTTGTGGACGCCGTCTACAGCAGTTTGTTCTCTCGTACTAAGGCTATTTAAGATGCTAATTGTTGGCCGGGCCTCTCCCGTTCTAGGAACTTTCCCCCGTAAGTCACAGACACTACCATATTCTAAAGCGTTTTGTACTAATTCGAAGAAAATAGATTCCGTCCTCATTGCCATTTCTTTCCACGGACGCCGGCCAAGACCGCATTTCGTTTCATTCGCCTCTCAATTTGGTAAACGACATTCAACGCAGCATATTCTCCGAGACCATATGACATACTTTCCCAGTTGTGCCATAACATCCATACTTCTCGCGCTGATTTTACAATAGAAGCCCCCTCTTCAAAGGAGCATGCATCCTCGTACGTCAGCTCTTGTCTGCTGACGTCCGTGTCAAGCCGAACGTTATTTTCGACCATCATCGCCGAGTCGGAGAATGTTCGTTGGCCTGCAGGCCACAGGACCAGGCTAGGTATTTAGGCGTCGGTAGTACTAAAGCATTTGATTTTAGATTATGATAATTATCTGTTGTTTCGGTGATATTGGTATGGAAACTCCCGGAAGATTGTGATCATGTCAGCTCTGACGCCACCTGTAGATTCCTCGTGGCATTCTCCGCGCCGCTGAATGCGTTTTAGTCCTCCATCTAGGTCGACTCCCATTCGTGTCACGGAAGACATCAGAAGCCGATTCGTTGCTTTTTTCCCTGGTAACAGGTAATGATATGCCCCATTAATTGTTCGTGTAGGTACGATCTGGGTATTTATCCAGGTAACTTGCTCTAACCCGTTGTACGAGTCGGGATGTTTACGTTCTAAGCAGCTAGGTACTTGTAACACAACCCTTTGCGGGCGGCTAGTGCCGCACAGCAACGCAAGACCAGATCGTCTATCCCAATCAAGAACAGACACAGCCGAGAGACTGAACGAACGCTCGGGAAACCTTTCTCATCGATATGCGACGATAGCCGTTTTATAATCGTTCTCTTCAGCCCATGAAGGTTAGCGTACTAACTCTTACCTAGACCGTAGATTCCTCGTCAATTTCACATGATTTGCTTCGGTGGCCAGGTATACCACGGTTATATAAGACACTGACTGCTGCGCGTTAGATTCTTTTCTGCTGGATATATTTATCTCTAACGAGGAATATCACGACATTGTTGAAGAGCAAAACTTATGCTTGCTGATAAGAGTTTAACAGTTGGTACTATCTGTAGGAACATTCGACGTTGTTTATATCCCTACGATAGAGGGTATGGGTCGAGTGGGAAACCCTTCGTCGGTCTATATTAATGAACTACGCATATAAGTGGTTTTCCGAAAGTAGGCTATGCTACGATGCTATTTCTATATATGGCCGATCTATCTTGTGTTTTCTATTAGAACTACTTATATCTAAAAATAAAAATACATAGAACTTGATTGTGTTCAATGTGGTCAGCTCTGAAGTTCTTATAGCATCCACTATGACCGCTCCAGAATATCCTCATAGTGAGATATATATGACCTTTTCTGTGAAATTCTCCCCTTTAAAAGGGGGGCATATGCGTATAATACAATTCAAAGGTAACTATCCGTGAAGATTCATGTATCACGGCTCTCGAGTAACACAGCATATAATAAGGTTAGAGTCTAGTATTGCAAGTTGACGTTGTCTGATGATTATGTAATATAGCAACTTCCTCTCTGATTGACCTTAATCTTCCATGAAACATCTTTTCACCCAATTCCCAAACATTAACAATATCACGAATCACCTCATTCTACCAGCATCCTTCTCATCTTCGTCCTGGATTTGTGGTTCGCTCCCAGGGACCTAAGCAGCATCTACGAGTACCAGGTCTAGCCTACGTCTTGACTTAAATTAAGCTTCACTGTTTGACGTCCAAGTAGACGAATCATGTCTATACCCTTTTTCTATCGCTTCTCAGATAAGTTGCTCTCATTCGTTGAGCAACGGCATTTAAATTGACGCTCTAACAGCTATCTTGCTTTGAACACTAGAAAATGATGTTGATTGCGAAATTTTTAGCCTTGCAAAGCACCGTTGAAGAGGGAGCTGTGGTCTCCGATACCTCCCTTATGAATCTGGGTGTTTTATCAAGTCTACTATGGAGATAGTTACTTGGATGTCTTTCCCGGTCTATTTGGCGGGCTAGCCTGAGTGTAGAGCATATCCAAGAAAGCTGCCTTCCTTACCTCGACCTATTAGCTAACAGCAGATACCACAAGTATGAAATATAGCCAGCCAGATGCTTATTATAAATGGTATTTACCTCACTCTTAGTATCTTTCAAATACTAGAGATCATTCAACGCTTACTATTACGCCCTTAGTGTTAAGAGGATATGCTGGGTTAGAACTAAGCAACGCTCAGGTATGGTACAATATGTCTTGCAATTTACGTAGCGTCCTCTCACTAACTTATCAATAGCCTTGGAAATCCAATACTCCAATACCCCGACAAATGCGTTCATATCATATAACTCGATCGACGTGACGGGGCCATCTCCATCATCAGTCCCCTAGCATCGTGGTGCTCCGTCTACAAATTAACCAGCTTATTCTAACCCCCTGAATTGAATGGGACAAGTTGTAGATAACAAAAATTGCTAATTAGATGCTAGTAATGTTTATACGTTGGTATACCACCCTACCAATCACCACGACTTTAAGTATTAGAGTCCCATTACAGGAAGATAAAGACTCGGCTCTTAGGTCTTTGTAGCATCCTTGGGTTTCGTCATATCATATAGTGTGCCGTTATTCATGGTTAATGAGAAGTCCGTCTCCTTAGGAATGAAGATGTAAGCTTGTTCTTCAAGTTCGTCTCCCGCTTAGGCAAGTTTATCACTTGCTAACCTTTAACACTATTCATAACAAGTAGTAGCCGACTCCTTACAAGACGTGTCTAGCTATTAGTCAGATCTTAACACTCACCCTCCACGTTGATTAAATTCGAGAATACGGACGTTATAAATCCTTACGGAGGGATGGATATCGAAGCTGTAGTCACCCTGTATAACTATCTTCGAAAATCACCCATTATGATGCTCCGCATCACCACTGATCATGGTAACAGTTGAGACCACTACCCGTTCTACCATTGTCACCATATGCTCTATAAAGCGGATCAGGCCCCCGTTTCCGCGCCGTCATTAGGGCACGAAGTTCCCCTCCGGCTTCACCAGACTCGTGAATTCTGTTTTATTTGCTTGCCTACCTAGGTACTTACTTCTTTCTATCCTTAGTTCCTTCTTCAATAACTTCAAACTTCAAACCATACCTGTCAATACATAATTCCTCTCAAGTTCTCTCCACCTATCCCCCCCCCCAATTATCTTTCTTCAACAAGCAACCCATTCCCATGCAGCTGGCTGTCTTGCCAGCTTCTGAGGACATCATTAAACTTCCTTAAAGTATTTTGCATTTTATTTATGCCCTCTAAAAAAGTACGCATACACAACACGGTCATTAACATAAGAACCTACCATACCTTACCATCAGCCACAACTTCAAACGCATTTCTAAGTACACAACACCACCTTCTCAGAGATCCTACTTGCAACGTACAACCACCTACATCAACCCCATAAGAAAACCCTAATATATTCTTTTCCATCTAGGTACGTAAATCTCTTATTACTACCTACCCAGGGAGTGTTCAGCAGAGCAGTTGCCCGGGAAGGTTACTCGAAGTGCGACTCTACCGCACCTCGGTTTAGATAATATTCAGGTACCTAAATGCGAATATATACGAAGCTTCCTGTCTCTCGCCCTCGTCAACTACTGCTAACAATAGAACCATTACCTGTGTAGGCCGTTTATCAACTCCTATTTCGACCACGCAGGTATGTAACCCCTTTTCTTCGCTCTCAATCTATTACTTGTCCACTTTCATGGCTGCTATTTGTCAAATCAACACTGATTACGATCTTTACCTTTTAACGTATCTTCTGGAGCTGACATTGTCTATTAGATCGGTTAGAAACTATGTCGACGATTCAGCCCTTTCCCCCGTCGGGCACTCCCTTGCTCGAATCGCCGCCCGGCACCCCTCCATACGAGGAGTAAGTATTACCCATTTTCTTCTTCGAGATAATGTGCTTGTTTTTATTCCACCGGGTTCTATGGCCAATGCCAAGGCATTTTACACCTAATTCAGCTACGAACTGAGATATTCCGCGCTTCCTGGGATTCAGTCTACGCGAAGGGTGCTCTTTACCAGTTTGGATCATAACTGGAACTTGAATGGTCGGGTCTCTTTGCACCCGTGTGGACATTGCAATGCCATGGCAACAGAATACCTTCATGGCGACGACAAACGTCACAACAACTATCGCTGGTCGCCCCGCAACGGACTCGGAGGTCAGCTGGAAGGAACGCTCTGTATGCCAGCTGTTGCCTCTTACTAGCTTCGAGTCAACATCTTCGCGAATAAAGGGGTTGAGCTCCATTATTTACATAACAATCAGTCATCAACAAAACAAAAAAACCACTCGACACCAGCAAAATCCAGTAACTCAATGAGTCACGGCCAATCCAACCGCGGCAAGAGGGATGTCTGTACCTTCTCGAGTACCTACTAGTTGAGGTTATCTCGGTGCGGCTACTCCGGCCTGGACACTCAACCTTCCCTTTGCAAACTTCGTTTGGGAAAGTGCATTGATGCTTCTTGCCCCGACAACTTTCTACGTCACTCCTTCCAATCTTTTAGCCTCTTTCCTGTACACTCGGCCTCATACCTCGTCCCCTTTGTTTATCATCCCTATTCTCTTCTATTTAAACCTACGCTACCTCACCATTCCTCTCATTATTCTTTGTGGGATGAGCATTTGGGACTCGTTAATAGTAGTCATTATATCTCTCCTATTCATCAGATACCTCTACGCTCTAGCGACAATGTCCACTGACGCGTCATATAGTAAGAAGCCGGGTGGAGGCGTGCCGCTACGCGTCAAGCCGGCTACAAAGTCTAATGAATCTAGCGAAGAAGAAGCCCAAAGCTCTGCATCTATAAGCGAGGAGGAATCACAGCTGCTCAGTGCCTCCGAATCGTTCGCTGCAAACGCCGGCCCGCAGCCTCCGATCCCACAGTCTGTACCACCAATGAACTATCGTTATGGCGGAGGCGTCGCGTTCCCACCCACAGGCGCGCAGAAGCAACCAGCAGGCACCCAGGCAGTGAGTCGTTATCGAGATTCGTTCTCGAGCAATACATCTAGCGCCTTTAATAGTAGCGCCGCATTTCAATCAGGCGATGCCAGAGTCGCTGGCGAAGATGTGAGTTTTTAGAAGCTTAAACATCACGTTTAGTTGTTTGGCTCTTCTATGCTAACTACGAGCTACAGGACTCCATCCACATGTGCCGACTCATTTCTCATCGCATTGCAACCTGCACTACATGGATTAGCCGCTCCCCTGGGATACCACCCGAGCGATCCAACAGACACAAGGAGATGCTAAACGAGATCGGACAGCTTGTCAATTCGACAGTTCATAAATTACGCATGGAGCGAGATCAGGCTGTCAGTGAATTAAAAAAGCATTACGACATCTATACGCGAGCCATTCGTGACAAGACTGCGGCTACGAACAATCTTGAACAACTCCAAAGGGAGCTAGGGCAAGCCCTCAGCAAAGAGGATTCTCTCACCAAAGAGCTGAAGGATTTGAAAGCTCGCGCTGACAAGTTAGAGGCTCAAAATAGCGAGTACAAGACCAAATTGAAGACCGTTCACGATCACTATTCTATGATGATCGACAAATGGTCTGCCCTTGAAGAAAAGCAGGGCAAGGTACTTCAGGTAAGTTTCCATGCGAGAAAAGCAGGAATATAGATCTGGATAGCTGATTGTTTGTCTCTGTAGGGTTATCAAGACCAGGTCAAAGACTTACAATCTCGAAACAACCAGCTTGTCCAGGCCGGTAAAGTGAAGTCTGAGCAGGGTTCGGCTCCCCTTGTCAAAACCTCGCCGGGATCTACTTCTGGGGGCGAGCACAAGGGCAGCTTGGATAAAAATACTTATGCGGAGCTGCAGGAAATGCTGATAAAAAAGCATGGACCACAGACGGGTGACGATGCTACAGGCCCATCTGGTTTCAAACCGAACCCTACGGCACCATCGTGGGATCCTCGTAGCAAAGCGACTGAGTCTCAGGGTTACCTGAATGTTCCGTCTGCGAGCTCCGCTACTGCTCGCAAAGACTCTCCCGTTGGTGGCCCTACTAACTGGCCTGCCCTTATCAACTCTGATGGTTCAAAACGTGAATCCGACAATGGCGCTTCTCAAAAGCAACTCGTACACCCTCCCAGTGGTGAAAAACAAATTTCCAGTGCTACGTTTCCTCGCCACAAGGATGAATGGTCTATGGCCGATATCCAGAATGGGCTCGACCATATATTCGGGCTTACTAAAGGATATATCGTCAGATGCCATTCGAAGCCGGGAGAACAGCCCAAAGTACCTGATCTGATGTTGGAGAAAAGAGAGACGACTACATGGAACTACCTTCTTAGCCTAGTTTACTCGAACCGTTCTCAGGCGAAGAACCACATGCTTTACCTCCTTGGTGTCCCATCCTACAGGCCGTATATCATCATGCGTGTTGCGCTAGATTATCTCTTCAAGAAGGTCATCTCCCCTGATATCTTCCTGGGGATCGATCGCACTCTAGATAGTCACCTTATCGCTCTGCAAGAAAAGATTACGACGTTCCATCGCTCGGGCGGGCGAGCCAATCCCCGAGATCGACAGCGCGTCATTGACGAGCATGCCCGCATTGTCACCCACGCCCTGAAGGACAGCAGGATAGAGTTCTTCAAGAAAGAGAGCATTGAGCGACACGCTCACATGATGGCTATCATCATGCAGCCGCTTCGATCTATATCGGTGACGGACAAGGATGCCATCAAGCCGCTGCGAGTCATGGTGTCAGCAACGTGGGAGGTCAGCGCCAAAGTGTGGATGTCCGGCATGACACTGCACTATACATTCCCCGAATGCGCGTGCAAGTTTGCCGAAGGTACTATGGAACCGGTGAATGGCCCGGTATTGGGCCTTACTCCTGCTGAGTTGCAGATGTCTCAGACTCGGGTGTCGTTTGTCGTTTCTCCGGTGCTGTCCGTTCGCGACGAACGTAACGAGAACGAGCTTGAATACCACGGCATCAAGAAAGCACAAGTTCTGGTTATGAAATAAGCATACACAGACATTCTTCTTATTCCCTTAGCACAGGGGTTCTTTTGGGGTGGCCTTCAGACTACAGTGCCCACCATAATATTACTCTCCTAAGCAAACTTTTTTCTATGCATAATATGGCGGAACGCATTACACCTTGGCCTATGACGAGTCATCGCCACAATTATTTCCTTTAGGCGGAACCATAGGCTTTTCTTATGTGGTGTCCCTTACTATCTGGTCATTGCATTCCGCTCGGCGCGTCTTTTCATTTTCGTGGAGACAAACTTTATGGAGTCAAAAGCCACTAAAGCACAATGACACACATACTTTCCGGTATTTAGTACGACTGACGGTTGTAATTTATTCGTGGCTCGGTATCTTTCGAGTCATGTTTCTGGTCTCTGCGGCTCATGCCGTAACGACTGCAATGCAAGCATGGCGGTACTTGCAAATCAGAAAAATCCATGCGGTCTTCCCTTTGAGTATGGTCTTTGGTTCTGCTCTGGGGTTTGGTGGGGGGATTGAAGGCCACGGAAAGGAGAAAGAAAAGGTGCTATTATTTTGGCCTGGCAGGCAAAGCCTTTCTTGTCTCAAATGTCACCGCTTGCTGGAAAGGACGCTATCACTTTTGCTCTGATGGCGCAGGACATCCGCCAACCAATGCGTTATGTCTCCTCTCTCCCATGACTTGGCATACACAGAGAAGCAAAACGGCACGGAACAACCTGTCTTTTCAATAAGGTAGTTGAGACGTTACCAACCTTGCTATCAGACGAACTTCTTTGGCCTCTTCCTCCTCGGGTCTTTTTTCCTTACAAGGTTTTACGATACCCACAACTGTTTACGGCAGGAGTAAGGGTTCTCAGACCTTCTAGGATGATTCTTAGCAGATAATCGACTGTTGGACAGCTAGGGTGACAGATGAAATTCTAGGGATATGGACCGATGGATCATCCCTAATCATGCTCTGGCGATAAGTTCATAGTTGGTATTGCCGATTTGGTGGTGGTCCCTGGATTTGCTGTTTCATAGTCTGACGGCCGACTTGGCCTTACTCAATTTAAGATGTTATTTCCTTGCGCTTTGCCTCTCTTGATTGATTGATTGCTTTGGTGGTTCTCTTGAGTGAATGTAGTCGTTGATATGGTATTCCTATGTGCGATGGGGGATTGTAATCCCGGTATCATACGAGTAGATTGACCTAACTAACTCCTGAACTACTGAACTACGGGGTATAAGGAGTCCATATATGTAAGTTTCCTAGATATCACCATTCATTCCCGGTCTCTTTTAGCTTATATTCATTCGCCCATGTTCACTTTGTAATGCTATAAGACGTCTTCTATTAAGTAGGTACCTCATGCAGGCCAGTTAATAACAGCGATTCTCTATCTTTAGCCCATGCCGCTTCGAATGCGCGAGCACACCGCTATCTACGAATCTACCTCAATAAGAGCGAGCCTTCTGGGGAGTTGAATAAGTCTAAATTTGAGTACAACGAGACATCATATTTTGATACGTAGTCCTTTTCTCTAAGCCCCTGATAAGCCGTTATATCTATCCCCCTTTCCCTAACTGACTAAGGAAAACCGCCGTGTCCTCTAAAAAGGGGTATCGTGAAAGTGAGAGGTGAGAAGAGAAGATGGTAATAAAAAAAAGAAAAGAAAAAAAAAGTAAGAAAGGAGTACCCCTGGATCCTCACCAACCCTGTAGAATAGGTAAGTCGAGGAACTACTAGGTTAGTCCCGTCGGTCTGACTTAAGAGGTTCACCTTCACCGCACAGGCCCATCAACCCTAACCAAAACCTTGCGATCCAACTTCCTCTTGACAGCGCCCAGCACCACCTTCAATATCCCGTCCGCCGTAAGCGAGGGGGCATCGGCCGGCCCCGCAGCGTTAAACGTGGCCGTGTCCACCATGTCCCGGATGCTCTCGCGGCGGCACAAGTCGTCGTCCAGATCGCGCAGGGCGCGCGTCGCAGCCGCGTCGCGGCCTACCTGGAAGAACTGGATGCCGACTTGGTGGGGAGGCGCGCCGATGGCGTCGAGGCGGCGGGCGGCGGCGGCGATGGTCTCGGCGGGCTCGTCGGTTGGTTGGCCGTCGGTTATGACGATGACGTTGATGGGCCGCACGCAGTATACGTCGCCGCCGGTGCTTCGCACGCGGGCCTCGTAGTGCGCGAGGTAGGCGCGCAGGATGTGGTCGAGGCGGATGCCGGTCGGGGTGGCTTGGCTGGGGCGCACGACGGTGAATAGGTCCGTTACCAGCTTGGGGTCGCGCAGCGAGCGGTAGCCCGTGCCGGCGGCGCCGCGGGACGCGTCTCCCCGGTCGGACGTCCTGTGGTTGAGGAAGTAGACGTCGACGCCGTCCTCGTCGCGCTCGACGCAGATGGGTACGATGGCGGCGACGACGGCTTGGGTCTCGGCCCAGCGACGCTCGACTTTCATGGAGAGGGAGTCGTCGATTAGGAATATGGTGTTGAATTCCCGTAGGAAGGCGTATTGGTCATCTGGGAGCTCGCCGTCGGGGGCGGCGGCGGGGACTGGGGGAGATGTTAGTGGTTTGTGAATAGGGGGGGTTAGTTTGATATGTGGGTGGGTGGGAACTCACTTGAACCAGGGGCCTCGGCGAGCGTTGGCGAGTACGGCGGAGGAGGACTTTCTGCTCGCCCCCGATCCCGCTGGGAACGCGAACCCGATGAGAAGGGGTTGCTGCCGAAGATGGCGGATAAGCCGCGACGCTCACCGGAGTCGTCGTCGCCGCCGCGCTGGCTGCGGCCACTGAAGGACCTGCGCAGGGAAAAGCCCGAGGGCGCACGGCCCCGGGTATTAGCCTGGGCGTTGGGGCTCAGGTTGTTGCTGTTTTTGGCTTCAAAAGGGTTACCCATGGTGTTAATGTTAAGTCGTCGTTGCTGTTGATAAAACTCCTCGTGTCTACACTGGATATTTCTGCATCGGCTGGAGCAGCTAGGGGTTTTTAAGAAGGCTGAGGATGACGAGTGTGTCGAGTATGATTGTTGTACGAATGCTAAGGGGAAGGGAGATGGGCCGGTAGAAATGGCTTGCATTATTGTTGAACAAGTGTGTTGTTGAAGTGTTGAAGTGTGTTGTGTTGTTGGCGCACAAACGCGTGAGTAACGTTCCTTCGTTTCGAGAGCCGAGTCAAGGTTTGTCTCAAAGTTTGTCTCTAGTCTAGTCGGTGGATCGAAAGTTTAACGTTTAAAGTTTAAAGGGATAAAGGAGTGACGAATGTCTTTGTTCTTTCCCTTCTGAGAAGTCGTGATATCCAAGTTTTGATGGTTATGCTAGTTAACCTAGACTTAGTTCTTGACACTGCGATTGTTTGCTCTCGTGACTAGGTACTTGATATTCAATTATAACTTCCAATTGGTTGTATTGACTAGGTCGTTTGCTTGTTGGTTGACTAGACTCTGCTATACGAATCTTCTATACACATTATCAACATACATTCACTTACTTCCTTACGATTATATACCACGTAACCACCTATCGATATTGCCTCACTCTCTGCCTTGCCCCTCATAGCCGGGTTCAGTAGGTACAATACTGATTAAGACTCAAGAGGCGACTATAACATAAACAGGAAGGTTCTTTTGTTTTAGACTTCCGTGATGTCTCAAAGCTGATGCCTTTTAAAATTGCGTTTGTCCAAATTCGAGGCTGAGTCTAGGTATGTAGTCACATATGTACTGCAATGATTTCATAGCCTCCGATGGTGCAGTGAGGCTGAATACCTCTAAGCCCCAGAGCTCCAAGGCGTATTTTTTTATTTGATAGCCATGAGACCAATAAGAATACTTCTATCTCCTTATTGGCCATCTCATATTTTCGCGCTAGGTACCAAGCTTATGGTACGGTGGAGGTGGCTAGTAATTCTGGAATTACAGCAGAAGTGCCACACTTCCACACTTACACCCGTGTGGCCAATATACGGCCTGGATCATAGTAGGCATAACGAATTGTACTGCCTACCTCGGTACTATTCAAAGTGTGATACTATATACTATAGGGACTAACTTCCTATATAATTCTTAGACTACGTCCTAACCATGAGAATGGTTCAACCCTGTCGGCAGTGTCGAAATATAATATGCCGACTTATATTCCGATTTGCATGCAAGGCATAAAAAAAACCGGCACATGCATAATTCCCGCGTGACAACGGAATAGGATTCAGACGGATTCCCCCCTTGTGTGAGCCTCCGCAAGTTAGTCACGCAGAAGTGTCAAGAATCATGTTACTCATCGAGGAATTGTTGTTCTTTTAGGTACTCATCAAGGACATAACCCGGCTATTGAAAGATGGCATGGCGATGTTCAAACATCACATCCGCCACAGATGGGGAAATGTACCTAGCGTATGACATGCAGGTCGGTATTGCAGAGCCTCATCCGTAGTTTTAGCCTCATAACACCTCTCGCGCGCGCCTATCTCCTGACCATCTCGGAACCGGCACGGCTATGTCATGTCATATCACATCTTCCCTATAGTCCACTCCACTACCTACGTAGCCTCAAAACTCCTGATCTTAGCAATAGTGTACATACGCGCATGACGGCCTAGTGTCTTATCTCCGTAATCTCATATCAGTCATCTTAGGACGGAAGAAGACGATGAAGATGATATCAGCCCCATAGCGGCGCTGTGATCTCGACAGCCCGTTCGACAACAGCCTTGACCCGGTCAGCGAACGCCTTATGCTGGCACTCCACCTCGAGATTCTCGAGCCAGACCGTAGCAACCATCTTGTCCACCCTGATGGTAATGCCCGGCACGGGGATACCAATCTTGTGGAGACGCTCGAGCTCCGTCTTCTGCCGCAGCTCTAGGAGCCGCTCCTCTTCGTCGCCGTCGTCCGATAGCTCCATAGATGCATCGGAAGCGGCGTCTTCGCCCTCGCCATCTGCATTCTTGGGCTTCTTGTCCTTGACTAGGGGCGGTAGTTTGGGTACCGTGATGGGAGTAAGCGCGTCGGCGCCGAACTGTGCCTCGAGGAACATGAACAGGCGTTCCAACCGCTCGTCCGGCGTCAGATTAGCGTGGGGATTGCGGGCCGGCAACTCGTGGGAGTGGGAATGCTTGTTCGCGGATCCTGATTAAATGTGTTTGTTAGTAGAGGAAATAGTTTGCGTTAGGCTGACCAAGGGGCATTTTGCTTACGCTTGACGGCAGCAGGGCTGCTCTCGACAGATAGTAGAACCGCCATGACGGCGTCGGCAATGCCATCGTTCAGCATGTTACCTTCCCATTCCAATTCCACCTCGCCGTTGTTGCGATAGCGCACCGTGATGCAACCCATGACCAGGTAAGCCGCAACGAGCTGAGCGATCTCTTCATCCGCTTCAGCCTTCGCTTCAGCCTTCTTGTCGTCCCCGTTTGTCTCCTCCTTCTCGGAGATCTCCTTTCGATTCTTAGTCTCGGGGAGTTCTTCGATGCTGCCAAAGGTGCCCTCGAGAGCCCATTTGATAAGGTCGATACCAGCTGCGCTCAAAGTGAATCGCTGTCGACACGCGATCGTAGAAGTCGTGAGACCCGCGTATTCGCGCAAGTCTTCGGGATCCATTAGCGACATCTTGAAATCGTTCTGAACGATGACTCCGGCTACCAGTTCGGTGTTTTGATCGTCAGGTGAAGGTAAATTCCTTGGGAGGGGTATCGACGCAAGTTTGCCGACTACCTTAGCAACCTTATCGGTTTTGAAGGGGATGCGTAGTTCTTCACAATTTCTAGGGCTAAACACTTTGACTTTATCTGTCTTTCCCGCGTTCAATGATAACAGCTTGGACTTCAACCGCATCATATTGTGCTGCTCCCCGTGCACCAAAATCTAGCGGTATTAGTAAAGGAACATGCTCTACAGCAACAAAACTACTCACCACCACAGGAGCTCCGACCTCTTCGATAAAGTCCTTATTTTCTTGGCCGTCGACGTGCGCGGCAAAAGAATATTCGGCAACACTACATCTTCGAGGTATCATAACTTTCTCGCTATCGGCGCCAGGTGCCCTCCGCACGGCATTGACGCTTCTCGACATGACGGCCTGAATCTGATCTGGCTCCTGAACGATATACTTGGCCATGGTACCTTCGACACTGTAACCTGTGATAATAACTCCGTTCTTCTCGTTCGGCGCCCATCTCTCTAGTAGCTCTCTGCTAATACCGTTCTGCAACATACCGGGGCTTGCAAGCATGACGCAGCTGCCCACGTCGTCGAATCTGTCAAGACTTTTGAGAGACCTAATATACTTGAAATCCCAAGGACCGCCTTTACCGGCGCCATCTCCTGCAGCCTCAGCTTCTGCCATTCGTTCTCGAAACAAACGCTTAATATTGTCGTTCATAGCCCCAATGTATGTCTGGTATACAACCATGCACTTTCGTGCTAGATTGCTGGCATAGTAGATGGGAACCTTTTGGAATTCCTGATGCTTACCCCAATACTCATCCAAGATTAGTAACAGCTCTTGAGCTCTGCCCAAAGCGAACACAGGCATCAAGACTCGTCCACCTCGGTTGAGGATACCCGTGATCGACTTCATTAATGCCTGTTCCCTCTCCAGTCGTGGAACATGGGTTGATACTCCATAAGTCGATTCTGTGATAAGCACATCGATTTTAACACCTCTAGGGACCTCTGCAGATACTAAATGTCTGTCTTGCTCTCGAGAATAGTCTCCCGTGAAGAATATGTTCAATCCAGCTATCTCTATGAGGAACATCGCAGCACCTAGTACATGACCAGCAGGATACGGAGTAATCCGAATAGAAGAGATTGTGTGAGTTGTGTGGTAATCGATTGCTTCGATCTGAGAGAAGGTATTTAGATGGTCCTGTTCCGTATATACGGGCTGTGACGTAAGGTTCGAAGAAGTGTTGCCAACTCGGACACTGTCTTGGATAAGCCATTTATAGATAGCCTTGGTTGGATGTGTCATAAAGACCCTGCCTCTGAAATTGGTCTTCGCTAGAACATAGGGAAGAGATGCGGCGTGGTCTATATGGAAACTTGGCTGATGTTAGCACACTTCTTGGAGGGTATAGAATACTGGAACTAAGAGCTAAAGGAGGCTAGCTATCGCAATGGGTATCACGGCAATCAAAAGGGGGCTACCAGCTGGGTGATGGGGCAATATATTTTTATTGATAGTTGAATACACGAGAGTAAAGTCATCAACATCCACAAGTCCGTAGGCGTAATATCACGGTAGAGCACTCGGATAATAGCCTCTGCTTATGGTTGCGGGAGCACGTCACCTTCCACCCCAACTGATACGAAGCCCTTGATCATCCGCAGCTGTATTGTATAACGAGGATCGGAAGGATAAACTTACTGGCTAATAAGCAGAACATCGACAGTGCTTAGGTCGAAGTCGTCAAAGAAGGGGAGAGCGGCGAGACCATCGTAAGCAGGATGTTGGCCAGCATCGAGCTGTACAGAAATGTGTTGTTAGCTAGGGACTATATATAACCTAGAGAGAGTCAAGTTTAATTAAATTGACTGACCATGACTGTCTTTCCTTTGTACTGGATGATATGGCATGATCGGCCGACTTCGTTTCCACCTCCTAGACAGAGAAACATCAGCTCATCTGCTGGATCTACTGGTTCCTCATCAACAGCAGAAGCTGCTGCCATTGCCGAAGCCTTGCGCTTAGATGCCATGGCTAATGGAGCCTTGTAAGCTGCGTGATGGGGTTTGTTGGAGTTGCGCTGTTTGGTCCTAAACCAAGATGTGCTTGTTGCTAGATACCTAGGTAGTTAGAGGAAGAAAGGAACGCGATCTAGCGTAGCAGCACGCTAAGTTTGTTAATGGACCGGCACACAATGGATGTCATCTCAAGATGGGAGCATTATCGCGTGCAGTTAATTAAGGTCAAATAACTTTAGCACTTGGACCAATAATGAAGGAGATGGAAGTTTAGATGTTATGTAAAGGTCAAGATGTGGATTGAGGTATGACTTGTATTATTGGCGCGGCAGGTACGTAATGCGGCAGTAGGTAGCAATGCAAATTGGAGTCCGCGCCTGCCTGTCCGTACACAGTATTCAGTAAGCATATTTTACCTAAAGTTTAGCGCGTCGCGCCTACCTTCCAATCCAATCTATGTAAATCTATGTACCTAAGGTATAAGGTACGTAGAGAAAACCTTCTTTGGCAGCTCATCCACCGGCTTCTAATTGATCCGGTCAAGCTACAGAGGGGACCTCACCTTTGAGGCCAAGCGGAGTTACTATGTACATAGGTACCTAACCTAGGGATAGATGGAAAGTACCTAAGGGAAGCCTGTGGGGACCGTGCGTTGGTACTACACGAAATCTTTCCAATGGGGAAACAGGAGCTTTTCTTGTGTTGCTGAAGTCCAAGATCGCCTCCTCATCCATCCCAAACATTACTATCCCATCACCAACCATTACCGTCCCGACGCGCCCCCCGCCTCTCTCATTGGTTTCGACCTTATTCGGCATCGCATTTGTCGCCTTCGGATCGCCTTTCCAATACATATCCTCACACCCTACCTCTTACACCGTCGGATGGGTTTCGTCCGCTTGATTGTGACAGGCTCTGTGCCTGTCCAGGTTCAGAGAGCGTGTTGAAGGAGGGCTATTATTTACTGTTCATTGTTTCAGATCGAGGACGACTCTTCATATTATAATTAATTACATCCTATCCCGATAAACCCCGCGTACTCTTCCGCCTTGGTAGATTGCCGTCATGTCGCATCCACAACCTACGATGCCACCGAGGCAGTTCTCGCCTCAGCAGCATCCTTCAAATCAAACTTATCAACTTCCTCCTAATAAACGAGCTAGATTATCACCTGGGCCTTCGTCGAATCCAGGTTCGCCGTATCCGAACTATGCCCCAAGTCCCAGGGCTACTACTCCAGCGACTACACCGATGACCCTACCCTCGCCGGCTCCCGCTCCTAGCCATAACATTAATCAAGCATCTGCGGCAGCAACTTACAATACGCCTTACCAGCAACCGAATGGCCGATCTGCATCTGTCGGTATGACACTTACGATGCCGACGGCGGTATCAACACCACCTCTAGCATCGCCTCAACCGCAGACTCCCAACGTTAGCCACGCGCCTTATTCTAACGCGAAGCTTGCGCCGATTCCTACCAATACATCCTTCACTTCTTCGGTACCCCCGGTTATTACAAACATGGGACCACCGACTATGAACCCCGCGGGGTCCTTCTCGTCTAACGATGCGACAAGACAAGGCCTCAAGCCTACGTCGACCAAGGCAGACGTCACATACGACGTGGATGATATGCTTGTAGGCACCGGTATCGATCTGGAAGAGGAGGCAGAGTACCTAAATAATCTAGAGTCTCGCGGATTCCCCAATTACCCACCTGGTGGGCCGGAGACTTTGTATGGAGCTGGGCCTGCCAACCAACCTGCTCAGCCTACCAATGCGAAAACGCAGGAGGAGCTTGCTGCGGAGAGTGCAGATAGAGCCTGGAACGAAGCAGCGGCACGACTTGCCCGGACTAGAAGTCAGGAAATAGCCAGCTACCTGTTAGAACCGGGCGTGGTGCACAAGCGAATGGCAGACACGGCTGCTAAGTATGGCCTGAACTTGAATGTAGATCTAAAGCCGGAAGGGGGACGGTTTATGGGGAAAATGGCAAGCCCTGCCGGTGCCAAACCGGAGATCAAGGTTATGTACCAGAAGTCTCCGGATGGCACAGTGGTGCAGACGCTCGGCTCGTTTATCCCTCACGATGCTTTCCTCGTCGACCAAATCGCGCTGCTGTCGATTAGTACGAAACAGCACTTGCGGGAACTGGTTGGTGATGCAAATAGGGTCGCCACTACGCGACAGAAGACATCTCACGGTGCTGTACCTGCTGAATGGCTTGATGCAGCCGTTATACCGTCGGCCGACGCGAACGGAGCACAGGGTGAAGGCCCGCGGACGGGTGTGGAGAGCGCGGTTAGCCCCCGCACGAACCCACTCAAACGTATGGACTTCTCAACCGTAAAGCTTTTGTTCGTATTTCGTATAACTAACCGCGTTTATAGGTTCGGCAGATGAGCTTAGTAACGGACTACCAACGCCGGTGTCGGAAGCCTCTCCTTTTAACCCCATGGTAGAAGCCATGACAGGAACCGTAAAGGATGCGCGCAACGCCGAAGAGGCCCGACTTAGAAAACGGCAGAAGCGCATGGAGAAGGGTACGGACAAGGACAAGGAAGGCGGTGATAGTACGTCGCGAGCTGGGTCCGTGGCACCAGGCACACCTGGATCGATGGCACCGGATTCAGGTGAAGCAAAAGCTCCTACGAAGAAAGAGAGCAAGAAGGCAGCGAAACTCGCAGAGGCGAGCAGTACGACTGTGAACCAAACGTTGGGTCTGTTTGCAGGTGGCAAGAAGAAGAAATATTCGTGGATGACGAGTTCAGGCGGTCCAGGCAGCGGTGCAAGTACTCCTCGACCTCAAGCTACGGGCGCACCAGGCACACCAGGTTCCACAGCCACAGCTAGCAGCAAGGCTCCTCGTGGACCGCTGACGAAGGCGGGCGTCACGCATCTCGGGCAGTTCCGCGAGGATTCGGATAAAGGGAAGAATATCCAACTTCGTGACTGGGTCGTCGTTATAGAAGAACGCGGCTTCGATATGAAGGCCTTGCAGCAAGCTTATGATATCTTGGACAGATCTTCCAAGGGCACGGTAGAGAATACGTCGTGATAGTAGGCAGTCAGCCTCGAGACTTTAGGGAATTGGCAGTAGAAAACAACAAGGGGTCTTCCGAAATGAACGCGACCTAAAAGCGGTCGAGTAATGAAATAAAAAGGGGTTAAGTTAACTTTTCCAAGGGGGGGATATTATAGCCTCTAGACACTTCGCGTTGTATTGGTATACATATTTCTACATTTCACAGCCAGGCGTTGGCATCAGAGGGCATAACAGGGGGGCACGGTTGGCTTTTGCATTATTTTGTTTCTGGTTTTGTTTTCGACCTACCCCAGCCGATAGGACAGTTAGTTTCTAGCGGACGAGGAAAACGGACGAGCCAAATGAGAGGTTCGCGAAGGAACAACCTCGACAGTGTGTGTGTGTGTGTGTGCGTGTTGGTGTTGATGCGGTATATGATGGAGCCCACGAAGCCTAATTTTGCGTTTCTACGTACTAGTAGCCCGAGGTCGGCTAGCTGATCACAAGGCTATGCCTAGCAGCCAAGATGAATGGATGGATGGATAACATTCGGTTGTTTGGCTGGGTGGACTGCGTAGATATCTAGCTAGGTTAGATGGTTCGCGAGAATGGCCAGCGAAATACGCGCGAGCACATGTGCGATGAGTTCCCTTTTTTTTTTTTTTTATAGAGCGGTGCTGTGATATGTAAGTACCTAAGCGTATAAATGAAACTATATAATATACATATATACCTCTTATCACCGTAATCCGACCCCTTTCCCAGGACATCGGACGGAAGTGGGGAACTGGTGGCCCTGGCCTTTCTCCGACTTACCTATTTGACATCACGTCAAGAAACCTCCGAATGGCTTGACGTAACTATTTTATTTTCCGGTCTTCTTCTTTTTTTTTTTTCTTTTTCCCTAACCTAACTTGACGCTTTCGATCCGTCATAAATTTAGAAAATTAGACGCAGGGTCGGTTACTTCGTTTGTTTCATCGGAGTACCTATTTTATTATTTATTTATCATTTATAGATTGATTTCTTGTTTGTTCGTCTGTTAGATTCACGTGCGTTCGTTCTACTTACTTACTTACTACGAGACGAGGAGGACTAGACTACGACCGGTTGTAGTGTATATATACATATATTTAGGTTATACCATATATACAAAGAGTCTAGGTAACGCCGAGATGGCTAAGGCGGTAAGATTAACGATGCTCCCTCCCGTTGGTGCTTGATATAAGTACCTAATACATGACCTGACTAACTACTCTATAGGCCATAGGGCAGATATGCTCGTCCAACTCGATGGCGCATAATCTCGAGCAGTGCGTTAAACTCGTCGGCCAAGCTGCTGCTGCCGGAGCGAAAGTATGTAAAGGGTTATAAGCCCAAGTTTATGTTATATACCTCTATATGATTATGATAGAGGTACTCGAGTGTGAAGCCATCTATAGACGGTCCGATTATTATTTTATTTTATATCTATACTACTAACCAGATACACCACCCCCAGGTCCTCTTCCTCCCCGAAGCATCCGACTACATCGGCTCCTCCGCCCAAGAATCCCTCTCCCTCGCCAAACCCCTCGCCACCTCGCCCTTCGTATCCGGCCTGCGCTCCGCCGCCGCAGAGCACAACCTCGCCGTGCACGTCGGCATCCACGTGCCCGTATCCGTAAAGCCGGTTCTCTCCCCTAGTAACCCGGTCTTATCTTCCGTTCCGGACCCGGACTCTACCACTTCTCCTTCTTCTACTGTTTCTCCTTCTGCCCCTTCGGCATCACAACAACAACCAAGCACAAACCCCTCCCCCCAAAAAACAAAACTCTACAACCGCACCATCCTCATCAACCCCGACGGCACCCTCCACCCCACCGCCTCCTACGACAAACTCCACCTCTTCGACTACCCCGACGCCTCCCTCCGCGAATCCACCACCACCCAAGCCGGAACCAAACTCACGCCCCCCTTCGACACCCCCCTCGGCCGCATCGGCAGCCTAATCTGTTTCGACCTACGCTTCCCGGAGCCCGCCCTGCACCTAACAACTTCCACCACCCCCTCTTCCACCACCTCCACCTCCTCCACTTCCTCCTCCCACATTTCCAAACCCTTCTTCCCCCCCGCCCAAATCCTCCTCTACCCCAGCGCCTTCACCGTCCCCACCGGCCGCGCCCACTGGGAAACCCTGCTCCGCGCCCGCGCCATCGAGACCCAATCCTGGGTCATAGCCGCCGCCCAAGTCGGCACGCACAACCCGGCGTTATCGCCGCGGACGAGCTACGGGCGGAGCATGGTAGTCGACCCCTGGGGACGGGTGATGCTTTCGCTGAAGGGGGTGCGGGAGAAGGGAGGAGGAGGAGGGTATGAGGTTGAGGACGGGGCCGTGGGCGAGCTAGGACTGGTGGATGTGGATTTGGGCGTGTGGGAAAAGGTTCGCGAGCAAATGCCTCTTGTGAGGAGGACGTATGTTACCTACCTACCTACCCCCTTTTCTCTTCTACACTACATGATGCCTTTCTTTATAACAAGTCGACCTACCTCGTTCCGTTTACTGGCTGATATATCTTGTAGGGACGTTTACCCAGAAGTATAAAGCCGTTATGGGAAATACAGAAAACATTGACATTGTGGTATGAATTACTAACTACGATAAGTCACAAATTGCCGCATAAGAAACAGATAAACAGATAAAGCGACTTGATGGTTCTGTATTAACCCTTTTACCTCAGCTTATGTACCGACTCAAAAAGGCCAAAGACATCTACAAACACCAAGCCCACTATTGCAAATGTTTTGTTTTGTCTTTTCTCGAGCAGCCTACCTAAACGGTAGTTACCTCAAGAGAGAGTTATTCATATGTATCAACGCCCCCCTTCGCAAGAAACCTTTCCTGCGTTCAAGCCGAAACTACCAGGCCCTCTTTTTCGTCTCGAACGTAAAATCGTGTGATCGTGCTCGTGATGCGAATGCAAGAATCGTACCTGCCCCCTTGCCAAACCACCCTTACGCCATTGCTAGGAGCCTCAACTGAAATCATGCCTATCGAGCTCTGGAGCATGGCAAAACCGCGTCATTATCCACCAAGTTCCTGCGCGTGGAAAAAGAAAAACCAGATCATGCAACTGCCGTATTAATACACTGCTAAATGATGTTGCGTTTGAGGATATGAGTAGGAAGTCACGAACGTAAAGACAATTTGTCGGCTGCGTGATATTTGCATATGCTGGACGTGACCACGTAAATCATTGTTCTGCGGGTTGGCGGTACGCATTCCCTCTTCCTCGAGGAGCAAAGCCACGACCGCGAGGACCACCGCGTCCGCCACGACCCCGACCACGGTAACCACCACGGTAGCCACCATCGACACTTCCTTGGCCAAAAGTCTCCATGTTCTTGCGCTGCTCCTCGCCGCGCCACTCTCGCCCGCCAGGCTTCTGGCCGCCGTTCTCGGCACGATCCTTAGCCTCGCTGGAAATGTTGTCGAAAAACGATCTAGTCTTGTTATAGGCAACAGGAGGTGCGGAATCGTCGACCTGCACTTGCTCTGGGGCTGGAGCATTAGGAACGACCTCAGCAAGAGGCGAACCCGCGATAGCCTCTTTCACGAGATCTTGCTTGTTGAACTTTGCGTTGCCAGCTTCGAAGTCGAAGTCGGAATCCGGAACGTTGACCTTGCTTGATCCACCGGAACGTCCACCTCGGCCACGTCCCCTACCGTTTGTTGAGGGTCTGGGAGCGTTCATTCTCATCTCATTGACCTTCTTAGTCAAGTTATCCATTGCGCTACCATTCTGTGCAGGGGGTTCAGCAGCAGCGGCAGAGTTATTAAGCTTCGCCATCGCGACAGCAACTGCTTCCTTTGCGGCTTGGGTGGCATCTTTAAGTGCAGCCTGAGTAGCAGCTTGCCCTCCTGCAGGTTTAACTGCAGAAGCGGCGGCAGTAACTTGGGGGGCAATTTTCGGAGTGACTGCGGCCTGAATCGGCACGGCGGGGAGGACTCGGTTGTTCTTAGGGCCGGTTGGAACGGCCTTCTTCTCAGAGACATTGGTCGGAGGGGTGTTCGTTGTGGATAGAGATTCTGCAGTAGCTTTGACTTCCGCTGCGGTAGGCTTCGACTCGACCGGCGGGGTCGGGGCAGCACTCGTTGAGGCGGGCTGAATAGGTTGCTGTGCAAGTGACTTAGGTTCCGTAGGTAGTTCAACCGCGGGGTTACCAACCAGTCTTTGTTTGTCGACGCCTGCGCCAATAGGAGCAGGCTTGTTATTTTCCTGCTGGGGCGTTCCTCTCATTCCTTGGCCAGGAACGCCAGGCACACCAGACACACCAGGGGGTCCTTGAGGCCCTTGAGGTCCAGGTGCAGGCGGGTATCCAAAGCTATTCCACGGACCAGGACCTCCAGGTCCACCAGCCGGGAACCCTTGGTTGGGAGGAAACCAGCCAGGAGGGGGTGGATAGGGCATTCCATGAAAACCTTGACCCGGAACGGGACCCGGACCACCACGTCCCCATTGTCCAGGAGGCGGGGGATAGAACGGGTTGGGTTGATACGGACTTTGGCCGTAGCCTGGAGCTCCTGGACCAGGCGGAATGCCTGCAGGACGAGTACGAGCCTATAGTGGAGAGCATGTGGTTAGCATCAATGCTTCATAGTATAACGGTTCCATATTTTTTAAAAAAAATATTTTCATTCCATGATAGCTCAGAAGGAAGGCAACGGAAATATCAACACGGGGTTTTTGCGCTTTTCAGACAAGTAATAACTTTACATCCGAAATGTTTCGTCATAGCAATGGAAATGGAAATGGCTTTGTAGTTGTTGTAGGATGGAGTAGAGATGGGCAACTTACTCCAACAATAGCAGGATCATCTGGAACCTTAGGAGGTTGGTTTTCTTTGGGAGGAATAGGAGCTTGCTCGATCCGCAAGTCTTTCACGTCACTACCGCGAAAGACGATGTACTCGTAGACCTGGTCAGAAGGTGCTATCTCTTCTTCAGGGTTACCCTTGCGGCCCTCGGTACCGAACGACTTGACATTTTCCAGAGAGACTGTCGACTCTTCTGAATTGATCTCGTGCAATACACCCGAATAGCTATTAAGATTAGAGGCGGGGCTCCAATGTAGCACCGTTGGCTTGGGGGGAGGTTTACCGGATATCACTCTTCGAGATGAGGGATATGCGAGAGCTGCGTTTGCATCAGGGTTAGCAGACTAGATCTAGATGATTCGGGATCTTGCTGTAGCTAGGCAGATATAAGGATCAACACGAGGATGCGTACCCAAGAAATTCAGACATGGTGTATGTCTATGTGTGTGTTAAAAGGTGTGCGCGATCCGCGCACCAGGAGGAAGAAGTAAATGCAATGAAGGTAATCCGTAGTTAAAGTAGAAATAAATTGCTGTAACGACGTTCGAAAATTACGAAAAATAAATGCAATTTACCGTTGAGGGGTGGAGGAGGTTGGTTGAGATAGGGTTGTAAAGGGAAGAGAGAGGAGGCTGAATTTCCCCGGTGCGAAGAATTAAAATTTCAACACACTGCACCGTTAGCACCAGCCCCGTTAAATGAGGTTGAAAGGGATTTTTCCTTTTAAATGTTAGGTGCATAAATTCCATTCTATCATGACAGGGATGCCATTCACTTGCCAGATGGATGTAAACATAAGGTGCGCCACCTTTTTTAATGTCTAGGTAGTGGTTGCTAAGCCACAGCCGCATCTAACATTCGCTTACTCACAGGACTAGTGTAAATACCAATAAGATGCCTTCACTTCAAATAGATTGATTGCTGTTTGCCCTAGATCCATGATTAAGGCACCTAGGGCATCCCATTTATCTATTCAATACTAGGTTAGGTACCTATCAATACACCTATAGAAACGCCTAGTTACTTCTATCGTGAATTATTTACACCAATACTCAAATACAATAAAGTAGCTACACGTAGTATCGGATAGCAAATCCAACCTAGTCACAGAGAATTCAATTCGCAACGTCAGAAGACATTCCCTTGAAAGGACTATTACTAACACACATTACATATTTACTCTGACATATCAAAAGAGTCCGACCCTGAACTACTCGTGGTATCATCATCCTGTCCATCCAATTGCTCATCCACAGCCTCCCCCTCCTCCTCGCTCGAGTATCCAACCAAACCAGAGCCTTGCCGTTTCCTAGATTTTCCAAGCCTGCTCTCGACAACGTATCCTTCGGGGATGGCCGTGGAGTTGGCTGGTAATACGCATATGGTTGGGAACTCGACAATGTCGAGCCCAGGTAGAACGGCAGTCAAGTTATCGGTTGGTCGTAGTGGTATGAGCCTTTGTGCTTCCCTAGAAGGTGTCCTTGGCTTGAGGTAGAAGAACCGGTATTTATTCTTCGACTCCTCGCTCGTTTGCGACCCTGAAATCACGTTGTTCCACGCGGCCGTTTTCGAGTCCTGCATAACATAAACCCCGTCGCTCCAAGCCGTTGTAGCCACTTCTTGGCCGCCCCCAGTAATCATTTTCTTGTCCTCCAAAGATCTTTGTTTCTTCTCCTGCGTACGTTCCTGGTTGCTAAGATGGCGCTGGCGATAGTACTCTAATCCCTCTGCGAATCCGACGTAAAGGGGAACTTCATCCAGTATCTTATGCAAAATTCTTGAAGGCTCCGCGTCGGATTTTCCCTCAGCAGAGCCAATAGATTTCCACTCAAGCCATTCGACTTGCCAGTTCATAGTCCTCGTGCGCTTGTTCCAGCTAGTCTTGTTCTCCTTTGCCCGAGTCATACCGTAGGGAACAGACGCAACGCGGATTCCTAGCTGCCGCATCCGCTGCATCGAATTCTTATCCCATCTCCGCGAATCCTGTTCAAATGTTACCCTTCCGCGACTCTGGCCCTTATGTAGACGTGCTCTTTTGTTGGGTGGCGGTCGCGATGCGGTGTCATCTTGCGGTAGTATGTCCTTTTCTTCCTTAAGTATCTTCTCTACTCGCTCGACGGATCTTTCGATTTTGGTTAAAAAGTTGTAGTCGTGATCGATACCGGCGTCCGTCTTCAGCTTCTCCCGCGGTACATATACGGTGGGATCGCGTTCTCCGTTGCATGATGACCATTTCTTATGCTTCTTCACGCAGGCTAAGGAACATGTCCGGGTTCCGCATCGAGGGCATTTGTATTTAGGAGTTTGTATATGGCATATGGTGCAGAGTGACGTCAGTAAGGGGTCCGCCATTAGAAGAATATAGGGTACGGGTAATGTAAGTAAGGGAGTCGCGACGTTATAAAGTTGAACGTTTACATAAGGTAGCAAAAGTTAATTCGAATTACTTCTAAGAAGCGCCATTGCGATCATTTGACGCTAATACATGCAGACTTGAGCTTCTAAATTCTATAATTTTATCTTATCGATATGTAGCCGCCTGCATTCCTTATCAATATCGGGCTAACAACCCAGCGTCATTCCCGGTAGCCATGTGCGAAAACTCGTACCTATTGGATGGAACCGCATCTCTAGTTTCTTGCATACTATGCATATTAATCTTGATATAAGTTACAAATGCTGCAGCGAATAGAATAAACTCCTGTTTAAAGGAATTACCGGATCCTACGCCTTGGGTTTAATCCGGCCGTGACGCGATAGTACCGATATATTAGGTATGCGACATTGTGTTACGAAGATAGGTATAACTAAACGTATTTAATATCAACAACTCCCAGCTTGATCATCGTCACCCACTTCATTAATCTTTTATTTTAAATGGTAAATAAAAGAAACTGGTTTTTTATTCTTAGATATTCAACTTCTAATATATTTCCAAACTCCCGGCGTTCTCCTTTTTTTCCCTCAGTATTATCATGGCTAATCCAATCAAGATTCCAGAAGTGCCCTATGTATTATTACATAACTACATAAGACAGTGTATATACGAAGGTTGGGGCCAAAAGTCTTGCACATGTCCAAATCTTGGCATCGATTTTCGTACGTCTTTTAACTTATTAATACTGTATCAGCCACACGCTAAGCTAAAGGTCGGATAGTGGCTTGTCCACTGAATTTAGGTGGCTTACCACTATATTTATAGCGATATCAGCCACTATAGCTTAAATAAGACCGTGCAGTCTCTTTTTACTCGCACGTGGCTTTGCCAAGCTCAGATGTGCAAGACTTTTGGCCCCAACCTTCGTACTGTATCAATTATCTTAAGTGATATTTTCCCTTAATACAAACTTAGTACCTATGCATGATGACCCTCAAAAAAGGTATTAGCTAGTAGTCGCGTGGTCAAAATCCAACAACGCTCTTCAAACTTCCAGATATCTCGTTAGCAATAATTTCATAAAAAAATAACCCATGGCTCCACGATGACGGATACAGATATGAAAATCGACCCGCAAAGAGCCGCCGCTCTAGTATCGCAGATTAAAACCGTGCGCGAGCGCATCGCTGCTGTGGCCAACGGCCGCGATGTAAGTCACAACCTCCGTCCCTCGGGTAGCTTTTTACCCGATTAGGGGACCAACTACATGTATATTCGAAATATTCTCATTTTATTACATCGTCTTTGGTTCTATTCTACTTCTCCCCGTTTTCTCACGAGAAGCTCTTACCTATCATGTGCTACACCGCTTCAACTACCTTAGGTAGTTCCTTGACGGATGAGTTTCACGTCTTTATAAATACCCCTAACTGCCTACCTAACCTAACGCACTTAATTAACTGAGGTTAACTAACTCTGTTCATTCCAGGTTCGCCTAGTCGCTGTCTCGAAGCTAAAGCCAGCCAACGACATCCTCGCGTTGGTGCAGCAGGCCTCGCCGCCGCAGCTTCACTTCGGCGAGAACTATGCCCAGGAGCTGAGCCAGAAGGCCGAGCTGCTACCGCGAAGTATACAGTGGCACTTCATCGGCGGCTTACAGTCCGGTAAGGGATTTACTTTTATATTTATCCTCTATTACCTACTCGAGGCTCTTATTTGAAGTAGCGGGTAGGGATATATCATAATACTCTATTGTGATGGATGATAAGATGATGAGGTCAGGAGATGAGAGGTTAATATAAACCTACGAGAGCTGGGACCTATACCTACACGATATCCCAGAATAGGAGATACTAACACCCCCCAGGCCACTGCAAATCCCTCGCCAAAATCCCCAACCTCTTCAGCGTCTCGAGCATCGACACCGAGAAGAAAGCCCAACTCCTCGACAAATACCGCGGCGAATATCTCTCCTCCCTCCCTCCCCCATCCTCTCCCCCATCCCCATCCCCAACCAACACCCCCGTCCCCGCCCCCGGCAAAATCAACATCCACATCCAAGTCAACACCTCCGGCGAAACCAGCAAATCCGGCTGCGCCCCCGGCGCCCCCACAATATCCCTCTGCCGAGCCGTTGCCGCGCTCCCCAACCTGCACCTCCTAGGGCTAATGACGATCGGCGCCATCGCGCGCAGCGTCGCCACGACCCCCGAGACCGAGAACGAGGACTTCCTGTGCCTGCGCGAGCAGCGCGACCTGGTCGCTGCCGAGCTGGGACTGGCGCCCGAGGACCTGGAGCTGAGCATGGGTATGAGCGAGGACTACGAAGGGGCGATCGTCGCGGGCAGTAGCGAGGTGCGTGTCGGGAGCACGTTGTTTGGTGCGCGGGGGCCCAAGAGCGAGGCTAAGATTATGGTGTAACTTACGGTATCTGCCTTGAGTTTTGGTAATGGCATGTAGGTATAGACCGGCCCCTGGCCTAAACGTGTGTCTAGCATAATATCCAGTCAGGGGGCGTTTACAAAGACCAACTTAGATCACAAAATTCACCAAGAATGAATTAACACACTATCAAGCATACCAAACCTAAGTCATAGTACTAACCATCCGTTGTAGATCGTCGTTAATTGCTCGTGATGTTCTAAGCTACTTGCTTGCTTTCTTGCCATCTATCCTATATTAACCCTACTCCACGCCCACATGCTCGCGTACAAGTTCCAAACAAAGTTGAATATCTCATATCTCTCTACCATGCCCCCAATTAAAACCCAATGGTATACACGCAATCAGTCTCATTCGCCCCCTAAACTCAGACATAACGACATAAACGCTAGGTTAGATATCAAGGGAAACAAGGAAATCATTCCTGCGCAACAACAGGCACAACAACATTCCTCCACAGTTCCCTCTTCTTCTCATCCTTACTCTCCGTCCACTCCTTCTCTACCTGCGCGAACTCGTCCCACCACAGCTTATGCGTCGACTCGATAGTATCATTAGCATCGTAGCTGCGGCTCTTCCAGGGCTTATTTAAGATGTAGTGTATGATCTTAACATGCTCGTCCTTCCAGAGCCCGCTGTGGCAAGCACGCATGGGTTTCAGGGCGTTGTAGTGGTACGGCAAGGGCTTCCAGCGGCCGCGGTACACGATGGCGAGTAAATCCTGGTCGAAGAAGATCATGTTGGGGACGTCGGGGTGGGTGTTCATAGCGTCGATCAGCGCTTCGAATTGCGCTTTAGACGGCTGGAGGATGACTGTGCCACTGTTGAGTAGGTGGTGGTTATTCGGGCTCTGGGGCGTGATAGGAGCCGGTTGGCCCGTCTCTTGGTCCGCGGCCGTGAAGGCGCAGTTGGCGGGGACCCAGTCCTTGGAATAGTGCGGAAGCTTCCGCGGGTTGCAGGTGCAGGCGTGAGTGCTCGCGATCCAGCCTTCAGGGATGTCGACCTCCATCATCTCATCGATGTTCTGTAGGATGACCTGGTCGCTGTCGAGGAGGACGACACGCTGTTGGGCAAGACACAACTTCAGTCAGCCTTCTGCTCTTATATGAATCTGATATACAGATATATATATATATATGTGTGTGTGTGTGTGTGTGTGTGTGTGTGTGTGTGTGTGTGTGTGTATAATGAATATACTAGGCACTAGGTAATTACCTCGTACTGTGTAAAGGACCACGGAGCCAGCTTCTCCCATGTCCCCTTATTAATCTTGCCATCGCGAGGCGCCGGCTCGATCTTGTCGACGACGATGGTGGAGATACCGGCAGCAGCGAAAGCATCCATATACTCGGTGTCCTCTTCGACTGCGCGGGTCACCATAACGACGAGCCGGTACTTGCTGCGATGTCGGCGCAAAGAGTGATGAAGCACCAGCAAACCACCGAAATAGCCGCGATTCGTCAGCAGCGTCGTCCAGATCTTAGTCGGGTCGTACCAGCCGTTCTCGCTGTCGCCTTTCTTGACGCCATTCTGGCCGTTTGTGATACCGTTGCTCGCCATTGTGATTTATCTACCGTCTCTCTTGTCTATGGCTTGACAAGTTTGGTAGAAGAGAGGAAAGCAAAGCAAGCGCAGAAGAGGGGAACGGGGGGAGTACAGATAGGCGACGAAGGTGACAAGAAGGTAAAAAGAAAAAAGAAAAAAAAGAAAAGGGTATTACGCCTATATCCTATCCCACCAGCCCACCTCGTATCTCCCTCACCTTATGTATAACCCACAGACGGATTCGGGACGCAAATGGCGCGCGTACATGTTTAGCTTACCTCCATACGGCATAGCACCTAACCTATACCTACATACCTAGGTAAGACCGTAAGATAGCGGGAAGCGGGAGAGTTGAGATTATTAATGAGCAATCATCTATAAAAGAGGTACTAAACAAAGTAACAGTGGCCAAACCTCGGCGATGAAAAGATAGGGAAGCAGGGAAGGTAAGACTTATAGGCATGTATGTACCTGCCTAGGTGATAATGCCCCTGCCCCTTCCCTACCTGCATGAAGCTAGGCTTGGTTAGATATACTGATACATTAGTGTAAGTAGCAGATCGATCCTTACCTTAGCTCTTACCTTAGCCTCTGACGCCATCGAGAGTATAAGGCGTGGTTGGACTGGACCCCCGCATTGGTTCAAATCCCGGCATAATTCAAAGCGTATATACCTATCTATCCGGAGCTCCGACGGAGGCCGAGCAGTCTCGGTTTGTTCCGGTCTAGGAGGGGATGATATGTATAAGCAACAATATGTAGGTAAGTTATATAATTCATAACTGTTAATTACCTGTATTTTATTAATATTCTATCATTTATCTACCTAACTCATCACTAATATCCCCAGCAATTCTAACCATAACCACCAGAAGCCCATATTCATATACCTGACACACGCAGGCTAATATCAAAATATCAACAACCAGCGGTAAGACGGGCACTAACGTTGTGTTGTGACTAACTGTCCACGCATAGCACGTTGCATATAGGTGCGGAGACGAGCAAAAAAAAAAAAAGAAAAAGAAAAAAGAAATGCGGCAACATCGTCTATTGGCGCATCGGATCTCAGAGGCATATGTATATGTAATGATCCGCATGGGGAGGTAGTAGGTACCAACACGGCAACTCTCCTTCGCAGCGGAGAAAATGCGCTCCTTGGTATGCTCCTATCGCCTAACCCCTATCTATCATTGGCTCGGACTATACTACTATATGTTTTAATACGTGATAAGGTTACACTTCTTATCCACGAACAATAGAGGTGTATATAAGAGAGAGTGTAGTTATTAGCAAAGCTAACTAATAGTAGTTATTGGTACTGAAGAAAGGCCTTGGAATAGAATAGGTAGAGCAGACACGAATATTAATCTATAACGCAGTACACGAACTACCACGGGGTATTAGGTAGGCAAACTGGTACTCAAGCTATAAGCCAGCCAATTAAAGAAAACTTAGTGCACATATACCTAAGTATCGAGTACGTTCATGAATCATCAGTAATAACACAACTCATGTCTCACTCTCACCGCACTGAAAAGAGACGTGTAGAATCAATAACTAGGCCTCCCCCTTACACACGCCGGATCCAATCCTGTCCTCCTCGCATCCGTAACCGACGAGACTAGAGCATAATGGACATACCTCATTAGCAGCCCTAGCCTCCTCTTCCTAAGGTAGACAGACTCCCCTAGGCCCCTCCCTTTTCGTAAGAACTTCATCATACATATACCGCTCCGGTATCCGCGAGGACGAGCATATCACACCGATTTATTTATTGCTTCCATAGCTCGTAGCCGTCTTCCACAGAGCTACTAGGACATGGCATACACTCAAAAAGGGACTCGCCACTCCGTGGGACGCATCCGAAGTCGGGTGATCGACGCAGGGCGTCCAGACTAGAGGGCGCTCGGAATGGGGGCAATAGATATCGGGCTCCTCCGTGCTAGTAGACGTAGTAGTCGTTGTTGCTGATGCGGAGCTGGGCGCCGTAGTCATAGAGATTGTCGGAGCTGTGCCGTGGCTTAGAATCGAACTTGCGCTTGTACCCGTACCCTCGCTCGAGGTAGAAGGGGAGCCAGGAGTAGTCGATGTAGTAGAAGTCGACTCAGGAGGGGCTGTGACAGTGATATAGACCGTGCGGTCCCTCGCCAACGCGGTCTTCGCTGTGAGTTCGTGAGTAGGAGTTGAACCTGCAGGAAGATCCGATACGACATCTCGTCCGCCTGTCCCTGGAGCCGCAGCTAAGAACTTGTTAACCACAAGGATTCATATGCAAACAGGAGAGAGCACTCTAGCATCCTGCCTCGAGCAAACTTACCTCCCACCATCATCTCCGCATTGAATCCCGTAGGCTTAAGACTCAACAGATCGCCCCCCGTGCCTCTACCCGTGACAGAAACCCCTCCACCAACCACCAGATTCGGGGGCGCAGGTGACTCGGTCATATAAACGGCCGTCGCTTCGTTCGCCAACTCCAAGTGGTGTACCGCCTCCATGGCGATACCGCACCAACCAGCTACACGCAGAACCACTGCTCATTAGCCCAACCGGTTAGGTCTTTCTAAGGACTACACGTAGTTATGAGGGGAGATATAACCTTGTACTCACCGATGATAGCACCAGCCGCGATGGTAATGATGGCTAAAAACAAGAGCCAGGCTCGCGGGTACTGTTGTGGAGTGACTCTGCGCTTGAGATCTGGTGATAGGAAAACGGGTTAGCATTGCATGTTTTTTTTTCTTCGTCTTTTTGCAATCATCTCATCGTAACGAAACTAAAAAGAGACAAAAATGGATTACGAGAATAAACACATACCAGCCCATGCGTCCTTCACGCGCTCCATCTTCAACGACATCCTGCTTCCCGCGGTTGAGCGTCCATTCACCTGGCTCTTCTCCTCGCTCGACTGAGTCGCAGTAATCGTAGTTGGGGCTGGGGTCACAGGTGCGAGCAGCACACGCTGGTGTCGAAGAAGGACCCGTCTACCGGAGGTGGCCGGATCGATGGAGTCCGGGTGAAGTTCTGGCTTGTCGTCCTGTACATCGTGCGAGAGGTCCGGTCCCGGTACCGCCACCGGTGGAAGTTGGCTAATCTCGAGGCTGTCTTTCTTTTCTGTCATGGCTGCGGTGACGAGTGACGATAGATATGTAAGTAGTTTAAGTTAGGTAAAGTACCTAGTTTAAGTAAAGAAGAGGGAGTAAGTAGGTGGATTTAAGGCTTGAACCCTTCTACTTGCATCCTATGCGTGATAGGAAAAAGAGAGCCAGGATAGGTAAATCCCAACTGTATGGGAAAATAGGTAGGTGGTCACTTGGATGTAGGTACCTACTTCAAGATAAACATGAAAGCAGCTAACAACATAGATAAGTGCCTACTTAAGTTACTAAGCGCATCATCGCCGGGGGCGATAGGGGTAAATACATCGGGGCTGATGTTGCGGAAACTACAGTACACATATCTGCTACAGACGCAGTCACGATCCCCATAGGTCCTTAGACAAGGAGCCATAAGCGACATCTGGTGCCAGAGAAGCAGGAAGCCATGACGAGCAACACACCCCCTACAATACAAGTAATCAACTATGTGAACATTATAATGGGGATTAAACCGGTCTAATCTTGTGAGGACTTCACCTTCACAAGCGAATAATAACACAACAACTACCTACGTACAAAGGTTATCCATCATCGTGTAAGGGGGTAATCGTTTACTTCTAGTAACACAGCCGTCTTTGCTTGATACATGTAAAGATCACGTGTTACCTACGAACTCCTTTTTCGCTCGGGCTGGAAATGCACAAAACCGCATAACTGCTTAACTTAGTTTCCCAACGGTATCATACCTCCTCATCTCGAGTCCCCTTCCGACCAATTACCACCCAATTTCTCTTCCCCTCGAATCTCTCTCTTGCCGGTAATACCTTATTGAACCATTACATTGGCAAAGGTATCCGATATTTCTTGACGTGTTGGAGCCTCGCGAAATTCCGGAGCTGTGGAAACTCCTACTGATAGCCTCTCCTCCATCAGTTTCAGTAGTACGGGAGGTACACTTTCATCCGTGGCACGGACAGTCAGTCGAACCATCTATTATTTGTTAGCCGAGTTGCCTCACTGTTGCAATAATATCGGAATTGTCTTACCTGTGAAGCATAATTTGGCTCCAGTCTCATTAGACAGCCAAACTTGCCTCCTTCGGCGGTGTGGAGCACGCTGGCTCCGACAAAATTCTTGCTATTCGGGTCAACACCGTTAAGTATACCCCAGCGGAACCCTTGAATCGTCTTGCGAACGAAATCTTCCGTGATTTCTCGCGACTTTGATTTGCCGGGAGCAAGACCGATGATTTGCTGGGCCTCGCGCGGTGGACCACCGATTTGCTTCCATCTCTTAAAGAAATCGTCTGCTGTGAGATCTGCAGGGTCCATAAACTTATGGGCCGTGAGCGGAAGCTTCAATGTAAGGGCTTGTAAGGCTCCCGCGAGGTAACTGATCCTAATAGTAGGGCTCTTCGTGAACACTTTCTTCGCCTCGAACATGATGATCAATCGTGATTGCGCGCCTTGCATGATAGCACTCTCAGGCATAGATTTGACGTCCCATGTTAGATTCTCCTTTTCACTCTCGTCCAAGTCCAGCGTTGTCGTAAAGGAGCTCACGGTAGCCGGAGTCTTGTTCGTGAAATATAAGATAAGACATGCCATCTGCCCTCTGTATTCGGAGCGGATACCAACTTGAAGCTGTCCATCTTCGAAAAGTACGCCGTCGGCCTTAAGCAGCAATTTATTGTATCCCGATTCCCAGCCTGGTGACAGATGCGCGGCGCTGGCCAAGTTTGGCACCTTAAGCAGCTTCTCGGGAACAGGCCCCGCGTTCATGTCAAGACCGGCGAGATCGTTGGAATGGCCGTTGGCGCCGTTTGCCGAGCCATTAGCTGAGCCATTACCATTCACTGGGCCGTTAGAACTGAAAGTCCTCCTAAGACCAGGGTTCTTGGCCATATTCAACTCCGCAGCATCGCTGTTCGCGTCCTTGCCGCCAACCACCCAGGTTCGCTTATCACTAGTACCGGCGTGCTTCTGGTGGAGTCTTGACAAGAGTGCGGACTGTCGCTCGGGGAACGGCGGCATTTCATCGCAGACCGTTCGAAGTAGGTCGTCTGTCGGAAGGCTTGCAAGAGTTAAGTACTCAAAAGCCCGCTGTTGCAGCTCCGGGTCTAACGTATGGCTATATAGCTCGAAGACGTGTAGAAGTTGCGGCTTGATCTCAGGGAACAAATTGACAAATTTGATGAACGAAGAGAGAATCATGGCGCGAGTACTCGAGGAACAAGCAGGTAGCTTTCTTGACAAGGCCATAAATTGTTCAATAGGACTACAGCCAGCCTCTTCTGCAATTAAGTGACCAAACTCTCCGAGGATATAGGCTCCGATTTTCACTAGGGTCTCGTGACAATGGTCTTGCTTGACATGCTGTAACGTATTGTGCGCCGCGTAAACTTGTAGTTCCTCGTTGTTCGTCACAATCTGGATCACTCGCTGCCAGACCTCGTCGCTGAGATGGTCACCTGCGATAGCTACCAGGCGAAGAGAGACATTAATATACCACTGGATGTCGGTAGCATATTTCTCCGTCAAGATTGCAATCTTCAAAGCCATCTCTTCTCGGATCGCAAAGTCGGCGTTCTGTAAATAGTGAAGTAGTTCCGATACTATCGGCACAGAATTGGTCGAGTCGCACATACTATATAGCAAATCGAGACCCTTTCTGCGGACGCTAATATCGCGGTCCTTGAGAGATCCGAGGATCACTTCTTGGTGCTCCTTAATAGGATCTAAATTCTCAGCTCGAGCCGCTAAATGCGTCATAGCTTCCAGTCCTAGGTACCGCACATTTGTCTCCCTAGACGTAATGAAACGGCCCAGACGGGTAGATATCTGCTTCATCAACGCATGCTCCGTGTCTAGATGGATGATGAGGTTAATAGCCTCGAACAACACAGCATTCTGGGCATTGTTCTGTTGGACATTCTTATTCGTCTCCATTGCCAGATTCAGGATCTTCTGCAACGACTCTCGAATCATTTCTCGGACATGGCTATCCTCTATTTGGGTTGTTAGTTTTCGTATTAGAAATCTCCAGCATGGGGCTAATTCATACCTGAGGGCGGGAAATATTGCAGTAACCGTAGTAGTTTGACCTGTATCCAAGGGCATGGGACTTTGTAGTACAAGTAGTCAGCAGTATAATCTCCATCGACCAACAATCGCTTCATCCGCGACGCAGCTTTAACGTAGGCACCCTTATACTGCTCCGAGTTATCCTGCGCGACAGCCATGACGAGTGACGTGACCGAGAGGGCCACTCCGAGATCGAGATCATCCATAAGAGAAATTATCCGTTCTGCCCATTGCGGTTGGATTATATCCGGGTGCTTGCGATATAGACGGAGGAGGGTAAGGGCGGCCTTCTTCTTCACAAATGCCTTGGATGTCCTGTACTCGCTGTTAGCTACCACAGCTAGCTTCGCTAAGGGATGACATACGGCGAAATCAGGAGTCTATGAACCTCTGCACTCAGAGCCTCTCCCATCTCACGGCCTCCTACGTTCGCGATCGCGTGCAAAGCCAAGCAGTTGAAGAGCTCGTTGTGGTCGAGGAGGTCCTTCCGTATGCTGTTCACAACCAGGTGTAATAACTCGTGTTTTTCGTGCAGGAAGAGCGTCATGGCTAGATATCCAATTTGCTTCTCGGAATACTTGTTCGCCGAAATCAGGTTGACAGCCTCGAGGTGTCCGAAGTCGACATTCCAACCTAGGATATAAATATACAACAACTATTGCCCAACGTCAGATCGGTTCGTGATTCGCGTAAAAAGTGGCTTCATCGTACTTTGCAAACGTATTTCTTCTTGTGGTAGCCGCTCAAATTACCGTCTATATTCCATTAGTCCAAAAGTCCCATGTTGACATTCTGGCGTCGCGCGGAGCTTTCGTGGTTCGCTCAGGTTCAAGCATAACATACCCTTAAACTTTTGTCTGCAACGAAGAAACTATAGGTTAGCACCCCTATCCTCAATGGCAATTGGAAGACCTGTTTCCACGAACCGAATATTTGCCAACTCCTTGTTGATCCTTTTCTCTTCCAGATCCCTAGCTCTCGCATTTCTCAGGTCCGCGATAAATTGAACGAGACCACGCATGTTTGAGTTGCTGCTGCTCGACCGGCCAAGAAAGCCGGCCGCCGCGGAGGAGGCCATGGTGTAGTCGCAACAACGATTCCCCCTATTCTTACACAACACCCACTATCTCCGTCGCATCCGCTTGTATAAACAATGGCGAAACGTAAAACTAAATTATATAGAAAGAAGTCGAATCCAAGTATTCAGGTCCAATGCCGAGAGGAAGCACGCTCGAAAATGCGGCTCTCATGATAGACCAGGTCAGTCTATGAACATGGTCGAGCGTGACCAGGGCAAGCGGGAGACAGGGGGTGGAGGAACAGCGACGCGGAAACAAGTAGGGTTCGTGTCGAGGTCCGAGAGTTGATCGGGCGATTAACTAACAATTTAGGATGAAATGTTTTGTCGAAACTTAGAATATCGCAGCTGGCAGCACAGCATTGGACGACTATCTACAGTGTCAGGTTCAGGGACACATATGTATGGAATAAATCTGTAAATGGAATTGACAGCGGCCCTTTGGCGTCTTAAACCCCGAGCAACGAAAGAGGAGAGCACCTGCACTTACCTGTGCTACCTGCACCACACCTTCTAATAAATCCAGTCAGCCAAGTTCTTAGTCGGATACCCGTCGTGCAATGTCACCGTTTGTGGGGCACATGATTTGCGCCTCGGCCATAGGTACACAGTACATTTGAATGGAACCTTCTTACATAAAGTGTGGCTTTATTTTAAATATCGATGTACATCGTACCCGTACCTATGTAACTTATCTCACTTATCGATATTACATTATGTAGCACCAGCTAGCTCCTCTTTAAGCTTCTCCGACGTCAGAGCCATTGAATTAATTATTTAGAGCTTCACCAAGCTTCAGATTTCAGGATGTGAACAACAACGACCAATTGACGATGAATTACGGTCTCTGGAGGTCAACAATACCGCCAACACGGGTTTCAAAGGTAGCAGCAGCAGCAACAACAACAACAACAACAACAACAACAATAGCATTGTCAAGAACCTTAATACCCAGGCGCTTCTACGCCATCCAAGCTGCAACACCGCCCGTCCACCAAGTCTTCAACCGTCACACAAAATGGCTACAAAAGGAGCGCGCAGCCGCCAACGTCGAGAACAGTCGAGTGGCCGACTATCTGAAAGATGAAGTAGCCATCCGATTGTGCGACAGATTACTGGTGCGCTCTTATACTCTTCTTACATATACAAATTATTTCCCTACGGTATGAGGGACTAGGACTAATCCAGAAAACCCGCAGGACATCAAACGCAGCTATCCCTCGGTCCTCGACCTCGGCGCAAACTCCTGCAACATCGCGCGGGCCTTAACACGGCCCAACCCGGACCCCAACCCCGAAGCGCCCGTAACCGAGCCCCTTGCCTCCCGCATCGGGCACTTGCTTGCCGTAGACTCGTCGGAGACCTTGCTGTACCGGGATGCTAACCAGTCCTTCAACTCGGAAATCAACATGACGCGGCAAGTCCTGCCTGACGAGGAGACGCTACCTTTCGAGGCCAACACTTTTGACTTAGTGCTGAGTTCGTTAAGTATGCATTGGATCAACGACCTGCCAGGCGTCCTAGCGCAAATCAACAATATCCTAAAGCCAGACTGTGCCTTTGTAGGCGCCATGTTTGGTGGCGATACCCTCTTTGAACTGCGCACGTCGTTACAGCTAGCCGAACAGGAGCGCCGCGGCGGTATCTCACCCCATGTCTCGCCCCTAGCCGACGTGCGTGATGTGGGTGGTCTATTACAACGCGCTGGTTTTAAGATGCTGACTGTCGACGTTGATGACATCATCGTCGATTACCCGGATACGTTTGCGCTCATGCAGGATATCCAGGCCATGGGTGAGAACAATGCCGTCCTCGGCCGCGAGATGGGTGGTATCCAGCGGGATGTGCTCCTAGCCAACGACGCTATCTACCGAGAGCTTCATGGCAATGAGGACGGATCAATACCAGCTACTTTCCGAATGATTTATATGATTGGATGGAAAGAATCAAAGGACCAACGTCAGCCATTACCACGAGGTAGTGGAGAGATTAGTTTAAAGGATGTTTTTGAGAAGAAATAAATATTATCTGAACTCGTACCATTGATGTTTCTTACATCTAGTCCTATACCTCATAGTGACTTGTTTACAATTAATCAACACATACATGCCCGTGTCCATTCCGACGACCCCTAATATTGAAACAGCATGAGAACCAATATAGCTCCAAGGGGACAGAATAAACAAGTCCTGCTAATGCCTTCTCATCAAGCATATGTCCATCTCCATATGCGGCGGCTTGCGGTAGAACGAAACCCTTAACGTCAACAAAGGCACCTTTCAATACTTTCAACAACAAATCAGTCTCACCGGCGTTCGATAGAATCGCTCAGCACATGTAGCTTCTTAGATAGTCGAGTTCATCTCCCCCTCGCTCTTCCACCCAGATACCACATTCCATAGCGTCGAGGTGGACTATTAAACCACTAAATTTTGTGAACGGATCACCGCAAAACGGATGGGGGCATTTAAAATGCTTCGTGTCGTGAGCCAGCGCCTTTCCGGCCGAATCGATGGTAAATTCTTTAGTTTGGTCCTCATGACGCAAGACGCGATAGAGTTCTTCACAGCAGTCACCTCCTTCGCAATGAATAATCATTGAGAGAGTTGAGGGAAACATCTTTGAACAAGCGGGACACTTCGTTCCGTTGATTGTTGGTTGATCCTAGCAGTAGTATTAGTAAACTCTTCAACCTTAGGGTATAGTCCCGTAGTTTTGAGACTTTGGCGCTGGCTCACCTCTTCTGGTTGAAAATCATCACCCATAACCTCTTCATCTCTAGATTCTTCACTCTTGAACTCCTCACCTTTAGGCTTTTCGTCATGAAGTTCTTCGCCGTGAGGCTCTTCACCTATAGCCTCTTCGTCCTTAGACACTTCATCTTTGCGCTCTTCGTTTGTTACATCCTTGTTCAATATTTCTCTGGCTGTTGCTGCTCCTTCAATTACTTCTTCGTCGGGATAGGTACCTATAATGACATGCCAGCACCTAATATGAGCTTCTAGGGCTTGCAGCTCGCGGAACTCAAGAACACATATATCACAGTAGTGGTGGCTGCTCTCAATCTTGTGGGCTTCAAAAGCTTTATTGGTATCAAAGTAGATACGGCAAAGCTTGCAGTAGTAATGCTGGATCTCATTGTGGATATCCAAGGCTCGAGTGCCTTCATGATCACACTTGCATTGCGGGCAGTAGTGGTGTTCGTCGCTTTGGGCCATATGCTCCTGGAGCGCAGCCGATGACACGAAAGCTTGCTCGCATGCTTCGCAGTAGTAGTGCGCGGACTGCTCGTGATGCCCGAAAGATTCAATGTCCTTAGAATCAAAATCACAGAGATGGCAGACATGATGTTGGTCACTTTCCACAACATGGGACTCGAGAGAAGCAGGTGTGTCGAAAGCCAGATCGCATCGCTGGCAATAATGATGGCTCGTTTGCATATGCTCTTTCAATGATTCAACATCAGGATAATATCTGGAACACACACAACAGAGTTGGTACGCGTGCTGGAAGCGATTATGCTCATTGAGGTCATATGAGGAGTGGAAAACCTCGGCACAGATATCGCAATAGGGATGCTTCGCTCGTTGATGGGATACCAGTGTCTCGGCGTCTGTATATTCATCATCACACTCCTGACAGTAATGATGCATTTTGCTGAGTCGTTTGTGATTGAGTAAATCCGTAGGCGTTCCGAAATGCTCATCACAAGCCTTACAGTAGTGATGTTTCTTTTCCAAGTGTAGACCAAGTGACTGGTGATCCTCGAAGTCCATATTGCATTTCTCGCAATAATGATGAGCCATGCTCACACGCTTATGAGCATTAAGAGAGGCTTTGTTTGCAAATACCTCGCGACATTGCTGACAATATGCATGGGAGTTGGGATTCTGTATAACATGCTGGATATATTCCTTCTTACTCCTGAAGGGAATAGCGCAAGGCTCGCAGTAGCCGTGTGTTGCTCTGTGGTCCAAATAGTGCTGACGCAGCACCACTTTGGAGGCCAAGTGCTCATTACACAAGTAACAGTAATTGTGAATGTCGGACGTGAAATAATGATTTTTCAAACGCTCGGCGTCGGTGAAGTCTGAATGGCATACTTGGCAGTAGTGATGCACTATCCCAGAAGCCCAAGTTGTAGATGTAGTGTAGTGCTTTACCAGCTCGTCAGGGCTGGAGAATTCTCGAGAACACTTTCTACAGAAGAAGTGATCATTGCTGGTGCTGAAGTGATGAGTCTGCGCTTGTGTGGTAGTGAATCCGATATTGCACTTCTCACAGAAGAAATGATTTGCCTTGCAATGGAAATTTAATCCCAGACCGGAAAGGAAATCGACACCACACACATTACACTAAAAGTGTAGGGTACTCGTTTCCCTATGATCCCTGAGTTCGTCTTTAGATGAGAATGTTTTTTGGCATTGTTGGCAATACATATGGGCGTGTTGAAGGTGATCATTTAGTTGCTGCCATTTGAAAGTCTTACCACACCCTTCGATGGGACAAGTCCCATGCTGTGCTATATGGGATGTTAACCCTGCCTCATCTCCTAGGAAGTCGAAGTTGCAGATGAAGCAAGTGTTATGGAATTGCTTGTTCTTTAAATGGGCCGCAAATCTGTCTGTATTGGGCCACCAGTAATTGCATGACTTGCAGAGCCGATGCTCTCCAGAATGGAAAGAACTATATTGCCAGTGTTTCTGGATATCTTCCCAGCCCCTAAACTCCCGACCACAGGGCTTGCAGAGATACATGATGGCAGAGTTTGCAGAGGAAGACAAAGCTTATACATATATCGAGGAAGGCTCAACAAGACCGAAATGGTGGCTTTGAGTAGGATGCTGTGTTGAAACTTGTTTGAAAACTGGCTGAAAATAGAATAAGTAGTGGATAGACGAATGAATGATGAGAGGTCAGGCAACAATAGAAGTGTGAGGAGGGAGACTTGTTGCGGAAGGAAATTTGTACGATTGGCGTTCTTTCCTTTTGCTTTGCTAAGTGTGCTCGCGTGATAGTACGATTCCAATATCTCCTCCGTTAGGTTGGTGATAGTAAGAATACGCGTTGAAAATTGCCTTGATGTTGTTTCAAGTAGAAGAGAAGAAAATAGAAGAAAGGATGAGAGATGCCGAACAACAAGAAGATCGAAACACGGTAGGGAAGGAACCTGCAAGACGGGCAACGTTCTTTCCTTTGCTAAGTATGTGCAAGCACTTACCTACGTAGTTGCCTAAACACATAGCGTAGAATAATTGCGCTGTAGATGCACCATGTGCTCACATTAGGTGTTTTCACCCCTAAGATCTAGTGGATTAGCGTACTTAGGCGCACAAGAATAGGAAGGTGCGTCTTCGCGGGGCACGCACATGAAATGTAACTATGGTAGCGACGACCTCAACTGTATTGAGATGTAGGTAACTACGTAGATACATGTATACTTAGAAAAGTGTACTACTAGATGAGGGCATTTTGTAAGTAATTACGGATGTCGCCAAGAAGGTATATAAAAATCGTGATCCCATTTCCAATAGCAGTAGTTGGCTCTAAACCTTACGCCAGTCTGTCATACATCGCTCTATGCTACCCAAGCCTGCAACATCGACAACCTTCTCGTGCCAGCTGAGCAATACGCTCATGGCCGCACCTGTAGACTCGTTTGTAGTACCGGGTCTCGAGCCGATCTGGCTGAATCCCGTGGGCTGCGGCGTCAACATCCGGGCCGCGGTTCGAGGTCCGCTACTCGCCGATCCACCGCCTGACATACCCTTGTATCTGAATATAGGGGTTAGACTACTGGTCATGACGAATTCGGTTATAGGGGTTATAAGGGGGAGCATACAGGTACTTCATCAATACGTCTAATAATTCGCTTCCGCCTTCTGAGCCGTAGATTCGCTGCAACATCGGTGTCATCTCGCTCGCCTTGATCGATTGCAGGACCTCTACTACGGTCTGCAGGTGGGTATCCTATACCAGCCTCGTGATCAGCACCTGTGTTCTCCTTATCCCGAGCCTCCCAATCTATGTTCGTATTACTGGTGCCCAAGGCTATAGCCTACCTTAGCTGAATCACTGCCATTGTACACCGGGCTCTCGAGGCTGCCTCTCAGGGCACCTTCAGCGTCACCGCCACGAAGCAGCTGGCGTATTTGGCCGTTAAGCTGCCGGACATCAGCCTCGCTGATCTCGGGGAGTGGCGGGTGTAAGGTCGAGGTATCGAAGTTCTGCGAGGAGTCGGGGTCTAGGGCATCAATGTTGATGGTTCGCCAGGCGTCGCCGAGCGAGGCCGAGGTGTGCTGCTGAATAATGGACATGCTGGCTGGCGCTTCCTAGCAGACAAGAGCTGCCCAACTGATGTAAAGAAGCTCCTATAGCTCTTGATGCCTAAATCAGGAAGAGTTGCCCGTATCTACCTACTGCTACGTGTACATAGGAGTCTAGATCGTTTGTGGATTGAGGCTCTGAATCTGGTTTGGGGTCGGTGGACGTTGGGAGAGGGAGAGAGGGAGATGGAGGCGAATGGTGGGGCCCCGAGGATTGACGTTGCTTTCTGCCGATGGACAAGCTGCAAGCTTCTGGGGGAGGTGTGGTGGGGCTATCTGAGGCTTGCAACTTGTGGCTTAGAATAGAGGAACGGCACACCTCAACTGCAAACTGCCTAACTTTTTAGCTGCCTTAGCTCTAAATTTTTTTGTTCTAGGTACCTACTTGCCTACAAAAAAAACGCGGTACGCGACAACAACCCATCAAATTCATCGTCACAGTGGCTCAGCTATATCTACACCACTACACCTCTACACCCGCGCGCCTATAAACTTCATACGTCACTGCCACTACTATGCAGCATCTATAATAAACATGTCAAGATAAAAACCAGATTGCATATGGGGCTACCAATAGCAATTAAGTTACCACTTTATCCCCCCCCTCTTCAAGATATACTATCCTATGAGTAATAGATCACCTGGATATTCTTGGAGGCCAATCTGCTCCATGTAATAACCTCCGTGTCTATCTTCAGCATCCAAGTCACACGACGGGAGGGTCGGAAACGGCCAACGTGATGGATGAATTGTTCATATATGAAAAGCCCAATATTGTCTGATTGGGCTCGAGTTGCTTGGAAATTACAATCTCGTCGTCGTTGTCGATTTGGCTGATGTCGTGTTCCAAGTTCTCAGTTAGTTCATTACGAATTCATCTGTTGTACGCCCCTGATTCTATGCTTGGCCCCCCTATCTTTAGAACCGCCTGCTTCTCACATGGATGTAACATACGATGGATGTACTCTCGTAAATGCGAATGGTTTCATACCGATAAAGCCATATACTAGAGAAACATGTTCGGTTGTGTCTTGGGCTCGTATCTGGTACATGCCTTCAGCGAGCACTACCTATCACTACCTATCTTCATCCAAACCCAACAATAACTGTTTCAAGTAGGCTACCCCTGCCTGAATACCGCGTGCATATGTAGGAAGGAATTAAACGTCTCTGCAACGGCTAGAACTAATTTACCACCGAGTTATTACGTGCATGCGTCCCAACTTAACAGCCATGATAATACATAGGACATCTCTGTGCGCAGACCGAGCCCATGGGAATGGGTTTTGTTTAGGAGAAAAAAAGCTTTGATATCGTACTGTATATTGCGTCCCGCTATTATAGTGAACTATCTACCCACACGTACGGCACGGATCCAGAGACAGGCGGCCAAAAAAACGCCGAGCTTCTGGAACAAATAAGACGGCGGGAGCTATGTACAATACAGATGTACACTATGTAGAAACGACGGGTTGACCAGGTGATGGACCCTTTCCAGCTTTCACCCACGGCAATGCTCGAGCCTCTAATCCGCCTGCCCGCAGAAGTAGAGCCGAGCTTATTCACCCCTATTTTTATTCAACTACACGAGTCATTACATAGTAGGGATCTTAATAGGGTAAGACGGGGACCGGCGGAGCGGCCGGCCCTGTAGACGTTTGACTATGTATCTTGGTCCAAAGGAAAAAGGGTTGACCCAATCGAGGGGATCGACCCAGTTGATGCGCGAGGGTCCGCTAATAAGGGTCAAGGACGCGCCACAAAACTCCTTAGGGGTACCAATAGAATCTATCAGCCTCATTTTCACGCTCGGATAGGTCCTCAGAAATACATATCCTTCGGGACGACTGGAACCCCTGCATATCTCGTGTAGTTACCTAATCAATAAGACGACGCGTCTCTCAGGGTTCTGATATCATAGCATGAAGAAGTTTACCTGTCAGAAGTCTTTCTTTTTACGTACCTAAGTAAGTATGTAGTCAACATCCTGGGAGGTATGTAGTGTACATAACGTCTAGGACTTGTGTTGATCCCTTGTCTATTCTAGCATTCCGCCTGTGCGGGTTGTAGCCGATAGGAACTTTGACCAAGCGGCGGCCAGTTCTTCGCTTCGAAAAGGGCTGCCGGTGACGGCATTGCCGAAATCGAAGGTATTCGGAGTCGGTGCGGGTTTCGAAACTAATGCTTCCTACCCGTCAAAGCTCAATATGGCTGGGTATGGGTTATAAAAAAAAATTTTCCTCCGTAATTTGACAAGCACGTCAATCCAAGGCGAACGCATGGTTAATCCGCCGCGACGGAAAGCTTCCCCGGCACCACGGGTTTTGTTGGGCGAGTCGGACAGGGGAACCTCCTGATCCTTGTCCGAATCGAACATGACAGGTTCCCCAAATCCCGACGAATACTGGAACTGCCGGGACCCCATCCTGCCGCTAGGACGGATACCCTTTGCGAGCCATAAATAGGATTCCTACGGATGA